TTGTTTTATCAACGACGCTTCTAAAAATAAAACAACGCGCAAATCGCGCTTAGCAATTTGTACACGCGAATCGACTGATTGCACGTTCTTCGAGAACAAAAAAAAAGCAACGTGAGCTCGACGACGAAGACAATTACAAAGTTACAGCTAGTATCTAAATTGTATTTCCACGTTCAAGCGGCGTAATGTCGGCTGTGATCCATGCACGCGAGCATTCGACAAAGATTTGACACGATAAAACTGGCGATAGAGCGCTGCTCGCGTACACTTCGCGAGCGCTTTACGAGGTGACATAATCTTCGGAATAGCCTGCCTCGCACTCCGTCGAGGAGGAATCGAGATCGCGCGAGACCAGTCTAAGATTCGTCCGTCACTTCTCTCGCTTTGCGACACGCGAATCGCGCCGACCCCTCCATTCATGCAGACGCCTGCCAGATAGCTTTGATTTCGGTGACGAAGTGGAGACTAAGAACAAATATCGACTTGGACGCTGCAGTCCTGTCGTGCTAATGAGGCGAGGCCTCGCGAATCGCTGATAGCACGCGGAAAACCCGGCGCTCGGGCGTAATAAGCGAATGATAAATTGCGAACGGAAGAGCTGTTCCGCGCGCCGGCGCCGCGCACGCCATTCATATTATTATCCTGGCATACGGTTGCGGCGTAATTTTAGCTGCTGGCCGGTCTGCTCCGCGTCCGATTCCGCCACCATCTCCGGCCTGTCTCGCGAGCGGTCGGCTATCGCGCTTCACTTCTGTCCGCGGCGATCTCGCAGTTGAGCGCGCGGGCGCACCCGTGGGAAAATCGATTGCCTCGTTTCCTCGAATCATTCGAGCTCCTGTTCTTACGAGCTCGCGCAAGCTAGCGAAACGCTCGCGAAACTGCCTGCCACGGTTCGATATTCCCTTCACTGACAACTCTCATCGGCAGACCTCGCGCGTTTAACGCCGTGTAATTAATCGGCAAATTAATAACACGTCACGGGCACAGCTTAACCGAAGCAAAGGGGAAAGAAGGCTTCCGTGCGACTCACAATGCAACTCCTCGCGCGCGCCGCGCGCACTATATAGCGCAAAGCTAATAAAATTAGCCGGCTAGTTATTTCTAACCGAGCTCGTAAAACCAAAAGGTCCTTCGGCTAAAATAAAACCTCGGCGAGAGAGCGCGCGATGCATCGCCGCGTCGCTCGCGATGAAACAGCACGTCGATAATTTTCTGAAAGTACGAGCAAATAAAGAGCCACCGTCTGTCGTCGAGCGCGCGATAGAAGATCGACGCAGCTCGATGCATTACGTAAAACCGATAGCGCGCTCGATCTATTTTTAGCATCCGGACAAAAAGGAAAAAAAAAAATTGCCTTCTTCTGTCTCCCTTCCACTCTTCCCGAAATAGCCTGCATCGTCGCGCCCTTTAAACCGTTCGACGCGCGTTCGAATTCACTCATCCGTTCGAACGCACGTACGTGTACCATCATCGCGATTACTATCATCGTCGTCATCAATCCGTAACTAAATTTAGGCCTTCGACCTTCGGCTATTGTCACGCTACAATCGGCCGATCGCGTGAGGACTGCTCGCTTGCTTACCTGTGTCTCTGCCCCCGCGATTATTATTATTATTTTTTTTTTTCACGACGAAGCTATTCTCAGACAGATCTTTCGGGTATCGCTTGCAGGTGAGCATTTGTATAAAGTGGAACTTTATATGGCGAATTCGTTACGTGGAAGCCTTGCAGCGATTTCTTGCTTCTGAGTTTTCGGATTGAACGACCTGTTCGTTTACGGCTTTCAACGAAATCTTCGGTGCTATAACAAATCGTTTGGTATTTGGAACTGCATTATCGAGTCTTTACGAGCGCGGCGAAGAGACAATGCGACCATCGATCACCTCGAACTTACGGATTCCGTGTACTTCCGCACATCGATAACGTCGATAGTATCGAGGCATCGTCGTCATAAAAAGGGTTGCGGAAAACAATGCACCGTTGAAAACGGCCGACGATGCGCGTATCGATCGAGCGCAAAGACCAGGCACGCGTCTGGAAAAAAAAGTTTGCTTTTCGTTCTTCTTCGTTTTGTTTTTCGCCGCAATCGTCGCGAGAACGACGCGCGTTGCGATCGCGCGCGCGCCGGCAGAAACGCCAGGCGAGAAAACCGCGCGGGTGTCGCCTTGAAGAAAATTCCTGAATCCCGAAATTTAACGACTCGCGCTTGATGAGGCGTTTACTCGCGCGGTACAATCAATCGTCTCTCTCGCTGGCGATCCGCTTGGAAAGCACGTCGACGAGGGGTGGAAGGGGGGGGGGGCGAGGAGAGATAAGAAGAAGAAGGAAAAAAAGAGCTAAATATTGACCTTCTGCTTTATCCACTCGTTATTTCCAACGCGGAATGCACTGCTGCGCATTTGAGCGCGCGCGCGCAGTTGCGTAACGCCTCGTCGTAATAATAACTTCTTATCGACGTCGATTACTATCCAGATAGTTCGCATTTTTTTCTTTTTTTAGCTCAGCGCGCTTTTATATCGTTGCGCAGGCGCCTTTTCGCGCTTTTATTTTCTTCCTTATTGCTCGAGCAACTACGAGCTGAAATGAAAAAAAAAAAAAAGAAGATAAAAGCAGTGTCGATAAGGCTTCTGTAAGAGACGATTGGAAAGCATCATGCGCTGTGAAATTGTAGTTCTCGAGGTAATTGTCAGCTGGAATTTTTCCATAAGCATCTTGGATAATCGCGTAAGAAAGCGTTGCCCTACCAATAAAATAATCAGGCGATCGCGTAAAAATTACGAGTAGACTGGTAATATCCGTCGCTGCGAGTGCCGCAGAGTTATTTGCTCGTTCCAAAGATCGCGGCGATGAATGGAGATATCGTTGGGAACAAGGAAAAAGAGACGAGCGCCAGAATCTATTTTTACGAACAGGAAGCTTTTGTACCTCTATAGCGTGCATTATTATCATAGATGTGTATGCATCGAACAAATACATCTTTCCATTAGTCTTTCGAGATTGCGCTTCTCGAATACAAATGTTACGCTCGCGCGTAAGCTAGATGACGTTTCTGTTCTCTCACAAAGCGCCGGCTGATGAAACATTTATCAATCCGACGAGCGATTCCTCTCTCTCTTTCTCTCTGCTTTTCTTCTTTGTCGGATGGGCAATTCAGCATCAATCGCATGTCGTATCAGCTGCAAGTTTCACGAGCATCGATCCGCTCGCCAAGTCCGGCGGCATCAACGGGAATGAGCCTATTAATTAGCCCGATCGATCGCCAATGCGAGCTGGCGTTCGATTACAGGTGGCACGAGGCGAATCGCAACACTCGAAATGCCTTAGCTCGAGCGCCGTCGACGCTTGCATTCGAGCGAGCGCGCGACCGTGGAAAGAAAGAAAAGCGCCCAGAATGTAGGGAAACGGGCTAATGAGCGAGAGCCAACGCGCGATTAGCGCGAACAACGCGAGTGCGACCCGTAAAAGTCAATATGGCAAGCTAACGACGCACGCGCGCGCGCCCGTTATTATCGCCGCGACTTTTGTTTTTCCGCGAGTGCGCCACGCCACACTCGCCTACGCGAGCGTTGCCGAGTGACTCAATGCATCCTATTTTTAAACCGGCGAGTTCCGTGTCTCGAATAACGAGTACCTATACACACGCGAGCCAAACGAAAGAGAATGTAATCGCGACGTATCGTCGTCGTTAAAAACAAAAAAACAAAAAAAAAACGGCTGATCGCTGCACTTCTTCTTTCGCGAACTGCAAAGCAAAGAGAAGGAGCGAATCGACTATTCAATAATTCACGTATTGTTAAGCAATTTGAAAGTCCAGTTATCGTCGATCTATTTTTAGAAGTAAGGAGCTGTGCTGGGCACGCAGGTGCGTTATCTAATTGTACGTAATTTTCATTGTGAGCCGCGGCTGAATCGATGCCCGGTCGACGATCACCGCGCGCACGCTTCTTCGCGTGCCGACAATGGCGAGCGCCAGGCATTGTGCACTGCGCGCGAGCGTCAATGCGTCTGCATAAATTAATGGAATATCACTGGAACTATTGTAACCACGCTTTCAATCATTCTCAAACTAATCGATAGCACTGTCTTTTTTTTATTTGTTTAGTAATAAAGCTCGACGAATGTGCCAGACGATTGTGACGCTCGACGGGCGAAAAAAAGGACGAGATAATAATTGTCAATCGACGCTCCGCGCTGCAAAGAGAGAGAGAGAGAGAGAGAAAGAAACGTTACCCTCGCATCCGTGACAGACGTTGACGCCGCCTGGTGCTTTCTACTTGTCAGTCCATTGTCGCGAGCCCCGACGGCTTTCCCCGGCGTTAATCCGCGCAACCGGAGCCACGAAGACAAGCCAAACGACGAGCGCGCTTTCGGCGATATCGTCCCGCCATGAGTTCGCGTTTCGGGTGCGGGCGACGATCGTCCGCGTCGCGCTCCTTACGCCGCTGCGTCATCGCGCGCGATACGCGCTGCGCGACGCAAGCTCCCAATCGTTTCTCGACTCAAAAGTGACGGCTCGCGCCTCGCGAATCTCCACGCGTTACGAGTCGCGGAACAAAGCAATATCAATCCGAGATGTCGGGCTTGATAATTCGAACGCTCTTTTCGTAATGTATTTCGTAATGAGTTACGATACCGACAGAATGGCAATGATGCTACGTTATTTTCTTTGAATGCTGCCATGTTTGGAAACGTATGATTAAAGCTTTCATAAAATATATATTTGTCTTTCTACATCCACTCTTCGGACAGAAGCGATCGAGATGATGTATTTATGACTATTCGTTAATCAATAGGTGCCGGTACGTGAGGTCTGTTACGTATTGCGATTGCGCAAGTGCTATCGAGAGCAATTATTAGACGATTATCTCGAACGAAAGAAGAAACTCGATACTTGGTCGTTCAAATCTCGGTGAGATTAAATATCTTTATGGCGCTCGGTGAAAAAAGCAGGGTAAAAAAAATTATTAGGATAAAAATGGACTAAAATGAACTGTACTAACCTGTAAGTGGAAGGGAATTCGTGGGAGGGTGATCACCGGACATTCTGGTTCCTTGAACATCTGCTACACACTGCATTTACCACTCTTGACTTGTTTTTCTTTTATACGTTACATTTGACCAGGTCAGTCCTGAAAATGAAAATGTCGGGTTAGATTTAGTAAAGAAAAAATAGAATAGAATTATTTCGGTGAAGTTAATTTTTTTCGGGCGCAAAAATGAACATAGATTGTATCAGCTCGAGCTCTCGTTAAATATTCAGACTGTCTCAACATCTACTTTGGAATGATTTCCGTTGGAAATTTAATATGAACTCATTTTACCTCCAACCGACATTTAATTTTAACAATGCGCTTACGTTTCAGACACTCGTTAGTTATTCAGATTGTCTATTCACATTTGGGAGTTATATATAAATTGACGACGCTTTACGGAATATTGATCTCTGCGCGTTTTCAGTGCTCAAACGAGAGCATGTGTCGCGCGCCTGCCGTAAAACTTTCGAACGACAAAACCGTATAAATATTCCACGCATTCATATGGAAGACCCAAAAGACAAAAGGAATATGTGCACGTAGAAGAATTTCCAACTTGAAAATTATTCAATACATAGTTAAGAGTAATGAATTATTTGGAATTGATGAAACCTCTAGGACATATGGTAGAGATGCTTTACACTAGAGGTTTTCGCTGGATATAATATTACCGAAGTAATATTTCATCAGCTGTAATAATGAAGTGACCAAGTTTTCAGCTGGACATTTTCTCTCTATCCGCTCATTGTTTGATAAAAAATTATGAGCTAAAAATATCTGCTTGATATTTCGCACTCGCTCGGTAGGTCATTTCTACCATTAATGCTCATCGTAAGCCTCGTCTCAAATGTAAAGCAACGTACGGCAAGCCGCAAACTATTTCGACGGTCAACGAAAGGGAGTCAAATCTCGATCGTCTGTAAATAAAAAAAAAGAGCAAATGAAGATTGAGGCGGAGGCAGGGGATTAAAAAAAGACGAAAATAAATAAATAAAAATGAAAAATCCAATGATCTCCAACGCATCATTGAGAGCTCGCGCGCTAGTCAAGAAATTTTCTCCGATCCTGGATTCGAAACCCGATTGGGCTAAATTAATTATCGGTAGACGCGCCGGAGCGGCTATTAATAGTCGTTTTGCAGCCAACCACCGGCGAGCACGCCGATATAAACTCGATGCATTATTTAATCTCGCTTGTTTCAATTTGCCTCTCGCTCTCTTTTCCTTGCGAGCCCTCCCCCCAACGCCCTCGTCCTCACGAATTTCTCGCGACAGCGAGCAGCCGATCGATAATTACCGCTCGCGAAATCAATGAGCCATGTATTTATAAACCAACGCGGATGTATACAGTACTGCTTGACCTGTCAAATATCGATCAACCAATTTGATGTCTGCCCCCACCGTCGCTTGTCTCTCTCTCTCTCTCGCCTTATTTCTGCATTTTTCGCGTGCGTTTGCACAAACCAATGAAACATTCAACGTAATCTGGCTAACGGCGATAAGGAATATTTTAGAACTTATTTACTGAGTTGTTGGCGATCGAGAAAAAGCTTTTACTTTGGATTGCACTAAAATTGTTCGTTAGGCTAATGGTCGCGATCGGGCAAAAACTGAAATTTGGACTCCACAAATACTATTCGCTTTCGTCGAAAGCCGGTCAGTTAAACAGCAAAATGTAATCGCGTTTAAGTACCTTTGCAATTCATGACAATAAATTATTAATCAATGTGACGACGCATTTCCATCATCGCCAAGTTCAATATAAAAATAACCGGTATTTCTGGTGAAAACGAGAAAAAGACACGGATCGCAAAGAAGCACGCGTGCGTGACGGGGCAGAGCTTGCGGCAATTAAAAACGATCAATTGCACGCGCACACACGGTGGAACAGCGTGAAAATAAAAATTAATATATATCGCAAGGGAAGAAGATTGATCTGTACAAGAAAGCAACCCCGTAAATGTATACACGCGAGAGTTTGGCTTGTGTACACTGGGAGGGGTCCAGTAGCTTGCACGTTCGTGCGCGCTTCTCATTTCTGCAGCACAGCCTGTTGATTCCAAGAATCTCGTCTCTTTCTCCTCCCTTCTTTCTCTCGCTCCCATGCTATCGTGCTCCGCGCTCTTTCTCTCTCTCTTTCTCTTTCTCGATAATTTTTGCCCAAGCCGAGATGCGTGCGCACACGCGGTATTGACATTTTTTTGTTTCGATCCCCAGGTAATTCACTCAGACCACTATAGATTAGAGTTTGAATTGCATAACCGATAAACTATTAGTAGTTCGTTTGTAAAGCCTTTCTTTGAAAATTCGTAGCGTAGAAAAAGCAGGCTAATAGTGGAGAAGCAACGTAAAGCGCGAGAATGCGAGGAAAAGAGAGAGAGAGAGAGGGAGAAAACATCGGAGCAAGTGTCAGCGAATCATCGCTCGCTTCACGACTGCTGGTATATACACACTGTAGACTTACCGGAGATTTCGCGTGGGATATCCAAAGGAATCCGCACGATGTGGCAGACACTGCGTGTGTACATCTGCGAATGCCTGTGTACACATAATAATGAGCGTCTCCAATTTGTAAACACTGCAGCTTCGTGATTGACTTTACCGTTACGATATCCTGCGTGCTATCGAGTTAATTACTCGATGAAGTTGATTATTTAAACTAGAGACAGCAACAACGTAGAGCAAAATCAAAAAAGAAAAACTCACCTGCCAATCTCGTTCCTTTTTAGCACTGCAGCCCCCTATAGCATCACCGACAATAATGTTGGTGTATATGTATGATACTCTGCACTTGACGTACACATACGCGCCAAAAAGCAAAAAAGAAATCAAGAGAGAAGAAAACACAAATATTCAAACACTCGCGCGTGATGATACTGCAGGAGAGAAAAGAGAGCTTTTTCTCCGATGATGTTTGAGGTTAGGAGGCAGATAAGAGGCGCGGGCGCGCGACGCCAGCGACGACGAGCACTGATGATCGGACACACACGGCCAACCGAACCTGACCCCCCCCCCCCCCCCCCCCCCCTCGAGCTCGCCACGCGTCGCAGCTCGGGGGTGGAAAAAGCCTGGTAGACGCGCGCGCGCACTCTCCGATGTTAGGTATGTATATCAGCGAATATTGTATACCTGTACCGCGCGCCGCGCCAAGGGAGAAATTTCTCCTCTTCACACATATATAACACGCACCTAGACTTTATATATGTACACACTCTCCCGCAGCCGGTTATAATATAGACGAGCGAAAACATTGCGATTGCGAGGCTATCTTGTTGAAGATTCGCAAACTATATATCTGCTGGAAAATCAGCTTACCGATTGCTGGTTATAGAGTAGCTTACGAACACTATATATATATACACTTGCATTATTACTATTTACTGCTCTACAGCTTTTTAGTGGTTCAAAATTCTGCTAATCTTATACAGACAAATAAAGAGAATGTGTTCATTATTGAATTGTGTGGCTTTCATTAAAAAAGCTCAATGTAAAACTTACGAAATGATATATGCAGTATATGCTATTGAAATTGGAACATACTTTATGTTTGCAGTAATGCACCTTTGCATTTAGAAAGTGAAGTAACTGTAGCAGTCTCAAAAGAGATTTACATTTCATCGGAAGAGATTTATTTAAATCTGTACTTTGTATATTTATTTATAGAATACGTAAATACATCACACACGTACGTCTATTATGAAACCACGCAGTATGAACCACAATGAATAAACATTATTTAAAGTGTAATAATAACCGCATATTTATTTAAAAAAACAATTATGGCATCGTCAAATATACGATATTGTGAATAATTGTATTTACGCTGATGATTAGATTTGTTTTTCTGAATCTACACGTTTATTATGGTACCACAGTAGGAAACACAATGAATGAACATTACTGAAAGTGTAAATAACCGCACGTATGTTTCATCGAAAGATAATTAATACACCATCAAATATACAATATTGTGAATGGCTTTATTTACGTTTATGATTACGTTTGTTTTTCTGAATCTATGTATAGCAGTGACTTCTTTGTTAATTGAGATAATTTTTTGTTATCGTCGTTAACTAAGGTAATAATTTGTGTTTTCAAATGGTAAAAGTTTAATCAATTTATTTTTGTTTAAGAATTAACAAGAAATCATTTCTTCAGGTACATTCATTAAAAACTATAATGATAAACTATATAATTTTTACCTTGTCGTACTAATCGTAAAATAGAAACGCTAGTTTTCAATTCTAGAGACCCATCTCTATCCTCCTACCTTAATAATTAATAATTAATATAAAGTAATGCTATTATCATATAATAATAATAGCAATAATAATAATAATAATAATAATAATAATAATAATAAAAACCTTATAAAAGACAGTTTTGAAAAATTATGCCTCTATTGATTTTGGATGATTAGGAAATTTTGATTACAAACGCCACACACACGTGCAGCACACACCTGCAGACACATATGCACACGCTCACACATACACACATATGCTGATATGACGTCAACATTTGGCGCGAAAATCTGAAAAAATTCATCAATATTTTAATTTTATTAAGGAATTGAATAATGAATAAATTATATTCAACTATTGTTCATGCTCATTTATAGATCTGATAAAAAATTATTTATATTGACATATATTTTATAACGCTTATTTTTGATCTAATATCTATTTAGTAAATCGAGAATCCACGTGTAAATCTAACACGAACTTTTTTTTCAAGTATCGTTTATATGTCAATAATGCTCTTTACCAATGAGTTTACTTATAAATAATGAAAATAGTATTTACAAAAATCAAATCAAGTAGAAATCCTCCAAAATCGTATCGTAAAAATTTGTATTTATCCATATATGTATCTGGCAAGAGTTTGAAAACACAAGTCGCCATTCGACTGTCATCACAGCCAAGCCTTTGTTGAGTAATGTTGCGTATAACAAAGAAATAGTATCTGCTATTATTAAGTACTTATTCATAAAAGAGTTTCAAATATTGATAGTTTATAATTTTTTAATACGATAAATCTGTGATAACTAGTAAGCATTAACTTCGAAGAATCGAGATATTTTATAGTGTTTAATCGAGTGCTCATAACCTCTCTTTACAAATAGAAGTACCTATTACCTTCCTCCTTTTCTTTTCCGTAAAAGCTGTGAAATTACAAGATAGATAATAGTTTTACTTTAAGAAAGATTGGTTTGGTTACAGATCATGTCGTGGTTTTTTGGGAAAAAGAAACATCGCGAGTTATCTCCCAATTCGCCAGAAGAGCAAGGACCACCAGATGATGGATACATATTTGTTGAAAAAAGAAACCCAGTTGCACCCAATGCAGATGACCGAACATCAAGCTTGTATCCATCTCTTGATATAGCAGCTTTACCATATCCACCAGGATTACCAGGAGCTTCAGTTGTAAAGCAAGGTTCTCTAGATAATCAGATCAATTATTTGAATTGCATCTCTTTCAAATTGAGTAATTTGTTAGAGAAATCAATGAATGATGATTTAGTAATTGATCAACTTAGATTAGATGAAATTGTATCTTTTATTCAGAGGATTAAATTAGATAACTATGATTATACATTCAGTCTTGAGCGAAACGTAATTTCGGAATTGAATAGTCAAATTGAAGAATGATTATTGCCATTGCTGTTAACAGAACTGTGCCGTTGTTTATTATTTTTGATATTTTTCAGTTGCAGTACCTTAGGTTTTATTATCTAAAATATATTTTAATGTAAATTATAATTTTATTTTATATAATATTAACTTGATCTGTTTTTTTTAAAAGTACATGTATTCTTTTATAAAACATACGTAATTGCCATGCAATGTTCACTTGCTAAGAGAGATTACAAATACATTTATTTACATAAGTATGTACACTATGAATTTTTTTAAAAAAAGATAAAAAATAAATTATTTATTTTAAAGGAAGTTACAGAGCAGTACAATTATAGTCATGATCACTATAAATGGAGCCCAAGTTTTTACTTTAGCTGAAAAACTAAATAACATTGAGTTAAAAAAATACTTTTAATCATATAATGGAATAGTATCAAATTAATTTTATCTTACCTGACATATTTTCCAAATATAAATATGTATAATGCTAATTTAACCATATTCCAGTTTGTTGAATTGCCATAAGACATCAAATTTAAAGCTCTAGCCACGTGTGAATGACAATTATCACATAATAAGTTGTGCTGAAAAGTAAAGAATTATATATGTTATATAAACCTAGAGTGTAGAAATTTTCATTTCAAAATTAATACCATTCGTTCTTTATAAATTTCACTTGCTTCATGTACAGCCAAGTCCCACCCTTGAACCCTTCCTTTTGCTTTTGTATAATCTAATTGCCAGTATTTTGTAGGCCATCCAAAGGCCATCTTATCTTCAGAGACAAAGTATGGACCTGCAAAATCTCTAATAATACCAGCCGATGTGGCAATTCCCATGTGTCCAATGAAAGGAAATAAATAGCTAAAAAAATATGATTATTAGTAAACTTGGATTTATTGAATGATAAATTATCAAAAAAGTTAAGGTTAAGTTTATTCATACGTTAGTATTGGTATTGGGGTCCAAACAATGCAAAATGGATATCTTTGCCTTGATGGGTCAACATTGAGATCTAGAACCGGTGAAATAGGCATACTGGTTTCGCCATGCATCATAATTACATAGCAAAACAACGAAACTTAAACAATTTTATTGCAAACTCATTCAATGTTGATTTGATCTGATAAACAATAACAGAACTTTTAACTCACTTATGAATTACGTATGTTTTGCTTGCGGAATATCTGTCTGTCCTCAATTCTCATATGATTTGTACATTATTTAAGCGTATTGTTTATATTTATCCACTGATGCAGACGACGGTGTTGACTTGGAAGTATAGTAATGTTTTTATTGGTAGACTTTATATACATAGTAATACGGCTGCATAGCACCAGAAAGGTGGCGCCATTGTCGGCGCGCTATATAACCATTATAAATCCAACCAATGATACACATAGATAATATAAAAATTAATTATTCCTTTTGTTTTTGACAGATTGTACATTAAATATGTTCTTCCTTTATTTTTATAAAATATATGTGTAAGCGAAACAATAAGATAGGTATACTTGGTTTAGAGATCTATTGATTCAACACTAAACAGTCTGAGTGACATACTAAGTCTTGAAATATAAATAAATCGTAAGAAACATTATAACGTTATAATTGTAATTGCTTAATAGTTAACAATGACTGTCAAATATTTATATCTGTTTTCAAAATAAATTCCCGTAAGATATCTATTATATTTTTATTCATTGTCAAGAGGAGTATGGAGGAACTATAGTGACATGATTATAATGCGATACACGTTCGTGATTTATATAATTTAGTACCGATAATATATTAGTATCTTCATATCTTGGTAATAGGCTACACTTCTTTTAAATATAGAATTTGGATAGAATTAAATTTTAAACTTTTCTAAGCAAAGAGAGCTCGATCCATCCTGACAAAATCCTTTTCCCTCCATCGGTCGGTTTATTGGAAAATCAATAACTGAATAGTGGTGCCATCTAGTACCGAGCGTTCCGAAGTGTAACAAATAATACTGTCCAAGTTGGGCTAGTGCCGAGTTGTCAATTGTCGCATGCAAACTCAATTACAATAGATTAACGAATGAACAAAGAACGTATAGGATATGAAAGTTAAGAGTACAATAATTTTTATTATAATTCAAATGAGAATCCATCATAATGAATCGTTGATTGCCTGTTACAACAAATATATTCATGATGTTAATTAAAATAATATTTCATAAATTTCCATATGAAAGCCATATATTGGATACAACGGTAAAATTAACTTATAAAAATACTTTCATCCATATGAAAAATAAGTTAATTTTACCGCATTGACGTTACAATGACGTGAGCAATTTGGTGCCAGAGATGGTAATCTTTTATATTACACGATAAAAATCGTTATCAATGATTGCTACATATCGACAACGTTTTTATATAGAATTGCTACAAATGTCGACCTTGAAGTTAAAAAGCTTACGTATGATATTACGGTACGTAAAAAACTAACATTCAATTTCGTAATGTCTTTCATCAAATGAAAGTATGTATATGTACATACATGCATATGTACCAATTTAAAAAAATAATACACTCATTATTCGAATCACTGCAGCAGGTGAGCGCCCTCGTGTGCGAGTTTTCTATCTTACCGTCGAGTCGACAGTCGTCACTATTATTACACGGTGCCCGAGCAGCAAGCGCGCAGTGCGCACAATAAATCTCAAGTGTGTGTGTCCGCCTTCGCATGCACGTATAAGGTATATACATGTACTCCTACGCAAGTCGCAAGCGAGTGAGCGAGCGCCGAGCAGCATCGAAATAGTATGGATTGAGAATTAAGAGTCGACGCAGGAGGAGCAACCGGCAGCGTTGAAAAGTAAATAAATAAAGCATATGTGCATGCAAGAGGAAGAAGATCATCGATAGTGCGCGCAGTGCTGGCTGGCTTTTTTTAGCCGGGCGTCGGTTGATAAGCCTCTCTCGGACTCGCAGGCAGCTTGCTCCAAATTAGGCGGCCCCCTCCGCTCCTTTGGCTCTCTCATTCCAGTTTCACTCGCAACGTCGTCGTCGTCCGTTACCACTTTGTCGTCGACGTCGTGGTGCAATGAAACGTTCATGATATCTCTAGCCTTTTTCGTGCGAGCGCGTGTGAATGTGTGTTTAGAACTGCAAGCAGCTATGTTGGCCTTGGAATTGCAGGCGTGGAGCTTGTTTGGATTCCTGGCCAAACAAGGCCAAGCAGAAGGTCAATTTGTGTGCTTTTTTTGCTGATCGTCAGCACTCGCGTTTTTGCGTTTATTGCTCGCGCGCTCTTTTTCTTGTTACGTCCATTTGTCTGTGTCTGATTCATGACACGGCTATTAAGTGTAGTTTCTTGTTTCTATTTTGATAATTGAGTATGGAACTACTCTCTCGAGGGTCTGCAGCTTTCATTGCTGCTCTGCAATAATTTAATGATTGACAGTCGCATATGGAGAATACTGCTTATTAATACTATTGAAACTCGACTTGATTTTCTTATTTACTATTTTTATTCACAAGTTACGTATATGTATGCAGTGAATACCTACAACGCTGATTCTAATACATTTATCGTAGTTCAAATTAATCATAATTACATTAACATTAGAATCTTTTCTTTGCAAGACATATAATATTTATTATTTTAAAAGTTCTAATGCAAACAGAATGATATCAATATAAATTCAACAAATAGATCTTTTGCATTTTGAGTCAGTCACAGGTCGATAACTGTCAATGTTTCACTCCATTTGATCTTTTAACAATGACCTTATTTTAAGCATTAGAATAGTTTATTTGCTTTTGCTGATAATAATATTTGAAGCACATATTGAATCTCTTACTTATATATTAGTTCAATATCACTGTTTTTAATCTTCAATAGCCATAGAGATTAATATAATCTATAAATATACAGAATGCTGCGCGGTAAGTTGAAAGACTTTACAACCTGGATGGTCTATCTTCGTTCAGAGCCATTCGAGCCCAAAATGTTTGGCTCCAAAACGAGTGGCACCAGTACTTTCTATACAGATTTACATATCACTGATGAAAAGGACCTAAAATCTTCATCTGTTGATTCAGAAAAGACTGGCAATAGGAATTCACGATTATTAGAACAACAAAGTGCAGCTAGTGAAGATGGCAATTCACAAGACTCAGACTCAGTTGGTGGACAGGAGGAGCAGAATCAACCACCTAGACATTCCTTTTATAGAATTGCTAGTTTTGGTGGATTTCCCAGGTTTAGACCTTTTGTTATGTCTACTTCAACATCAACTGTTTGCTCTGAAACCAATACGGAACAGGAAACAACAGTTGAATCATCATTTAGCAAAATGTCTCATAGTGTTTTGGAATATAGAAGTAGCAGGTAATTGGTTAAACATAATGTTACTTAGTCGGTTATAATTCACTTTTGAGAAATGATAGCAGTGATGACTAATTGTGATAGTGAACTTGTATTACTTATATTTTTTTATGATATATCACAATTAGTATTTTTATTTGTTCAGCAGTTTTTTATATCATTAACTGAATTGATACATGATTTACTAAAATTACTGAATTTCTCATTATAATTTTATTAATTAAAAAAATTTCAGATATGTAGTAACAGATAGTTCTTATCAAAATGATTATGCAGTGAGTGAATCAGAGAGCGATGAAGAATCAGAAGAGACTAGATCTTCTGAGACAGATTCAGCAATTGTTGCAGATCACGCCGATGAGTTGTTGGTCGAAGCGAAGTTACGGGCTAAAAAGAATTTGATTGACGCGAAGAAGAAAAAAGCTCGACATATCGCCAACGAATTGTTGAGTACAGAAAAGAAGTACGTCAGCGTTCTTTATTTAATTGATCAGATATTTCAATTCCGCGTCGATCAGGAGAACAGAGCCCATCCAATGTTTCCAAGTGAAACGGTCCAGCATATGTTTTCAAATATAAAATCGATTTACATATTCCACAATGACTTCTTGTTACCCCAATTGGAAGAGAGAATAGAGGCATGGGACGCCGATCCCAGAATAGGTGATATTATGAAGAACTTTGCTCCATTTTTGAAGATGTACACGGAATACGTGAAGAATTTCGATTACGCTATAAATCTCATAAGTACGTTACAACAAAAAGTTACGAGGTTTGCAGCCATTATCAGTGAAATTCAAAAGTTAGACGAGTGCGCAAAACTTACACTGGCTCATCACATGTTAAGTCCTATCCAGAGATTACCTAGATACGAATTATTGTTGAAAGATTACTTGAGGAACCTTGTTAAAGATAATCCTGATTACGAAGATACCAAAAGTAAGTTATCGACTAATAGCATTGTTGTAGCGTATTAATAAGAGAAATTAATAATATTATTTACTAACAAATTGATAAAACTTGATGGCTATCATTGATTAAATTTTACTTCAAATAAAGCTTTCTACGTGACATCCTATTGCTCGATAAAGAATGCCCTTTTCAATTTACAGAAGCCCTAGAATTAGTATCAATCGCTGCAAATCACACAAACGAAGCAATGAAAAAGATCGATAAGTTCAAAAAGCTTTTGGAAATCCAAGAAAGTATTTACGATTCGACCGACCTAGTCAGCGCGACGCGTGAGCTCGTCAAAGAAGGGAGAATCGTCAAGATTTCAGCGAGAAGTGGTGATCATCAAGAAAGACACATGTTCCTAGTAAATGTCTTTCTTTTATCAATTCAATTCTTTATTAATCATCATTTCATATTAACGCGTGTAATAATTTTAGTTTAGCGATATCCTACTACTATGCTCCCTCCGACTGATTCCCGGGCCATTGTATCGTTTACGCGCCAAATTCATGATTGAGAATCTCCAAGTTATCGAAGGTGACAACTTGGAGACTGCAAATACGTTTTATCTTCGTGATGAGAATAAGAGCGTGGAGCTTTACACAGAATCGGCAACGGAAAAAGCTGCCTGGTTAGACGCGTTGTTCGAGACGATGCAAGAGATTATGAGACGCAAAGCAAGCCTCAAAACCAATAACACTAACAAGACGCCCCTGCTGAAGGCTGACGACGTCACGAGGTGTATGGTTTGTGAGGCCATATTTTCCGTGATGAAGCGCAAGCACAATTGCCGGGCTTGTGGCATCGTAAGTGGTGTTATCCATCAATAGAACCAATTCATCTGCCAAACTGCGCTTTTTATTTTTTTCACTAGTGCGTATGGCGCGAGCTTTGTTCATTACGACCGGATGTACTAATGGAATTCCCGCTAGATTAGCTGACGTTTGAACTCTTTTGCTGTTTTGCGCGGAAATCTATTTCAAGTGCTTTCTCAGCTGCCAATTCAACTTTTAAGAGAAACAGTTTATGAAATTTAATTTTAGTATCAGCTTTTGTGTTACTTCAAGTTTTATTTATCCAACTTCCGATAGTTAATATTGATTTTAAATGACTTATGCATTATTGATTTCTTTTATTTAATAAATTCAACAGGTCGTCTGTAGTAAATGCTCAAACCAAAAGTTAATCTTTGAAGACAACAAAAGCATGCGAGTGTGTCGACTATGTCATGCAGCTTTGACACAACCAATGGGAAAAACTTCACCTTCATTACCGAACGGTCCAAGTTTACTACAAGTATCAGCAAGCGCAGCGTCAGTCCTTTCGGGTTACCTATTCCTCAAGACACAAGCAAGCAAACCGTGGACAAGACGTTGGTTTGCACTTCACAATGACTTCGTCCTCTATAGTTTCAAGTCCGAGGCGGAGCGTACCGCAATGACGGCTACTCCTATGCCTGGATTCACGATCATAGATGCCGCTCGACTTTCCGATGAAGATCATCTTAGAGACCGCGTAAGGGCATTCAAGATTCATCACTCGCGGAAAAGTTATTATCTACAGGCTTCTACGGAGGAGGATAAAGAGAGGTGAATATTGTTTTAATTATATTCAAGCTGGTTTACAAGTCGTTTTGTATTTCGGAGCAATAAAAATACACATTTCATTGATTATTTAAGAAAATAAATACACAGTTCTAGACATTTATTTAAAAACTGCGACCTGTATTGAACTAAACTAATATCTCTTTGTTTGATTAGACACAAACGTTTACAAAAATGTATTATTAACTTAATGATTCTTTTCAAGGTGGCTTAATGTGTTAGAATTAGCAACAAAGGCAGAACTACCTCTATCCACGGACGAAGTCAAAGACGCACAATAAGAAAGTCAATAATACCATGCCGAAGATAAAAAAAATATAAAAGTATTCTGCCCTGTATTAAGCAACTTAGCCAATTTCCATATCGCGTAAAGAGAAATAATATTGAATCCATATAGCACATAAGTGTTGACAAAATAGTCGTGCGAATAAGTATTGTTAACTTGTATTCAATTTTTTCCTGATGGTAATCATTATTACGATCGTATAGATGTGAACAAATCTTCTGACATCACGTTGTTCCGTATACATGTACAAAAAACAAAAAGCGAAACAAAAAAAGTCGCCGTAAATAGCAGTCAATTTTGAAAATTACGTTATATGCGAGCGAAATAAAGTTACAAGTTTCTTTGTTATGTGATATACAAAGCGTGAACGTAACTTAGAAAGTGACGTATTATGCAGAAGTTGAAAGAGTAAAAAGAAAAAGATAAATTTTTATCTCTTCTGTACAAGGCCACTTTTAGAGACTTTATATCGAAAATCGTGTCAGTTTTTAAACGCATTTTTAAAACACACACGATCACACCCAGTGTATTGACTATACGCTGTTCTGGGCGCTTGTTATTTTTGTAATATTATGTTATAATCTATTTAAATATTATATACGTCGTTTGACCAGCGATAATTATTAAATTAAGATAGAGTCGATAGACTGTATTTGATGGTGAATATTATATAGACTTAATGAAATCGCGCTGGATTGAGTGATTCAATGTTATAATGAGAGGCAATTGAATTTTTAGCTTTGGTGTTAATATCAGCAGCTCGCAATTATTGAATTCTGTGATTTATACAATAAATTCAATTCGTTCTGGTAATCAAGACATACATTTCTTTGTTTCGCTTTAGCTGTTAACTGCACCGTTCTATGTATATATACGTTTTTTATAATATAATAAAAATAATTCTTTCGTCAATCTTTATGAAATCGTAATGATTAGTGTAACTATTGACTATTTCTGTTCAATCGATGAATTGTATAATCTACTAGGATTTATAGACTGATCTTGTTCTTTTCGTAAAATTAAGTTTTTCCATCTATATTAAAGTTTATGTCACGTCAAAGTATGCTAGCTTGCGAAAATGTCTACAGTGTGATGTATTTCATAAAGCTTGACATTGAAAAATACATTGTTTATCAGTGACGAACAAATACAGATCTCGAGTATCGTTATTTCGTTTTTCTTTCTTTTCTTCAAAACTATCCAATCACTGTCTCTTTTTTAGTTTTACATAAACACCGTCTGCTGCAGCTGTGAAGATGGTTATAGGCTTTAACACAGTTTTCTCTTTTCTTTCGTTCGAAAGCGCATACTCTTTTAATATCATAATAAGAGCCATTTTTGTTATGATTAGTCCAAGCCTCTGTCCTGAAAAAGTTAAAGTATATATGTAGGATATTATAACTGTCAGATAAATGAAAATCCGTATGTGGCACGATACGTCTATATTTGTGCTTATCTGCAAAAGCATTTTGAAAGCTTTTGCAAGCCAGCTACCAGCGTGACACTTGTTTAAAGATTTCTTAAATTTATTTCCCAGTAAAAAGTGGGTTACGATTAAATCATAGTTTCTCGACAAAAATACATACAAATTAAAGAGTTTGAATTTGTATCGCTGCTGAAATTCGATCAAAAATAATTTTTTTAAATTGATCAATTAGGTATTTATCACAAGAAAATAACGACCATCAAATTTTTATTCATAAGCTAAGTAATTAAAAATATATTTTATTGGTTGTGGGTTAAGCTTAAAAAGTTGAAAAATTCATCGATTTATTGTTAATAATACGTACATTATTGAGCAAATTATATGTCCAAAAAATAATTACACTATAAAATATTTGATCACTCACCAATACATGAACGAGGACCTAGACCAAAAGCGAAAGACGAGCTAGGCAAATCTTCTGTTTCAGAATATGTTCTCGTAGGGATGAATTCGTTTGGCCTATCGAAATACTTGGGATCTCGATTTGTACCATTCAAAGAAATATATACAGGCGTTCCTTTTTTAATTATAACGTCACTACTTGGTAACTGTTACAAATTGCAATTAGAACATTGAAAAAATTTAAGAAATTACAAGTAATAATAAGAAAAATAATTGTCGAGCTTTTTTTACTTACTTTGTAATCTCTTACAGCAACTCTATCCACAATGGGAAGTGGTGGATAGAGTCTTAGTGCTTCATTAACTACTTGATCTAAAAAGGTCATCTCTTTTATTAAGTCTACACTTAATTGTTTACCTCTCACATGATTTTTTATTTCTTGATACAAACATTCTTCATATTCAGGATGATGAGATAATTCATATAAACTAAAAGCAATTGCTGTAGAAGTTGCTTCAAAGCCTGCTACATAAAATGATACTGCTTGGGCTAACAAATTGTCACCTTCAAATTCTAAACATATTACATTATATAAGTATAAAAAACATTAAGATAAAATTATATTAAGTATTGAGTATCTTATTGTTACTGTAATCAGGCATTTGTTCTTGATTTTTTAAATTGATGAAATGATCAACTAAATCATTTCGTTTAATGCCATTTTTTTCACGAGTATTCATGGAGTCCCAAAAAATAGTTCTAAAATATTTGGCTGGTTCTACCATGTAATTTTCAATGAATTTGATCAAGCCAGGCAAAAAGAATAGAATTATCAATATTATTCCTCTTTTGGCTCCTGACAAAATTTTTTGACCTGTATAATACAATAAAAGAAAATTAAGAACAATCATTTTCAATTTTCTTCTTTAAAATAGCATCGTAAGCAATAAATATGATGAAAAGATATTATAATAAATAATTTTAAGCATGAAAAGTTACCAGCTTCCCAGAAAGTAATACTGTCTTGATCAAATGAATTGGTTGTTATTCCAAATGCTAAAGAAGCTATGACATCTGTTGAGTACTTGCTAGAAATACTTTTTAATTCAAGTTTTTTCCATCCATCCAATCCAGCTTTTGAATTTTCAATATATTTCAATAGAGGAACTCCACATTCCTCTATCAATGGAACCATTCGGCGTAACTTGAGTCCAGTAACACTTGGAGTAAGCTTTTGTCGTAAATATTTCCATCGAGGTTGATGAATTCCCAGAAGATTGATTAGTCTAATTGAATCTTTTTCAGTTTCTCCACCAAAACAACGATTTGGAAATACATCAAAATCTTTAATCATTAGCTGTTTCATTAAATTAAAGTCTCGAAGGAGTAGTTTTGGTTGATGAAATACATAAAAACCAACATATGGATCATTATTATTTGCTGCATCATATATTTCTTGAATAACTTGACCAGGTGGTTTTCGAAAAGTAAAAGTATCTTTGAAGTTTCCAAACACTAAGTTAGTTGGGAGTGATTTTACACCACACCTTTGCCAGTAAGAAAGTTTATATCTTGAATAAATGTATAAAACACTTATAATGAATAGAATAGCTGATATTACAACTGCAGTATTGTTTACTTCAAACATATTTTTAAAGTAAAAAAAACCTTTTATTAAAATATAATTCAAATTTTCAAATTGGATATATTAAGACAAAGTTCTACTCAGCAATACTTATGTCCATTTTCAAATAAAATAAAATATACTGTCTGAATCACTTAACTACATTGATAAAATTTCACTACTTCAAATTATCAGATAAGATAATAAAAAAAGTGCTCAATCATTTACTATATCTATCAATGTATACAACTGAACATTTTTATTTAAACTAAAATACTGCAACTTTTTATCTATAAGGAAAACTTTAGACAATTAAAATTCACAAAACGTGTTTTTACATAAACTTTTTCTTGAATCCCAATCATGAGTAATAGTAGCTTTTGGTTTTTTCAATATCTTGCTTTGTATCGTATTACTATAATTGTAAACGATATTTATACTGTGTATAAATGTATAGGTTTAACATATAAAGCATAAAGTAACTGATATCTTATTATTTTCACGTAGACATCAACTTATTGAAGTCTATTTTCAAAATTGATTTATCAATACTGATATAAATCAACTTACACATATAAAATATGATTTGATGTTTGTTCAGACATGTGCCATTATTTTCTCGAATATTTATCTAACTACATAAAGTTTAATTTTTCGACACTGCGTGACTGACAGGAGCTTTGCAGAAGCTTGAGAAAACAAGTTGTGCTTCAAATCCCATCTCGCACACATCGTATCGAAAAATCAAGTTAGATACACGTACGAAAAAGTAATTTTAGCTTCGTTTCGCTTGGGTACAAACGTTCAATGAGGCTCAAATCACTTTCTCGCACTAGTATCGAAGCGTATTGTTGTGCAATTTGTAATTATTGAATAGATGATTGTTCAAATAAATCGCCACTAATTAGAAAAATAATAATTTAAAAGGTTAATGCATTAAAATTATAAATTGATTGACCAAAAATACTTTATTTACGTATAAAAGATTTATTAGCAACTATAAAACACAAACGCTAATTTATTCTAATATATTAAAAAATCTTAAGAATATATTCAAATTTTGAAGCTGTCAGTGAAAAAAGCACTTCAACACTGTAACCAGTGAACAAATTATGGATATAATTGGCTATGCTCGATTTTGTAGAACGGCTGCGAACTAGACTGACTATTTATTGTTTGATTTGTTGCAGTAGAAGTTTGAGCATTTTTTGATTGACGCTGTAACCTATTCATCTTTTTTTTTTCTGCAAAACGCGCTTTTAATTTCTCGAAATAAAGTTTTTTCCGAGATTTTTTGACCACTGGGGGTGCTGCAGGTTCTAGTATTTTACTGTTATTGTGACTTGGAATTTCATCATCTGTTTCATCTTCTACATCTTCAGTAACATTGCAAACATCTTGTGGTTCTTTTATTTTCCATTGGTAAGGTGGTACAGGTACATCAAAATTTCTTTCAAATACCGCAATAAAATAACCGTGGCACTTATCAACGTCTGGATTAATGCGTAAGCATTTAGAAGCAGGAGGAAAAAAACCAAAATGATTTACACTTTGCCCAACACTGATCCATTCAGACCACAATAATTCTTTAACATCAAGAAGACTATAAGAATAACCCACTTTTCCAAGTGCATGTTGTACCACTTTTTCCCCTTCCTCAGGATGGATTGTACACGAACTATAAACAATTCTTTTGGCAGTTGTGTAAGTCCGAAGAGCATAAGTAAGAGCTTTAAAAGAAGCATGAAAATATTGTTTGAATCTACGACTTAAACCAGCTTTTGCCCTTTTATAAAATATACCAGTACAGGTGCTGTCTGCATCAATCAAAACATAATTTACATCTTCAATTTTGACTTGCATGTTATCTGACCACATTGTATTTACACACCTTGCATTTGTTAATTCTAGAAATGAATACAGTTTATTATACCTGTGAGGATGGTTTTCAACTGCATAAACAATTCTGAAAAAATTATATTTGATTTAATCATTCAATACTGGAATCAAAACATTGAAATTAAAAATTGTACATTTAATTTACCCTTCATTATTAATTATGTTAGCAAGATGATTTGATGTTTTGCCAGGAGCAGCACACATGTCCAATACAACTGATCCTGGCTTTGGATTTAATAAGAAACTCGCTAGACAGCTTCCCTGTAATTGAGGTACATTTTATAGTTGGTAAACAAAATATTAAAGAAAAACTATATTTTTTTAAATAATACCTTATTTTGCAAAACAAATTTTCCTTTCAAATATCCAGGATGGTTGTAAAATGATGTACCAGGGGGAAATATTAACAATTCTGATATGTGAATGTCTCTGATAAATTCTCTTTTTTTCAATTGTGAGATAGTGGCCAAATAGTGTGAATAAGTCTGTGGATACTGTATGAGCTCCCAGCCTTCCTTATAAAATGCATGAATACATTGTTCAAGTGAAATAGAAAGTGTGTTTACTCGTACATACGTTGGTAATGTAGCTAGAACATGAGAGCTTCATAATATCTTCATAATTAATGATAAACACAAGGTTGGTGCGACTATAACTTGTGTAATAACTTACATATATAAGATTCGTATGTATAGTATAACATAGCGTCTGCTTCCAAAAAATCTTCCTTCAAATCTGCTTCATAATATAGTAAATTAGTAGCCTCTATTGTCCCAATTGGAATATTTTGGTGACCCCACAATAATTGACCTATCATAATTTTTATTGTGTGAAAGTCTAAAAATGGACAATCTTTTAAAAGTGTACTCTTCATCATAAGGTATTCTATTACTTTGCCATAATGCTGGCTAACATTTATTAACATTTTTTCTGTTTCGTCCAACTGTAAAATATTAGTTAGTTATTTTTAATTACATGTACCTAAAATTTAAAAAAGAAGTGGCTCAATCGCATTTCATACAAATAACTTGAAAATAATCATGAGCTATCTTATTATTAAAATTTATTCTTTATTAACATCTTAGTCTTCCAGTATAAACAATAATGAGCTTACTGATTTTATTTTTAACCGCTCAGCAGCTTCTTGTAGTGTAAGTCCTTCTGCTTCCATACATTTTAATATTTTAACTGCTGTAGCATGAAATTTTGGTAGTGCTCTGAACTTTGTAAAATGTGTAACATATGATGAACTCATATAGTGTATCTCTGTATGCATAAAAATTTGATAGGTACAAATTTTGAAAATCATTTGACAAGTAGTTTAAATTATCTTACTTCCTCTCTCTAGCTCTTGTTTTCCCAGCATTCTTGAGTGTATTACATTGTAATTCCTATGCTCAGGAAATTGCATGGGCTGCATTGTAAATTCTAATATACTAAACTTCTATATAATGACTAGAATGTTATTACTGCTTTTTATACACCTAAGATCGATTTAATTATCTTTAATTTCATATAACTCTTGTAGATTACAAAATCAATAATTTACTAACTGTAATGAATATTACAAATTTATTGTTGATGATTTTATATTTAAGCAGAGTATTAATTTGGTCTATTAATTTGATTAATTATGGATAGATTTCTCTCGGTACATAGTCAATAATTATGATTTTTATTAATATTAATTTTCTTGCTGAATAGTAGTAACAAATGCAGACGTTGATTCGTTGAAAATAATCTGTATTTAAGGTTACAAAAATTGTAAAATGCCGTTACTTGTGTAATTTGTTTCATGTCGGTATCACAATTCAGAAATATTTAAAATAATGCCATTTTAATTCAGATTGACACTTAATTGTTAATGACAATTCGAAACAAGGCATTAATAAAAAAATATAATAAGAAAAGTTTTACGTACGATGAGGATTGTCATAAACAGGTTATATCTACTATCATTCCATTTGAAGCTGATTATAAAATACCACCGCTGCTATCTATCAGTGGCATTTGGAAATTAATGAATATTTTGTGATGAGCTTTTTGGCAAATACATTTATTGCCGTTGCTATACTAATTAAAATATCACCCGAAAATTTTAAGTTCATCACCTGTAGTTAATTATTATATATACATATATACATATGTATGCATGCATACATATATATACATATACATATATATGTATATACACGCACACATACTGTGTCATTGCGTTATATGTTACCGGAAGTGTGATTACGCATATGAGTGTAAATCTAATTTAAATCATTATTTTATATTTAGTGTAAACACTTGTTCGAGCTCGTTTATTGTCAATAGTAAATTGGTAACTTTATTGTAAATACACATAGGTAAGTTCCAATATGAAGCATCCATACAATGAAATCAGTTATAATTTTTCAAGTCCTTTTTTCATGAAGCCAAAATCACGACCGTAAACCCTTTAAAAATTTCTCACAACACGCATAAGAAAAAATAAAAACGAAAAAGAGGGAAAAAGAAAGAAAATACAACCAAAATATTGTACTTTTATTTTAATCATTGACATTGCGGTGGTCAGAGAAAAGCGCCAAAATTGTGAAAATGTTTTTAATAAAGTATCATTCAGACTGTAAATTTTTTTAAATCGGTGGATCGATCTCACTTTTATTTTTCTTGATTGGCTATGCTGCTAGAAAGAATGGATGATTAGTTTTTACTGGTGCTACAGTAATAATACTTTTGGTAATCATAGATTCAAGATGTACATTTTATATTTTATAATTGCAGTGAAAATTGAAAGAATTCAAACAAAACGATAAAAATTACCTGTATAACTTTGTAAATTAGTATTTGGAATATTATTGTATTGGATTAGGACATTAGGTTTAAAAGTAAAGGCATGCTGTAAAATGAAGAATATAAATTTATTCTTAAAATAATACTTTCAATAATTTTGAAATGTATTTTCATGTATGTCTCTTACGTGTTTTGCAATAAATAATATAAGTGAATTCGAGTTTGATGCTGTTTAAAAGATCAAACCTAAAAAACCCTGATATATTATTTGAGTTCTGTGTAAATAAAAACAATGTTCAAATAAAAATGAATTAACTACATCAGTAGATTTTTTTCAATGACATTATTTTCGATACACTATCTTTTTATCGAATGATAACTTTAATTTGTTTTTTTTTTATTTTAAATAAATTGCTCTACGTATAATATACATAACAGCCGAAAAGAGAATACGACGTTAAGTGTTTAGAACATCTATTTTGTTTTACCATTCAAAGTTTAAAAATCTCGCTTAGGCTTATTATTTACGGAAAAATCGATGCGTACTCGGTATGAAAAAAAAAATTAAATTGCAAAATATCTTTACTTTGCGAAAAAAGTGCTGAAGCAAAGCTAAAAATAAAAACGTTGTTATCCAAATAATAGAAAAGTTTGATCCCTCAATAATAAGATCCTTTGTGGATCTTGGACTATTTATTCATTGCGAATTGTTAAAGTACGCGGAATTTTGGAAATAGAGTAAAACACTGAATCGTCGATTGAACTAAGTATTTGTTTGTTACATCTTAGGCCATGGATACACTGAAGGTATAGATGATGTGTAGCTTGTATCATACAATTGGGCTTTGATGAACTCTTCGTAGTTATCTGGTTCTGGATGTACTGTTGCTAGCGCTGTAACATAAAAATAAACATTTTTTAGTAAAATTAAAATCTCATACAAATATTTGCAAATGGCACTCTTAATAAATGGTCATACTGTTGATATACCAAAATACATACATTGTGCGTAGGCGTAATCCATGAGCTTCGTTGCAATTTTGATCGAGCATTTTTGAATATCTTTGAGCGGTGGATAGAGAGTGCCTTTTTCGAGATCCGCGTCGGTAACAAGCTCAGCAAGGGTCGAGGCAGCCTGAAGGAATGTTTCCTCGGGTATCGTCTTCATACCAGCGCAAATCGCACCAAGAGCGATGCCAGGGAAGATGTAGCTGTTGTTACCTTGACCGGGGTAGAGAGTCTTACCACCGTAGGTCACTGGGTTGAAAGGTGAACCACTGGCGAAGATCGCACGGCCCTGTTAAAGAAAATAGATGGTTATTAGAAACTTGTTTAATAATTCAAACTAACTTTTTACAATCGCAATTAATAATAAGACACTGCAACTGTATTACATAAAGATCAGAGATTTTGGGATCGGTGTGTTGGCTTTTAAGGTGGTCATTGTCAAAGTTAATTTAGCATGATACCTAGCTTTTTATGATTCCACTGTTTCATAAATATGTATATACTAAAAAAATATTTATTTATAAGTCCTGCAACTCAGTTAATGACGAACGTTAATCAGTCTAGATTATTGCTCACTTCAGTGGCATTGTAAGCTTCCTCAGCCGTACACTCTGCTTTGCTGGTGGGATTGCTGAGCGCGAAAATCACGGGCTTAGCATTGTTTTTGGCCATGTCCTCGAGAATTTGTCGAGTGAATGCACCACCGATCGCAGCAGCGCCAATCAGCACAGATGGTTTGGCTAATTTCACGACCTCCGCGAGGGAGGAAACTGGAGCGTGATCGCGCGCGAACGGCTCTTTGTGCTCGCTTATCCCACCGCTTGGACGGTTCTTCACGATCAGACCTTTGGAATCGACCATCCAGATACGGCTTTTAGCCTCTTGTTCGGATGTTCCCTCCTGTTTCATTGCCATTACGCAAAGCCAAGCGATACCCAGAGCAGCCTGAAATTCGAACTGTTTTAGCAAAGCAATCGATTTTCTCGTCTTATCGCGATAAAAGCCATCGACTCGTAGCTCACCTCGCCGGCACCTTGGAACACAATAGTGTTATCCGAGAGCTTAGTGTTGGTAAGCCTGAGCGATGCGATGAGACCGGCAAGAGCGACGGATGCAGTTCCTTGGATATCATCGTTGAAAGTGCAATAGCGGTCGCGATATTTGTTCAATAATCTGAAGGCGTTGGCATTCCCGAAGTCTTCGAACTGAATGAGGGTGTTTTGCCCGTAACGCTTCACCGCTGCGCACATGAATTCGTCCAAGAACTCGTCGTACTGGGCGCCTGTCACGCGCCTGTGCCTGTGGCCGATGTACAGCGGGTCGTCCAGGAACGACTGCAGTAGAAATCAAAATTCTCAACGAAAGATGCATTTATTCGCGCGTTATTCATAAGCTTTGTTAGTATTTTTATCGACGGCCGCGGTTGTGTTCCCTATTTTTCCACGACAATTCAACGATTCGCGAATAAAATCAGTTTACATCGAAAGAAATGTACTTGTAACAAGGAAATGCTCTGATTAATTCAAACTTTATGTTGTCCACGAATTTATTAAGTCCATTGTACTACCTGCAAGCAATACGAAGACGATCGTTGAATACAACATGAATTATCAAAATATTTTTCTATTCATACAGTGGACAGTAGTTCTAACGGTCTTTTTCTCGCGTTAATGAATCTCTGTGACGACTAATGACCATCCGAAGCAGAACTAAAAAACCCACCTGATTGTTGGTACCAACGTCCAATGTAATAGGCAAGCACTGATGGGGTTTGATTCCAGCCAAGGCGGTGTAAAGCGACAGCTTGCCGATCGGTATACCCATACCCTGAGCGCCAAGATCACCGAGGCCGAGGATGCGCTCGCCGTCGGTGACCACGATGGCCCGAACGTCGTGCTCCGGCCAGTTCTTCAGCACGTCGTAAACGTGGCCTTTGTCGTGAATGCTGACGAAGAGGCCGCGCGGGCGACGGTAGATCAGACCGAATTTCTGGCAGGCTAGACCCACCGTGGGCGTGTAAACCAAGGGCATCATCTTCTCCACGTCCGCGCTGAGAAGTCGGTAGAAGAGCTTCTCGTTGCGGTCCTGCGGTATACATTGCGGGAAACCCCAGTGAGCTTGGATCAATCGATAAAAGAGATCGCGACGACTCCTCGTTCGCCACCGCGCGGAAGGAAAGTCGAGCTCTGCTCAAGCCGGACAAGGCTCTGCTGCTCTCGACATTTCGCCCGATCACATCGAGATCAACGAAAACAACGTACGCTGGCAACTTACCAAGAGGCCGGCCAGGTAAATGTACTTGGAGAGATCGTCGTTGTATATGTCGAGGTTGAGCCTGCAGAGCTCGAGCTGCTCGTCCTGGGTTTTGACTGCCGCTGGAAGCAAACCGTGGATGCCGAGCGTTTGACGCTCCTCGATCGTGAAGGCCATGCCCTGCAACAGTTGCAATCGCAAGCTTATACGACGCTCTCTGTCGTCCAGAGAGAGCGATTGTCTCGCGTTTACACGGAAAGGCACGGTGCACCGATATCCTTCAGGCCTGTTCTTTTCCACGTCGAGGTGAAGATTTTTTTCTTCGAACAAAAAACGAGTTTTGCGCGACTACGCTCGAAAGAAAACTCGTTTTTCCAGCGAAATTAATTAAAAGCCAATACACAGAGCTCGTACGTATTCTATAATTTTCCGGTGAGCAATTCTTACTCACGGCATTAACAATTCATCTCGTTACCTTCTCACAAACATCCTTGAAAACAAACAAAAGGATGTTGACAGGGCGCCTTTATCTCGAAGGAAAGGAGCGGACGAACGAACGAATAAAGAAAGGAAAAAGGCGCACGCGTCGAGGCGATATAACGAACGAGCTCGCGAAAATAAAAAGGTATATAGTAAATCGTGACCTCGCTAGCTCACGTCTATGCACGTGTCCTCGCGGCGAATGCGACACGCACGGTCGGCGGGCGCTCGGGGCGATCAGCTGGCCGGCGCTTAGGCGAGATAACATCGACACGGCCGTCCAGGCTTTTAATTAAGCGAGCGTCGCGCGCACGACGCTCGAAGTGCCACGCGCTCGATTCGTTTTTTTTTTCTTTTTTTTTTTTCCTCTTTCTCCGCTCGCTCGAAACGCGATCTCTTCGCTTTTTCGTGCCTCTCGAGTTCCCAGTGTCGCGCGCCAATCGGCCCACCGCGGTCCACGCGCTTACGCGCGCACACATCGGCGTTCCGGCCTCGGCCTGCGCAGCGCGAGCTGCTCGAGTCGCCGTGCGTCGCCCGACGCGCTAATCCGCGGCTCTTGACCGGCGGATTATCGGTCGACGCGCGCCCCGTTTCTCAATTCGCAATCGCTCGCCCAGACATAATAAAATGCGCGAGAGCTCGATCTCCTTCTCGTTGCGTGTACTTTACGCGCGGCTGAACTTTGAATGGCCGGCTCGCATTTATCTAGTTTGCGCCAGTTCCGCTCTGCAGCGTCGGACTTTTGCGTTGCCGTCGAACTGCAATATTTGCGACGACGTCGCGCTTCACGATACTTGAAATGCACACGACCGGCTGCGTTTATATTCTTTTGGGTCGATTTAATTTCGGCAGAACGGCATCGGTATTGCAAATGAATAATTGACGATTCGTCTAGACTCGATAATGAAAAACCGTTCCGAGGCGGGTTTCGAACACAATGCAATGCCTTGAATCGATTCACTCGCAAATCAGCAACGTCGACGCGCGACCAGACGGAAAAGAAAGAAACGCGGCCGTAGATAAATCTAGTTGCAGTAATTTCGATAGAAGGAATGATTAAGGCGTGCACGTGCGATAACTAGTTGACTCACCGCTTGGCAAAATAATCCAAGAGTTACGTTGCACATGCTGCCAATCGATACGGCAAGCAGTTTTCTGTTTTGCAGAGGGTGTAAATAACACAGCAAGCTTCAAATCCAAGGTGTCGAAGGATAGTTCGAATCTTGCGTGCAGTCGGCGAGAGAGAGAGAGAGAGAGAGAGAGAGAGAGAGAGAGAGAGAAATAAAAATGAAAAGGAACGAGTGCGCAGTGTACAACAAGCCTACCACTAAACAACAGCAAAGAGCACCAAACAAACGACAAGATTTCACCCTGCCATCGATAGAGAGCAAAGCTTCCGGAATTTTCGTCAGTCTGTCCTGGCTGACGGGGACGAGAATCCACCAGTCGACCTCCATGCTCACACGCTCCAGACCTCCCGGTCGAGCGGCTCTGCCCGCCGCGCGTAACGACAACACTCTAAGAGTTGCCATGGGGGGGGGGGGGGGGGTGAAAGACCTGCGCGCTGCGAGTCCGCCAATCGATATACAAGGGAATGTCAGGCCGATGCACTTTGCCTTAGATCCTGTCCACCTCTCCGAAACCTCATGGTGCTGACAGCTCCATCGTGCCTCGCTCCACTTGGCGCGATGTGCTTGTCTCCATCCCTTCTCTCTCTCTCTCTCTCTCTCTCTCTCTCTCTCTCTCTCTCTCTCTCTCTCTCTCTCTCTCTCTCTCTCTCTCTCTCTTCATCCCTCTCTTTCGTCGAGGATACACGGATCGTTAGGGTGACCGTCGGCTGGTCGACCCTTTATTCGCAAGAGAAAACCAGTGCGACCGCCGCGAAGCCCGAACAATCGACGAGTCGCTTTCCCTCGCCGTCGCGTGACAAATGCGCCCATTTCCGTCGAGTTGTTAACCGCAAAGAATCGCCGGATCGTGCCAGCTGCTACGAGCAACGTCGTTCCATTGGCGCCGACAGATCGAGCAGAGATCACGTGCGAAGCCGTCGATCGTTGACCGTTGACGGCCGAACGAGGCAAAATTCCGGGCACAAGGCATGCGCGACCATATGATCGGCGACAAGCGCCTTGGCCGTATCGCGCTTGCCTCGCTGCGGATCGACAGTTCGCCTTCGGGAATTGAACCATCGTCAAATCCAACGCGCCGTCGCAACGCTTTCGAGCGACAACGCGGAGACTCCCGTGCGCCGGATCGAGCCGCTAACGCGACGGCCGTGCGTTCGCTGCCGGCAAAACATAGTTATCGTCAACAGCGCGCTCGATTACCCGTATCGGACAGGCAGTAACCAGTCGTTTATCGAGCGCACATACGACGAATTGAACGCAGCCGCGGAATTCCAACCGCGCCGCTGCGGATTGATTACAGATAAGAGGCGCCGGCGAAAAATTGACAACAACGGGATCCCGCTTCCGTCTAGCCGACCGCAAAAAGGAAGAAAAAAAAAACAGGCGACCTTCGCGAATTGAAGAGCTGACGAAAGAAGCGCTCGCGACCAGCTCCACGTCGAATTCGCGGGAAAGGTATTCCACTGCTCCGACATTGTCGTCTCGCAAGACGTAACCCGAGAACGCGCGGCACAGGGAATATTGCCGTGCGTGCCAGGCGTAATATTTCAAACGGGGCTAACTGATACGAGACGGAGAGAGCAATTGCTGATTCTCGCATCGATCGGCCGAAGCTAACGTCGAGTGTCGCGGCACGCGCTGCTCGACACCGGAGCGCGCGAGCGAAAATCCAGCGTCAATGGGCCGCGGGTGCGATCAACCGAGAAGAGTCGCCGGGCGCGTTTGATCACGGAAGTTTCCGTGACGCTTGGATTCTACCGAAATTGCCCATGACGTCAGCGTATTTCGCGAATCAAGCGACAGAGGCGACGGACTCTATCGACGGCGGCTCTAGCGCGATACAAGGCTTTCTTTGTTTCTCGCGACGACTCCGACGAAGATCGTACGGTCGCAGCGAGAAAGCGAACGGATCGTTCGCTCGGCAACTGCTGTCTTTTTCGCCGAAGGGCAAAATCACAATCACCGCCGGACGCCATTATCGGCAGCGATCGTCGCGGCATTCCTGTTGGACACGAGTTGCGCTAGAAAACAATTGTCAGCGAAAAACGAGTAGACGAGGAAAGAGAACGTTCGAAATTAACGACACGAGCGAATCATCCTTTTTTCCGAAGGAAAGGGGAAAAAAAAGTAAAACACACCGAGTCATTGCGGACGCGTACTCGCGGTACCGTCACCTTTGAGATCGCGAGTGCGTCACGTTATGTCGAGTGGCAAAATGCTATGCAAATGAACTTCCGCGAAAAACTTGCGCGCGCGGTTCTCTTTTTTCTTTTTTTTTTCTGTTTTGGTCAAGCGCTCGCGCGAACTACTTGAAAATTCCCGACATCGGTCGTTCCGCGCAAGCTCAGACGTGGCACGTAACTACCCTGTCGCGCGCGCCCCTTCGCGCGTCACAATACCGTGGCGCGGCGCCGTGTCGGCAAACTGCGGAAAACTGTCGCGAACCGTACGTGTCGGCGGTGGTGCTTTGAATAAACAATCGGCTCTTGAGATCGATAATAGGCTAAAGCTTGGTGAGCGAGCAACGTGCAATTCCGTCGGCCGCGTGTTTCAAGTGCAAGGTTATGAAGTAACGCGATCGACGCGTAACAGGCCCGTTGTTCGCAAGGTTGTCGGGCACGGATTATTTTTTTTTTTTTTTTTTTTTTTTTTTTTTAATTTTCTCTTCTAATTCGATAATCTCGGCCGCAATCGTTTTCATCAAGGAGCAAGCGACGAGAAAAATAACTGACCTTGTTGAGCTGCGGATTCCTGACGTGATCCAATCCGCGGACGGCACCCGGTGTGACGGAGTCACCGGGTCCACGTTGTCCCAGCTGATCCCTTTCGAGCGTGAAAGTCTGCATTTTGCTGCTTGCGACGCCGTTACACTTGCTGCTCTGTTCGCTGGTAGGCCTGTACTGGTGAAGTCTGTGGAAAGATATATGTATAATGGCACACGGCGAGGAGGAACAGCTGATCGCTGGCTGCCAGTAAACACGTACACAGACGCGCGACGTCGCGCGGCTTTAAAGGTGCGCGGCGCAAGCGCCAAGGCGAGGAGTGGGGCTCGAATAAACCGCCGGTTTTCGTTTCTCTCTTTGTTGTTCGAGCATGCGGTAGATGCGGTCATTTTTTTTTATTTTGAAAATGGGCCCAACGTGCAGGCAACCACATCAAGAAAACCCGATGTTACTCCCGAACGTCTAATCGAAAGCAGATGCGACGTCACAGCATTAGCGAATATTGAAATTAATCGCAAGGATTGACGAGGTTAACTTGCGCAAAGCTTCGTTCGGAAAAGCACGAAAGCTGTTATTTTTGGCCAGTGAGCAGTTAAATCAGCGATCGACGAGAATCGAAGCTTCACAAAATCGAGCGTAAAAGGAATGACGAGCTGCATCGTGCACGACCTTGGCGAGTGCTTCTCGCCTCGGCAAGTCGGAAAAACGTCTACGTGCAACTAACTATATAGTGTACGTTGCGCTTGGGACGGAGCGCGCGTACGGCGCAGCACGTGCGGTCGTCAATGTTCGACGGGGCCAATTTACGGGCCGGAACCGCGATACGGGATGTAAACAAAGTCTGCTTATCGCTCCTGAAATTAGCCTGCGAGTGTATCTGCAGCGGAGCGACGACTGTGCCGCCGCAGGGCTTATCGACGCGCGCGTTGCGCGTCAATTTTCGATTTGGCCATCGCGCCGCAGCGCTTGGAAACACGACGGACGCGGGCTCGCGGCGGGGGTCGTGGAAAAATCGGAAACACGGCGGGGACGCGGTAACGCCCGGCGCTGCGTACCTGTGGGTGATCGGGTCGCGCTTCCAGGCATAAGCCGACTCGTCCATGCTGGCGTCCGGCCTGAGCTCTCGGGCAGCCTGGACGAGGGTGGACAGCCGCGTTGCGCCCCGCCGTGCTCTTCGCAGCTCGACGAGTAACCTCGTCAGCGCGAAACGTCGGCCCATCGCGCCAGGAAAGCGGCTTCGAAACAATGGACGGTTAGCGCGCGACTGCGAGATAGATCGCGGCCCCGCGCTCTCGCGCTGATAAAAGTCGCGCGAGCGATACTCCCGGCGCTGCGCGATGCGTGATTTTGCATGATACCCACGCGTGCTACGCTTCGGCTCGCGCGATCACGGCGGCGCGGAAAGTTTCGAGCCTCTCTTTCTGTCATTTCTCACTTATTTCCTTTTGCCTTGGCGAAGAAAGAAGCCGCGTTCGTTTGTTCTCTTCGGCGAAAGGCATTCCATCGAGCGTCATGGCTGGGGGGAGGGGGGGGGGCGGCAGGAAAGTCACGTCAACGAAAGGCCTTAGATAGCGAGTTTTTCTTTTTATCCTTGCGGACGACTCGACGAGCGGGGCGTTTCGATGACGAAACGGAGCGAGCGCGCCTACGACGGTGCGCGACCGCCGGAGGCCGCGAGTGCGTGACGACGAATTTTTCCACCGATTCACGTGCGCGCGCTGCACGAGAGATATTTTTCGGTCGTCCGGCGTGACTTGTGCAAACGGACTTATCGGAGCTAGCGAGCTGAGTTTCGTGCGCCGATATCTGATTTATCGTATTTAATGTATCGCGCGCATGTTCATGCTAATTATCGTCAGAGTTGTTCTGAGAAGTGACAAGTCGCGCGCGATGCGCGTCAACTGCGCTGGGAAAGTTTTGACCGTGGATATCGGGAAATGTTTCTATTTTAAAACTGGTCAAGCTGCTTATCATTTTCTTTTAAATACAGAAATTTTTGACCTACACAGTTACGTTTAATGTGTTTTTAACGACGTACACTAATGACAATAAACCAGCATTTTTATAATACAAAATATTAGTGTAACAATATCGTATCTAACTTTCACCCTCACCCTCATTATTATTTGTAACGATCAATCGAATGTAAAATTAATCGCTTGAAAGTTGAAGCAAACAAGAAAATCAAAACAATTTGAATCTGATCCATAATCATATTTATCAGTTAATAAGATGTATGCAGTGCAACGGTACAATCGCACGGAGTGGCACGATTGTCCATATAAATATACATGCATTAGACATACGATTGACAATCAGCCTGTGACAAAGCAAAAAAACTGTCACAACTTGTATCTATATACAATTGCAATTCAATTCAAAGCGCTAAAAACACGTTATTGTGTGGACAAGTCATTGGAAATGCATTTGTGTCGTAAAAGAATAACGTTATTCAAAACTTCGAGTTGTAAATAAAAGAAACAAGGTGTAGTAAAACAAAATTAAAGTAAATAGAAAAGAAAACGCATTCGTTGCTCGCGAAATTGGATCCGATAAGTTGGAGCGATAGACAATTATGGAAAATTGAGCATCGTAAATGACGTTCAACACCGTGCAAATCGATTATTGTCTATCCACCGATCGACTGTTTAATGCGCGAATATCGCATAGCAACCGGAAGAATCGTTCCGAAAGCTTAAATCGCGAGTCCGGAGCCGTATCTGATCACGCACCACGTTGCGCGTCCAAATCAAAACAAATACGCGAGCGACCCACCCACCTTTCCGATCTCTGGAAAACCGCAGCAGAAGCCGCGTTCGATAAACGGTGCTCTCGAATTACGACATACTCACGAGTGACTCTTGGAGCCGCTGCATTGCACGTCCTTGCTACTTTGCGCTCCCATGGCGATTCCACTCGCTGCTACTCTCTCTCACCTGTAAAAGTGCAGAAGCGACGGTCGAGTATGCGAGCCGACTGTTCATGCGGTCCGAATGGACAACGATGACTGATAGGCGCGAGCAGAAAGAGAGAGAGAGAGAGAACGCGCGCGCGGGAAGTCGCGACAGCTCGTGTCGCGCACACTTGGCAATCGTCAGCGTGTACGTGTCTGTGTGTATTGCCGACTGACTTTTTACTTTTACGGGCCACTATATAGCTATTATGTGCCGATCGCGCTCTGTTTGTTTTTATTGCCACGCTCCCACTCGCTGCGGAAGATTTTAATTTTTGGCTGTGGCAAATCACTGTAACGGGTGTGAATGGAAGCGTCGATCTTGTAACGAAGACCCTCGTTAATCGCAACAGTCATAGATCATTTGGCATTGAAAAATAAATTTTAATAGAATCTCATTCTTTCGGATTGTTGTTTTTCAAATGCAATTGCGATTATTGCTTTAACGTGCAATGAATAGTTTATCTTAGAGATAACGTGTATGAACGATTTACTCGACACTCGATCTATAAATCCACAATTATCGTGCAAACTTCGATCACAGGAGTAAATAAAACTAGGTCACCGTAACGAGAAATGACGTGTGTGTAACAGCCGAGAGGCTTGTCAACGAGCTGAAGGATACCTCATAAATCAAGACTGACCATTATTTCTCTCCTTCTCTCTTTGAAATGTCATCGTCCTTCCCGAATTTCACCCTTTCACGCTCTTTTCTCTTCGAAAACTCTCAATTAACGTCCGGTTGCGATCGCTTTAACTTTTGCTTCCGTTCGTGGACTGTATGTCGTAAAAGCGCTATTGTAGAAATTTTGTTGTTGCATAGATTTAAAATTGCGAATTCACCTTCGATTCGTATCTTTGTTCTGCAATTTCGTGTTGCCGTTGCCGTCGCATATTCATTTATTTTGATCAGTTGAATGATTAAATCGGAAGGACTTTTTAAAATCAATTTTGTGATACGACTATTACCAAACAGTTACCAAACTGTTTTATTATCAATTAGAATAGATCTTATGAGAACTTATGAACAGAGAATACAAATAAATATAATTAACCGTGACATCACGATTGATAATACATAGAACATTGTGTCATATCGAGCAAAAAAATACTTTAGCAACAGTCAAGAAATTCTAAAGACTTTTTTCCAAATGACTCTGCAAGTATTCTATTTAGAATCTTCTCAAGATTTCTATACTCATAACAGTTGACTGTTGCTTCTTCTGCAATTTTCTTCATAACAATTGATACTTCATTTATTAAATCCTGATTGTAAACAAAATCTTGAGCTATTTGATTTTCTACATTCTTTATCGATGCCTCTATATTGGAGAGTATATCAGGAGCTGTTTCTAGTAAATCCTTATTTTACAAACATAAACAGAATATGACAAAAAATAATGTAAATCAATAATCTAATTATTGACTTTTTATATATTATAATAATGTGTTTACCTTCAAAAAGGGTAGACAGATGTTTGACCAGTTTTCTATGCAAGGTACACATTTACATGTAAATTTCATAAAAGTATTGTAGTCACTGTTCCTTTTATCTTTTGGTACCAAGAGAATATCATGTTGATAATAATTTATAAATATCTTGAAGAAAGAAAATATTTTATTAGATGTAATTAGGTGATTTTATGTAATTAATTAATCAAAATATTTTTTAATTACCTGGGACCCTTTATCTATTGGTTGATTAGCATATACAATAATTTCATTATCTTCAGTAAATATGTAGTCTGCATTTGATTTACAACTGTTGTTAAAGAAACTACAAAATGGATGAAGAGTGATTCCCATTGAAAATGCTGTCCCTTTTGGATGATAATATTGTAACTGAAAAAAGTTAATTATGAGAAAAAAAGTGTACAGCAACATATTCATTCTATACAAGTGATTGATTGTATTCTTGCCTTAAGGCTATTGTAAGATACAATTTGCCTGAACATTAAAGCAGCAAAGAAAAACATGTTTGGTTCAGACATCATTTCAAGAGGTGTTATATCATATTTTTTCCCAAAGAAATCTGTTTTGGTTGCCAAATGATATACTGCATAGCAAATGCTTGAACCAAAAAGTCTATCCACATAATCACATTCTTCAGTCTTAGCAGGAAAAGACAAATAACTCCTTATTGCATCACTATGAAAAATATCATCTTCCATGAAACCCTTTTTACGAGGATCTGCAATGAGATAATATTATTTTTAAAAATACATTACCTACTTATTATATATAAACAATTTATTCAATATCAAAATTCACCAGTGGATTTATGTGCTGCTATAAGCTCTTCTTTTAGTTGATTTATACTACCTGTGTTATTGACTGCAATAAGCATAAATCTTACATGGTACGATAAAAATTTATGGTCATCATCTTTTTGACATAAAAATGGAAGTATTGGGCATTCAAATTTATGATATTTCTTGTTAGCTTCTAACTGACATTTATCTGAACAATAAACATCAAAAATACAGCCTTTACATGGCATAAGACTCCATGATGGTTTGGTACAAAAAGAACAAAACAACCACATCTCTGAAGGATCAATAAAAGAATAATAACTATTTTCTCTAACGAGAATTTCTCCAGCTTCAATATGCCGAGTAGCAACAATATGTCTACCCCATTTTTCATTGTACTTTATAGCAACAGCTTCAGAAGCACTTGGAGCTTCGACATTTGGTTCAAATGATGGAAGTTCGTTTGCAAATTTGATCTTTTTTCCTACATTGTTTATATTTTCTTCATCTGATGGTTTCTTAATTTTCCTTTCAAAATCTTCAGACTTCCTTTCGAATGTGTAACTCTGTTTAAAATCTAAATTTGTTTTTTTCAATAAACAATTAGCTTGGAATAAAACAGCCTCAGCTGTGGTAAAATCTTTTAAACCAATTAAGGCTTCAGTTTTTCGAAACATCAATTTGATTTTTAACTGATTAGACTTGACTCTAGATAATGCTCTGTCACAATCTTGCAAACATTCTTTATACTTCTGTAAATGGAGTAACAATGCAGCTCGATTACTGTATCCAAGTTCTAATTCTTCAGAATCATTAGGAGCAGCAGCAATACTCTGATTATAATATGCCAATATTTTACGATGATCTAATTCATTGTGGGATTTTTGACGGAATAATCTATTTCCAGCATTTCGCATTCTAATAGACAATGGGTCGTTTTTTATTAATTCCATATCAAGAGCAAGTTTCTTATTGAATTTTTGATGGTGGACTTCTTTTTTATCCATATTTTCCATCATACTAGACATTAATCTTTTCTCTAAAAACATTTCATCTCCACACAAGAAATCACGATTATCAATATTTTTCAATATAACATTTTTCTGTTCTTCCAAATATTTATTTATATTTAGTGAGTCAGCCATGTTTTTTAATTTTCTAATAATTTTTTAATAAAACCTTAAAAATCATTCATCGATACATACATGTTACTTCACTAATTGTGTGTATATTTATTTCATATTTATAAATACCTGATCAGTTTTTAACATACACTCTTATATTATAAAAATTCTTAGCTTTCAATTAATTTGTCTTCTATAAATAAAATATTGGACAAAATTTGAAGAATTGTTGAAACTTGAAACTAATCGGCAATATCAGATGATATTAGTATCCTTCTTAATTTAGTTGTGGTGGTTACGCATTAATTCAGCGTTCACACACCGCGCACACGTACACAGAGACCTCAAAGTAGTTTCCTACAAACTCGTGACTCGTGATTATTTCTCAATTGTACCTTCATAATTGTTTATTTAATGGTCTGTAGTGGACCTGAAGTCCTTGTGATCCGCCCATCTGCAACTAGATGGCGTTGGTAACCTGCGAACGGCAAGAAATACGTTTATTGGCCGTTACATTATAAGCCCGTATAGTATAATTAACGAAGATAGACGGTTACGAGATGAAACACTTCTATATTTTACTAATCTTCTCTTTTTTCCTCTCATTCTTATATGAGCCTGATAACGCTCTATTTATATTAATTAAGGTGCCAAAGATCTGATGAGTACTTGATATAGTACATTACGCAACAAGTGCAGAAGGTAGGCGATTCCCGAGGGTGACAACGCGCATGTGTTATCACCTACTTAAGCACGCGTTGCAATCTACGGAAAGTTCGATTTCTGCCGAAAAAGGTTTACAACGATAATTTAATAATGATAAACGTCAATTTTGTAAAGCAAATAACGATATAAAACTATAGTTGAATCTTAGCATTTTTTCCATATTTAGCTCTGCGGTTTGATAAAGGGAAATATAGAAAACAATGGCATCCCTTGAATCCCGTGTTTAGGCACGTTTGGAGAAAATCTAAGTCTGTTTAGGGAAAACTCAATCTGTTCAGCAGATGCGTGACGCTCCCGAGTATGAGCAATAAAAAAAGGGCACGTACCACTCACTTTGATCAAGTAGATTGGAATGTAGGAAATGAAGTTCTCAGCAGCCTCCACCGAACCCACCAAGATCACGACATCGTGAAAATGACCCTTCAATTAACAACATCAACGATCACGATGATTCAACGACGGTTAATGTATCAGACATGTTGATCTCCGAAAAAAATATATCCTTTAAATACGGATGCATATTTCTCCAATGTTAGCTCAACTTTTTGCTCCGTCTATAAGATATTCTTTTCATTTATGTCCGTCGCCTGTCGCGATTAATTTAAGTATATCAATTATTGTTTAGTCAAAAGTTATATTAACCCGCTAAATGTCTTAAAAGCAATTTATAGCTTATAATTTGTTCGGTCAAATGTAATTGGCATCAGAACCGGACACATCCGTGCCCCAGGTGTCACCGCTGCTCTCAACGGATTCCAGACTAACTACTAACCAGCATCTCGATCATTGAATCAATCATAAATTAAACATATGGTACCCTTAAGACAGAAACACGCGCATTGAAACATGAATCTCTAATGATTAGTGTGTGAATTACAAAAATTACTGCATCAAACGGGTCCATTCAAATCAAACGTGCAAATTAGGAATTAAATTTTGTAGTAATCAAATATTAATCTTATTCGATGTTACTTTCAACCATTTTAAAAATTACGCTCATAAATTGCTCGCTATTACTTAATTGTATAAAAAGTTTTAAATACGTGTGAGATAAATCTATGTAAAATGGAACATTCACTTATGAAACAACTTATTGAATTCAAGGCAATTCATTTTAGTATTTTCAAATTAAATAATAAGAAATTATAATGTCATAAAAACCAAAATACACGTGTAGAAAAATATAAAATTCAACTATCTTTCTATTAATCGAAGGAACATTAAAATGAATTATCATCGCGTAAAAATATAGTTCAATATTACTTTCATGTTCTCACGAATAAAGTTTATAATAATTTCAATGATGATATGCCAATCCGGTATATTTCAATGTTTTGTAATAGGTCTGATGTAATTAGTGATAATAAATGTAGTAAATAACTATATTATTACTGTTACATATCGAATTCTGTTCTTTTATTTATTATTCATTCGCTATCAATTTAATCTCTGTTTGTTTTTGTAATAAAAGCTTATGTTGACATTTTAAATCAGATTTGCGATTGTTATATTACCGTTAATGAAATAATTATTTAACAATTACATTAATGATGATTATTAATAATTATAATAGTAGTACCATTATCTATGGTAGACTACTCGATAGCCCTAAGTTTTAATTCCAAAGGCGGATTGTAATTCAGTGAGCAATAGTCTTTTTTCGATTAAAATAGTAGAAAAAAAATTATTTGATATTAAACATTAAAACAAAACTATTTTAAAGTATATGTTCAAACAATTGACTATACAATTCCTGAGTGACATTGATAACTCCGACTATGGAAATATATAAAGATGACAATGATTTCCGCAAACTTTCACAAACTAATGTAGAACCATTATTCGAAAATGGACTGTGCAGCGACACAAGTCTGATATTTATAGACAAATAATTTAAACTCTATAAAAATATACTACGTGGCAGCTTAGCATTTTTTAAAAGATTGATAGATCAAGGCAGACTGCCGAGAATAAATAAAAATAAAGTATTTTCTTATTAATTCTCGATAAGCTTCTACAATATCAGTGCTGGAGTTGTGCCGCTACTTATATTACGGCGAAGTAAACGGTTTAGAAGGAAAGGCACAAGAATTATTGACAGCTGCATGTTGATTCTTATGAAGATAATCAGTAAAAAATTGATGTGGAAATATCTTAGTAACAAAACTGCCATAGAAAATGTAATAAAGTGTTTACAATGATCAGACACTTTATCACTGATGACATAAGCGATGTAATTTTTAACTTCATACATAAGACATTTCAATATGAATCCTTAATTATCAATTTAAAAAATATTGATTATTTTTAAACAGATTATTTAGTAAGTTTGAACGTTTTCTTAGACAACATTTGTTGATTTATGGTAACTTGTTTTAGTTCATAGACTATTAAAGATATTTTTATGTAACAAAAATACATATATAAGTCAAAAAATACAAAATTAAACTATAGGTTTTTGATTTAGAAAACCTTAATATTTGTACCTATGCATTTATGCATTTGTGTGACATATTAAATGTCCAATTACCAAAATATGTTATATACATATTTAGTAGATATTTTTCATAGCTGTAATAAGCTGAACAATGTTCGGTCAATTTTGTACTCAATGTTTCTAAAATAAATTTTATTTTCTTCACTGAATCTAAGCTAGAATGATTAATAGCTATAGTATCAATGATTTTATGGATTTCTACTCCTAAACTTGAAGTCATATCAAATATAAGCTAGAAGAATGTTTATATAATTAAATACCATCTATCAAAACTATCATAAAGCAAAGATTTTATTGTTAACTTACATCAGAGCTTGGAATACAAATATTTGACCACTTTTCTGAGCAAGCTAAGCAGTGGCATTTAAAATTAAAGATTTTAAGCAAATTTTTATGCCTTTGCTCTCTAATATTGCTTAAATAATGTTCGCCACAATAACTAACAAATAACTGAAAATTAAAAAATCAGTTCAATTAACATTCATCACTTAAACATAAAAAAAATTAATTTTTTATATACCTGCTCTCCTTTTTTGATAAAATGTTTAGCATAAATCAATGTTTTATTATTATTTACAGAAACTAGTTCGGTATTTGGATTACAGCTGTGATTGAAAAGACTCCTAAATGGACCAATAGATATCCCATAATGAACTCTGTCATTTTCAAAATTATGTGTAAGCTATGTAAACAATTACAATCATCTACATTTATAAATACAACCAGTATTAGTGAAAAAATTATTCATTTTACCAGAAGTGAATGTTTTTGAATTAAAGCATGAATTCTTGCTAATAAAGCTCCAACTAAAATTATATCATCATGGTTCAACATTTCCAATAGATCTAAGTCTATTTTTTTTTCAAACAAATCCGTTTTTGTAGCTAACAGATGAACAATTGTACAGGCTTCGTAAATTTGTGAATATATTGTGAAGTTATCAACTCCATGTATATGACTGTACATACTACCAAAATTTTCACTGCTGAAAATACCATCAGAAGAAAATCCTACTGTACGAAAATCTAAAAAAAATGTTTTAATGTATTGAATTATAGAAATCTAAATAATCTTACATACCTTTGCAATTTTCTATGTTACTTGCATCTTTTCTCAATTGTTTAATTCCACCTGCTTTATGAATCATAATAAGCAGTAATCTAATTGCACTATGACCATTTGTAATATTCTGCTCTATATCCCAAATGTACGGATAGACAGGACATTCGTATTTATGATATTTGATCCATGCTTCTGACAAGCACTTTTCCGAACAATAAACATCATAAATACAGTATCTACATGGAATGGATGACCAAGTAGGTTGAACACAATTTGAGCAAAATAAATACATTCCAGGTTTCAATAACAATGTGCAAAAGTTATCTTCGATAGCAACAATGTCACCAGGTTTGATATCTTTGGTAGCAGTAATATGTCTTCCCCATTGTTTGTTGTAAGTGATTTTAATGCTTTTAGAAGCACATGGAGCTTCTTTCTGATACTTCAGATCGGTGAGTTCAGACATATTTTGTGGTTTGTTGGTTTGCTCGAAAGAATTTAAATCTTTTAAAGTATTTAATATATTGTGAAGCTTGTTAACAAATTTTCTTTTTAAATCCTCTTTTATAGACAATATACACAATTTTTTTAGAGCTTCATCACAAACACTTTTTGCTGAATTTTTATTCAAAAAGGCTAAGCATTCAGCTTTTCTGCACAACAATTTACATTTCAAAAAATCACAGGTAGTAATTTCTATTGCTCTCTCACAATCTTTAATGCAATCCTCATATTTTTCTAGATGATAAAGCAAAGCTGATCTATTGCCATAGCCAAGAGCAAGTTCAGACGAATCATTTGGAGCTATTGCAATGCTTTGTGTATAGAATCTCCAAACTTTTTCATGGGTTATATTGTTTGGCATTCTGGTATTGTAAAAGTTATTACCATACTTTCTATATTTGATAGAATCTTGTGAATTTTTTTTTCTACATACTCCTGAAGGTTTTGAAACTGGTCCCCAACTTCCCAAAGCTATTCTCATTGCAGATTTCTCATTGTGTAAAACTTCATCTCCACTGTTATGATCTTTAAATGTACTCTCTCTACTTGGATCAAAAGATCCAAAACTAATTCCAGATATAGATGACATGTTAGATGGATGACATGCTAGAGCCAGTTGTTTTGAGGACATCTTCAAACTTACGAGAATACATCTTTGCTGCTAGTCGGAGATATAAAATCACTCAAACTCAGTACACTATAACCTTATATAAAAAAATATTAAATTAAAGCAAGCGATTCTACATACCAATAATTTTACTTCGATCAACAGTTTTTCTTCAACGAAGAAATATTTTCTTTTAGATTTATAATAAAAGAACAATAAGTAACTGGTTAAACTAGTCGAATTATTATCTAAACTTAATATTTTGACTAATCGCGTCGAGATTCGATCCGTAACAATGCACTATATTTATTCCTCGAATTTAACAAGAAGTGTATGGTTGAGTTTTTTATTTGATTTAGTTTCCCATTCAGTATATCTCATATGTGCAGTTTTATACAAATACATATATCGAGACGACCCTGGCAGAAAAATGATTGATTTAAAAATATATATATACCATTAGCTTCGTCTTAATTTGTACCACCCGAAAATTGCTTTTTTGGAATGTGTACCCTCTCTAAAAATAGAGAAAAAAAAGATTTTCGTAGGGTAGATTAGCAATTCAAATTAACGTATTACTGCGCATGCGGAGCGGAAAATGTATTCGGTAAAATGCTAAAACTATCAGCGCCTCTAGTGGTGAAAAGTCATTGTTGAATGTTGCGCGGGCGTGCGTGCTAATGTGATTCGGTTTACGCGTGTTAATCATTGTTTTTGTTTATATTTTGTTATACTTTTTAACAAAATCGATGTGAAAATCAAGTTGAAATATGTATTCTATTAGATTAGTTATTGCTGACAGTTATCAAGCAGCTCCAATACCTGATGTCGATCCGACCTTCTCACAATTTCGGGGAAATGGAATTAAACAAGTTCCTATTGTACGGATTTTTGGAATCACTGATAAAGGTAGTTTTTATTAATGGTTTATTTTCAGCACTCTTGACTATACAAATTAGTTGTAGTTAAGAATGTTTAAAAGTTTAGTTTTGTATGATCAATGTGACAGAAATGATTTAAATATAGTGTTAAGAAAATTTTGTTTTTAATTTAATTTCTATTTAATTAAACAGGTGACAAAGTATGTCTTCATGTACATGGAGTTTTCCCATACCTGTATGTTCCTTATACAGGACAAATCAAAGCAGATATTTTGATGTACAGACTTGCAGCATCATTAGATGCAGCTATCAATGTTTCTCTAGGAGCTGCAAAGTCAAATACTCAACATGTTTATAAAATTCAAGAAGTATCTGCTATGTAAGTATCACTCATTGATTTAATAATTATTTAAACATTGAATATTTTATTTGTTTTTTAATTTTCAGACCTTTGTATGGCTATTATAGGAAAGGACATCATTTTTTCAAAATATATTTTTATAATCCTGCTATGCATAAAAGAGCCATTGACTTGCTGCAGGTAGTATATAAATATTAATTTTAATTTAAAAATACTTACAAATTTTGTTACAATAAGTTTTTTTCAGAGTGGATGTGTACTTGATTCAATTTTTCAACCTTATGAAGCTCATATTCCATTTATACTACAGTTCATGATAGATTATAATATATATGGTATGAGCATGATAAATGTGAGGAATGTTAAACATCGCCATCAAACTACAGTATCTCAAAATGAAGAAAAATCATTTTATACTTCAGACAATGTACTTGATTTTGATAAAAAAGAATACTTACCATTTTCTGTAGTAAGACAAAGTGTATGCAAACTAGAGCTAGATGTTTGGGCTTCTGACATTCTCAATAGAGAAGTCATTGATAAAGGAATTGATCTCAATCCTGGTATTGCTGCAATTTGGGAAGAAGAGAAAACTAGAAGAACTGAAGCTGGCTTAGGTGGAGATTCACAATTAACATATCCAGACAGTCCAGCAAGATCACAAGCAGCAAAAATTCTAACAGAGAATGACATTTACTATGAAAGAAGATTTCTGCAGCGTCTAGCTAGTCTTGAATCTCAGGTATAAATATAATCAATTGTATTCGTGTTATTTAATTAAACTAATTGACTACTTTCTGTTATTAATTCAGGCTAATGAAACTGTACTAACACCAAGTAGAGATCATTCATCGTATCCTATTCCTGTATCGCATAATAGCCATTTATTGAATGCATCACAACTGGAAATACATGTTGGTCCTGTAGACACTTCTGTTACACAAAGATTTGTGAATCAGCAAAATGTAAATGATAATTTATCATTGTCATTACAATCTCAAGCTTCATTCAGCAATGTATCTCTAGACACTAGTGACCGTAAGCTTAAAATGTTTATATATTTATTATTGAAAAAATAAATTTAATAACCAAAATATGTTTTAGTTGATCTTGTAAATATCTTAGCAAACTTAGCTGAGAATCAAGAGAACAGTCGTAATGAAATAGATTCTGATAGCATTCTTGGGTCCCAAATGTCCCAACAAGATTTTCCTTTGGAACAAGATAATAATGAATACAATGAAGAGGAAGAAGTACTTGATTTGAATCTTACATGTTTAGAATTGGATAATTTAAATTTTAGCTCCTGGGAAATGTCACAGTATAATTCGGAAAAATCACAGCACCAAACTCAAAAGAGTATTGGCTCTCAAATAGGTAATCCATTTTCAAATTATTAACATTATCGTTTGTAGATTATATGTTCAATTATTTAAAATTTAGAGCTTGTATTAGAATCATTAAACAATCCTGGACCGTCAAGTTCAACCAAGAATATTCCTCAATTAGATGGTCCCATTGATGACGAAAATTCAAGATCAGGTCCTAGCGACGATACTGATGTAACAATAGCAAGACAAGAGTTTCTTGAGTGCGATTATAGACGAAGTCGAAGTGGTACACGTTCTGTTCCCGTTACACCTCAAAAAAGGAAACGCGTCTCGAACAGCGAGGACGACGATTCTCGAAGTCCAGAGGGAAAAAAATCAAAAAAGCAACTACCAAAAACACCACGACGTTCGCCAAATAAACGTACGAGTAAACTCACGAGTCCAAGTTGTCCTACCCGTACATATTCTCCATTAAATCTTGAAATCAGTAGAGTTGGTCAGGAAACACCCAAAAGATCTACAACTCCTATTGCTTCATCTTGTGCGTCGCCATCAAATTCCAGATCTGTTCGGCAAAAATTGAGAGAGAGTTTTCGGCGAAAAACAATATTTTCACCAGTAAAAGAGTCAAATGCAGGTAAATTAATTATAAAAAATTTACAATTGTACTTCTATCAATTGTTCCTTTATTAATTTTGTTGGTAGAAATAGAACACAATCCAGTTGAATCTGAGAATACAAAGTCTTTAAAGACTACGAAGGAACTATTTATGCTTAAAAAATCCGTAAGTAAAACGTCTGATAGCGACGATACATTAGTTGAAGATTCAGACGAATCAAACGGAACTCTCACGTCTTTTCCGATATTGAAACCAGTTATTATTGACGATAGTGATTCTAATCAACCGAATTCTCAAGAAAAATTGTCAAACTTATCAAACTACATTGGATCTTTACAAACGTTACCGGAAAAACAAAGAGATACATCAATTCTTCCAATCGAAATATCTTATACCCATATACCAGAAACAGGTTATAAGAATTTAGCGGATGAAGTTAACTCATCCTTTTTTGCTCAAATAAATTCTGAAACAGCTATGGCATTGCAGCCTTCTCCGGATATACAATCAATTTCAGGCAAGGTTACAAAGTACGGCTCCTTCAGAAACGAAAATATTCGAAACAACGAAAATTCAGACCTAGAGCAAATAAATATAGTTAAACAGTCTTTCAGCGAAATACCTGGAACGAATCAAAAGAAATTAAGAGAAGGTGAAATTCAATCATCCTTTTTCATTCAAACACGTTCTGACGGGGTGATAACGTTTCCATCTCCTCCTAGCAGACAACAAGTTTTAGAAAACATGAAAAAGTACGAATTACTAAAATATGATGACAGACATGAAAATGTAAATTCAAAGCCAGAAGAACAAATATATAAACAAGCTGAACTCTCTAGCAATCAAATTCTTGAAGTCAGACAAAAAGAATCCTCAATTTCACCAAAATGTCATCTTTTCAGTGAGCAAAAAACGTTGGAAAGCACGAACAATTCCAATCCGCGAAAATGTGAGAACCTTGAGCCTTTCTTTAGTAATCCAGAGGATGCAATTGGTTTACCAACCCATTATCAAACCACGAAAAGCTTGAAAAAGCCTCGGTGTATACCAGATGAAGCCCACTCTCGTCTTCAATGGCAAATATATAGTTCGGAGCCATTTCCATTTGATAATAATGATAAAATAACTGCCCTCACACCGGCGATACTGCCACCAAGCAAAGAATCTGTTATAGCTCGATGGGAAAAACAAAACAAATTGAAAAAAGCTCAAGAAAAAGAGGAGAAAAAGAAGAAAATAGAAATGGACTTGCAACGTAGACTGACGCAAAGCTCAGCAATGTTAAGTAATAACAGCACAATTGTGGATCAGACTTTAAGAATATCAAAGTTATTCAAAGACAACCAGGCCAGTGATACGTCGAAACATTTAGGAATTTCTTGTGGTGAAATTGAAGGTCCATCACGAACGACTCTAGTTCCTGCAGACGGGGATATTGGAGCTAAAGCTTTAGCATCAGTAAGCATAACTTTCTCGTTTTTATTATTATTTATGAAAGTATACTGTTGTTGTTGATAAATTAATTTTTTTATAGCATCAATTTTTGACAGTAATTTGTCTAGAAGTACACGTTATCACGCGGCCAGGTCTTCTGCCTGATCCAAAATTAGATCCGATTGCGGCTATTTTCTACGCTATTTATAATGATGTTCCATCCGACTGGAACAAAGTGAAAACGTTAGATTGTGGTAGGGTGAATATGCACACAGAAGCAATCAAATTCTAAAAATTTAATTTTATAATTTTCTCTTCAGGCGTCATCATCGTAGATCCTAATAAAGTAAACTCCAAACCTTCACATGTAACGGGCACCAATCAAGATGAGCAGACTTTATCGTACGTTGCGACCGAAGAAGACTCATTTGAAAAACTATTAGCAATTATTGCAAGTTGTGATCCGGAAATATTGATTGGCTGGGATATTGATGTCCAATCGTGGGGATACCTTTTTCAGCGCGCTTCTATTCTTGGAAAAAATTTAAGTGGCAAAGTTTCGCGCATTCCAGCAACAAAATGTACTTGGGAAGAGCAGCGCGGCGATCCATCAGCTTCGGAGATACGAATTGAAACTTTGGCAGAAGTGAGACTACCTGGTCGTATTGTCTTGGAAATTTGGAGAATAATGAAATATGAAATAGCTCTCTATAGTTATACTTACGAAAACGTCATGTACAATGTGATGAACGAGAGGATTCCAAGTCCAAGCTTCGATACGTTAACTCATTGGTGGCAGTCATCACTTAGTCAGTGGAGGGTCTTCGATTATTACGCTAACAAAGTCATAGGCATCAACAGATTACTGCATCACTTTGACATTATCAGTGAGTAAAAGAGATTATGTATTCACTAATTCTCCATACATATATTTTTCAAATTTTCAGATCGAACAAGCGAGCATGCTCGCCTGTACGGTGTGCAGTTCTTAGAAGTATTTTCCCGTGGTTCGCAGTTTCGCGTCGAGTCGATGATGCTTCGTATAGCCAAACCCTTGAACTACATACCCTGCTCGCCATCCCCGCAACAACGCGCAAGTATGCGAGCACCGGAATCATTACCTCTTATTATGGAACCTGAGTCTACAATGTATGTCGATCCCGTAATTGTGCTTGATTTTCAAAGCTTGTATCCTAGTATTATTATCGCTTACAATTATTGCTTTTCTACGTGTTTGGGTCGTGTTGAGCACATTGGAGCGTAAGTTATTAGTTCATTTTTATATTAAATTTATTGTAAAACTTTCAATAATTTTTAATGAATTTCTTATTAGACCCTATCCATTTGAATTTGGGTGTACTACTTTGAAAGTGCCCAAAAATCTTGCTCTCAAGTTACAAGATAAAGTCAACTTTGCCCCGTGTGGAGTTGCGTTCGTAAAGCAAGAAGTTCGTCAGGGTATTTTACCACGAATGTTGACGGAAATTCTAAATACTAGATTTATGGTTAAGAAAGCAATAAAAGACCATCCTAAAGAAGATCTCGCATTACAAAGGGCATTGTACTCTCGACAACTGGGATTAAAACTCATTGCTAACGTTACTTACGGATACACTGCTGCTAATTTTAGCGGTAGAATGCCTTGCATTGAAGTGAGTATTTCTTTTTCTTAGTCTGAATTGGAACTTGTCGCACAGAGTACTTCATAACAAAATATCTTATAGGTCGGTGATAGTGTTGTCAGCAAGGGAAAAGAAACTTTAGAACGAGCGATCCAAATTGTTGAGTCCACTCCGAAATGGGGAGCTCGAGTGATTTACGGTGACACTGATTCTTTATTTGTTTTAGTTGAAGGTAGATCGAGAGAAGAGGCTTTCAAAATTGGAGCGGAAATCGCCGATAGTGTGACTGCCATGAATCCGAAACCAGTCAAGTTAAAATTTGAAAAAGTTTTGCAACCTTGTATTCTTCAGGTAAGCTTGAAGTTATTAAAATTCTAATTAAAAACATAAGAAGTCTTTTCTAATAAACTAAAAATTTTTTTAGACTAAAAAGCGATATTGCGGTTACATGTATGAAAATTTAAATGATAAGCCAGTTTACTTGGCCAAAGGTATTGAAACCGTTCGTCGTGACGGATGTCCTGCAGTCGCTAAAGTAAGTGATATTTACAAATTTTTATTTCTGTGTTCTACTGACAAATTTCATTCTCAATACATCGCCGCTGCAGATTCTCGAGAAGTCATTAAAAATTCTATTCGAAACGAAAGATTTATCAAAAGTAAAGCAGTACGTCACAAGGCAACTAGATAAAGTATTAAGCGGCCGGGCATCCATTCAAGATTTAACTTTTGCAAAAGAATTTCGAGGATTAAAAGGATATAAAGCAGCTGCCTGTGTGCCTGCGCTCGAACTTACTAAGCGAATGATACAAAAAGATCCACGAGCTATACCGAGAACTGGCTCTCGAGTACCTTACATCATTGTAGCTGGAGGACCTAATGAACCTCTTATACGTTGTGTTAAATCTCCGATGGAAGTACTAATGGATTCGAGTCTAAGGCCGAATGCTACTTATTACATTACCAAAGTTATTATTCCGCCTTTAAACAGGTGTCTGAATTTGATTGGAGTTGACGCATATGCTTGGTAAATATGAAATAAATACGTAGTAAACGTTTCATTAAAAATAATTGAAACTATCCTTAGGTTTATGACAATGCCGCATCGTCAAGCTGCGCAAAGAGTACAAGGAGCTATGTTAGCTAATACCAAACGTAAACAAAAAACGACAATATCACAGTATTTATATAATATTTCATGTCCATGTTGTGGACAAGCATGTGATAAAGGTATTTGTAATGAGTGTATCAAAAATAAGATAACAACACTAATCGATCTTCATGAAAAATGTCGACAATATGAAAGAATTTATTCCAATATTAAGATGGTAAATATAAATTAATTTTTTTTAATAATACATGATGAAATCAATGATCCATAGAAAAAACATTTAAAAAACTATAATTATTGTTATAGATCTGTGAATCTTGTATTGGTGTCAAAGATGCAGACAGCTGTATATCCTTAGACTGTCCAATATTTTACCGAAGAATTTGTGCTCAGAGAGACAATTCGCAAATTCCTTATTTGTACGATTTAATCAACTCTATGGAATATTTAACTTGATGTTCTCATTAACAAGAAACATGTTATACAAAACTGTGATAATCCAACAAAAAGAGATGAATCTAGATATCTATATAATTTATACAAATGTACATTTTTGTAAATATTGTTATTATATCAAAACTTATTTTCTTTTTATAAATATTTGTTAACTGCACCCATGATTCATGAAAATATATCTTTTGTTGTATAAAAAATTCTATAGTTGCTTTATGTGAAGGATTTCATCCAGTAGACATCTTGTTTTTTGTTGATTCAATTCCATTTTTTGATAATAAATTTGTACACTCATACCATGGAAGTCATAGACATTTTAAATTCAAATGATGCAAAATGATTCACCTGAAAATATATATTGTTAAAGTAGCTATTTTATTTTATTTTATTAAAAAACATTTATTTTGTAACAAATTATTTTTAACATAATAATTGAAATGTCACAAGATTAGGTTATAACACTAGGAAATGTACGATCATGTGCATAGTCCAATTGTGAAGAAAGTTATTGTGTTGACAAATTATTGTTAAAATTATTAATTTAATGCAATTTAAACAGAGAATAAACAATTTGAATCATTCAAGTATCAACAATTCCAATATTATAATTACTCAGAACTATGAGTCTACCAAACTGGCGTGAAACATTATTTTAATGTTTATCCTAGTAAGTAGAAATAGTAATAATAATGATAAACTTACATTTAACAAATTTGTTTAATAAATAACTGAGCGATGGGTTATAAAATAGCGCAAGAGCTCTTTTCGCGAAAGGGATTGGACTTTTGCGATGAAAATCCGACAAGGAGGCAGTCTTCCTGTTCGTGATCCATGATGTACTTCATCAGTTCCTCGACGGCTTTGCTGACGGAGATACGCTTAATAGCAGCCTCCCTACGGAGTTGCTCAGTCACTTGGCGCTGCTGCTGTAAATTCGAGATCACCATGTCCATAACCAACGAATTCGTGGTTTATTTATGGGCGTGGTCCCGCACTCTTTGCACCAATTGCAGCGGCAACGACGACGAAAACCTTCTTCGTCGTCGAAGCGATTAAACTATCAGCAAGCTTGCCGTAGTCGAGGATTCGATGGTTCTAATCGTCTATTATCCGTTGGAGATGTCGTGCCAACAACCGCCCTCGCCTGCTCGCGTCGTCGCTGCCTATTTTTATGAGCTAACTCTGGCATGCAAACTCTCCCCTCGCCAGCTCACGCGCGTGCACCACTTCTCTGTTCTCTAATAGTCTGATCGGCCGTTTCCGATGAGTCGTTTCGTGACTGCTTTCAACGACATCTTTCGGATATTGCACGGGCTGACTGAGCTTATCTGGCGCAAATACATTAACACCGCAACTAACCTCCTTTGGCTATTATGATCTGTTTATCTGAGATAATAATCTGTTTATCTGAGATAATCGAACGTGAAGTTTAGTTTGCACACCGATGTTTTATGAAAAAGTAAATAAACACAATGGATCAGCAAACGACGAGTACTCGTCGAAAAATATTAAGTCATGTTATTTGCACAATGTTGAATGAGTGCGGCTTTGAGTCCTGTGAAAAGGCTGCGTTAGAAACTTTAACTGAAATGCTGCAATCAGGTAGGTTAATTATATAACCTCTAACAGTCATATTCAACTCGACTTTTATTTAAATGTTTTCATATTTTTAGTTTTATATGAAGTCGGACAATCAGCCCGAAACTATTGTGAACTATCTGGTAGAACAGAGATCCTTATTGCAGACGTAGTACTGGCTTTGGTCAATGCTGGTATCAAATTGGATGGTATTCATACTTATGGGTTTAGAAAAAGTAGACCAACTTTGCCTTCTTTATCACAGCAAACTGCAACCAAACAGTTAAATATTCTACAAGCTGGAGTCAAACAGAGTCATCCTCCTCACATACCTAGTTATTTGCCACCACTGCCAGATCCTCATGCTTATATTAGAACTCCTGTGAGTTGTTTAAATATTTTTTAAGAACTTATATCAAAGATTATAAAACAGTCTGATTAATCATCCAGTTATACAATTGTAGACTCATAAACAACCTGTGACTGAATATGAAGCTATAAGAGAAAAGGCTGCACAACAAAAAAGGGATATTGAACGGGCATTGACTAGGTTTACAGCTAAGACTGGAAAAACACACAGTTTGTTCCTGAAAGACGACAACAGTATGTTTCCATGTAAGTATATAAAATATATTTCATTTAAAATTTAATGAAGGAATCAATTCTATCAATTAAGGTCACTTTGCTTAGTGATAGGATGTACACCTCAATTTCCCAGCTACTTGTCAGCTCTTTTATCACAAGATCAAATTTTTGATGAAGAAGAACAGGAGACAGAAACTAGTCCAGTGAAAAAGAAAAAAGAAAAAGAAACTGAAAATATAGATGTCAAACAAGAAGGTATGTTATTGAATTATTTGATTTGATATTGAATTTTTATATTAAATATACAAAATTGTTTTGCAGCTAATGATCAAGATATCAATACAGAACAAAATGAGGAGTCAAATCCACAAACAGAGGTAATAGATAATCCTTACCTCAGGCCTGGTAAAATACCAAAAAATAAAATATCGCCGACAAAGCCAGAAAGTGGTGTTTTAAGTTTTTAGGGTAATAAAATAAGAAAGAAATGTTGTTGAAAAGACACAGAATCTATTTGTTGTTAAGTACAAAAATACATTTTTTAATTTTTATATGCAGTATTTTTAGAAAAGTGAAAGTGTAGATTTATTTTTAAATCATTGTATTTTGTTCGTGATGAATAATCACAGAAAAATAGCCAATTTGAAAGTAAATATATCTTTATTTTTATGTAAGTATATATATATATATATTTTTTTTTATTTATAATATTAAATATGACAAGTATAATTTTTAGCTGTGAAGACAAAAAACATTTGTGTTTATAACACTATTATAGAAAATGCAAACCTTGATAAGAAATCGTTGCTTGGCAAGGAATACTTGTTTAGTTGCTTATTTTGATCAAAATTTATCTTCATTTTATAACATTTCCTAAATTTGTATATTCAACTGATTTATAGTGTATTAGCGATACATCTGTAACTACTGTACAAAGTATTTTTTACATAAAGAAGTAAAAACAACGTCAAAATCCAAAAACAAAAACTAATAGATGTTTAATTCAATAAAACGATATTATTACATGACATAAGTATCTGTAGTGGGTTACAACTTAATGCAATGATCATTCGATAAACAACAAATATAAAATCACGTTTAAAAACATTCCAGTCCGATCTATGCGAGGACGGATACTCGATTGGTCATTAATAAATGTGAGATGATAAAGGCAAGCTCGATACACGTCTCAGCGATGATAATAATGTATGTATCTATGATCGATTAGCACCATATACATCCATATAACATTCTCATCTCGAAGGCTTTTAAGTTATGGCAGCGTAGGGTTTTCTCAAACTCAATGTCTTTTAAATTATTGCACATGTTCTCTATAAAAATAAATAGTCGATTGTCACGTGTCGTGTGTGCCTGCGCTTTCGTGTTTTCATAAAAAAATAGCGGCCTCGCGCAATACACGCATAATAGGTCTTTTCTAATTTTTCTCTTTGCACCTTACTTGCTAATATATATTTACGCGTCTATTCTTGGTATACAAATATATATAAGCATCGCGTAGCTCGTGTACCCTTCTGTCGCATTAGTAAGCGTTTTTTCTTATTATTTTCATATCAGTTAGTTTTTTTTACTCAAATTGCAGTTGTGCTGTCTTGTAAAGCAGCAACGACTACAATTTGAGCACTAAAAGAAACAACAACAAAAAAAGTCGTTACACAGAAACGTTGAGAGAGAGAGAGAAATATCTCATTCATTATCTAAATAATAATCTAAAATAAATGTGTCTATCCTTAACATGGCATGAGATTTGATAAGAGGCGAGATGAAGGCGTAGGTCGATGGTAAAGGCATTTAATACTGATACCAAGGCTGCTTGCGTACCCAACGCAATTTCATGCCCGAAGCTGTTCTGATTTTGATACTCGCGCACTCAGCGGCACGCACTGTCTCTTTCACACTCTGCATCAGGTTCTGCGCATTGCCTACAAGCATGTCTGTTGCCTCCTGGTCCTCTTCCGTTCCTACGTTACATTATTTATTATTATAAGGCTTTTTATAGTTCCGGGGATAAGACAAATTACATTTTCATTCAAATGTATATTGAATGTAGAGTGATAATAAATTAGTGACTAGGTGTGTATATCTATTCTTTGGTAGTATATTTTAGAAAATAAAAGAAAGCTTGAAAGAAATACAAATCTAGCATGCCCTGAGTACAAAGAAGCAAAGCAAATTAAATCGATAGTGCTGGAAAAAAATTGACAAATGACATTATGAGTGTATTATACAACTGGCGTTTACCGTATAGCATCAGCTCTTCCCAAGTGGGGAGAATTTCTAAGCATGAACAAATCACACAACATGTTAGTGAATTAGTTAATGATCTATGAATCATTCCTGTTATTTCGATGACTTATGATGGTTATGCTTATAGCAAAAACATTGTTAGCTTTACAAAAAATGATGAACTTGAAAGTTTACCTTGAGCTCCAAGCATCGTGGCTTTGACAGTCGACAAGATCTTGAGCTGAGTGCCAATGGTTGGAATACGTTCGCAAACTTGTAGCAGGTTCTAAAATTCATAAATACATGCCGCTTAACTCTGGTAAATAACTGTTTAAAGAAAGGACCGCAAAGGACGGGTACTAACGGTACGAATACGCTTGTCGGTGCACTCTCTGGCAAGTTCCTTGGCGAGTCTCGTGACCTCCTGCGAGGCTTCAGCGATGGCCTTGGCGCAGGCAATGAGGTCGCGCTTGTTACCTCCCTCGCCTCTTACCAGACCCGACAGACGACCCATTAGAATAGCCATCTTTTTCGCTGCAGCAATGATTTCGTTATCTTTGCTTGACCACTGTTTCACTTCCTGATGAAGCCCGTGGGCTGCCATCTACAAAAAAAAAAGAAAACGACGATTGTTAATATGTACTGTACCTTTTTATTCAATTTCTTTCAAAGGATTGTAATAAAAATTACCATGATAGGTTGATTAGGTTGTGGCGCATGTCTAAACATTTCGTCCTCGTCGTCGGTCTCCGGTGGGGGAGGTCGTGGTGGTGGTACCTCACCGTGAGGTAGCGGCGGACGAGGTGGAGCCATCATATCTATCGAGCACATCGAAAACATGTAGAATAGAGTGATCGCAAAATTTTTCTCACTACTACGATTAAATCAGAGTTGGCACACGATCACACATATGTTGCAACTTTATTTATTCGTTTGGAGATGTGTATTTTATAATTTGTTATAAGGATATGCGTATAGTCGTAAACATTCTCTGACGATTACAACGATAATACATTAAAAGAATAATATTTCTTCCCAAGAAGTAAAATCCGTCGTAGAAATAATAAAAATCATAGAGTTTTAGGCATAAAAAATTAAAAGAAAAGTTATATTAGAATAAAAAAAAAACAACATAAATTTCAAGTTAGTGGCGATCGAGCGAAAAAGTAAGATCAGATAGAAGGACTATCGATAGTTTTTTTGCATCACTGGATTAGGCGAGCTCATGCCATACAAAAAAACGTTCTTTAATTTAGACGACGTGTTTTTCCAATTACCTTTACCTTTAGATCCATAAGCATTTTGATTGGCATCTTTCGGTATGTATTTCTGCTTCGCGTAATCAGCAGTATCGACTAATGAAATAATTTATTTTCATTGACGATTGAAAAGAAGAAATAAATAAAAATAAATGAATTCTTCATGATTGATAAAATAATAATAAAAAAAAATAATAAAGACCACGACATTGAAATATGCGTAATAAAAAAAATTAAAAAGATAATAGTAGAAAACTGACCTCCGTCGTGAAGTCTAAGAGCAGATAGACTTGGTGGTGGTGGTGGTACAGGAGACGAACCTTCAGGTTCACCAATGGCTGTCCTAACTTGACCAACGCCATTCAGCAACTGAATAAAACAGTGATATTCGAATTGACGTGTTGTCTTTACGTTCGCTTGCTACGACTTACCGCTCGGTTACTGTCTCGCCAGCGAGATATCGCGTGTGGATCGTTCATGTTCATCGCCACAGCCTTGGCGTCCTGGACCATTGGAGCCACACCTGCGAAGAAGGTCGCGCGTAAGGTATAATATGACGATGCCTCATTTTTTTTCAATTTTACGATAAGGCGCGTCGAAGGATGCGATTACATCGCGCGGTTATTGTTTCTTTTTCTTCAAAGGCACGCTACAGATAAGCTAGATAATATGAGGCTCTTTGTCGTTTTGGAGCATTATTAAACGATTTTTTAATTTGATTGCAAGCGCTTAAAAGTCATTTAAGTTTAAAAGATAATTATCGTGTATAAAAAGCCGCGTTAGTGACATATAATCTATTATATTTAAGACCTAATTTTGAAATTAGCCATTAAAAAAAACATAAACAGCAGTAAAAGGTAAATAAAATACTCACAGTTCTGCAGAATATCGGCAGCATGATTGACTCTCTGAATGAAAGCAGGATCCTCGCTGTTGTCACTCTCTTGTTTAGCGACGAGGATCACTCTGTTGGCCAGCCTAGCGATAGCCGAAGTATTGTCAACCATTTTCTGGGGATCTTTCTTGGCGATCGCGTCCTCGCAAAGTATGGTGTGCTTCTTCATCTGTTCCTCGCTGGCTTTGATGAAGTCAGCGCTGTTGGTCGCCTCGTCGCACAGACTTCTCGCGCGTTGTATCGTGTCGGCGTATTGCTGACGAAGGTTCTCGAAGTGCTCGTCCGCTGCCTTGTTCTCCGGATAATTCATGCGAATGCGACCCGCGTTGATTAGCTGCGGCGTCAGTGACTCCAGTTGAGAGGCCGTCGAGTTCAGAGCCTCGGCGAGCTTCTTGTTTCCGCCGCTACCTGTAATGTTTACTCGGGAGCTTCTTGAAAAAAATTCATGAATCGTCCGCAGGCAATGCAAAAGTTAGAGCACTAACCGCCTGCGGCAACCATTCTGGCAGTCTTGGCAGCTCTGTTACTGAAGTTCTGTAAGTTGAGCGCCTTATCGTTGAAGTTCTGCTCTCGGTTGGGCGTACCCACGGGGGCGAGGACGGCCTCGGTAAACTGTTTAAGCGGTGTAGTGATGTCGATAAAGTCCTCGACGACGCGCGACACCACCGCCTGCTGGATCCTGTTCTTCAGCTCGTTCAGTTTCTGCGACAGCTGGCGAGCGATCTCTTGTGCGCGCGGAGTGTTGCCTTCGCCGCGAGCTACCAAGTCACCAAGTTGGTGAGAGAGATTGTCCACCTCGTCGCAGAGCTGCAGAATCTCGGCCTTGTGTATTCCCGGCAGACCTTCAGCGACCTGCAGTTGGAAAGAAAATTGCGAGATTTTGACTGTCGTAGTTTCGGCAAGACGAGGACGGCATCGTTCTGTTTTGCATGATTGGCTGTTTCAATCGCGCGAAGCAACAGTTTTTTAGCAGATTTGGGCTTGCGAAGAGAATAAGGCTGCGTTTGACGGATCAGGCGACGTAGCTGTGTAGCGTCCAGCAAACTGCTTCGTAAAGCATCGTCAATGCTGAATCACGATTCTCGTTGAGCAATGACAAAGTATGTCGGCGATTGGCATTACTGCCATGCGCCGCAATCGAAAGTCCAAATGACGATAAGACAACTCGTCCCGTCGAAGCAGCTCCATTATATCAGGCAATCGAGACCAACCGTCCTCGTCATCGCCCGAGACACGTACTCGTAACATAGAACTTACTTCGGCAACGAGAATCTCGTAGCTCTACCTCCAGCGAGATAGCGTGAGGAGCGCAAGCGAGGTAAAGAAGCAGAGAGAAAAAATTGATACTTGGGCAAGAAGCGTAAAATGTACAAAGAGTAGAAGAGACGAAGAGAGAGAGAGAGGTTAATGGATAGATGGAAGCTTCGAAATGTCGTGGGACCAGTCGAGTTACCTTCTTGCCCTCTTGTATGATGAGGTTGATAGCTTTTTGCCCGAGGCCCTTGTCATCGTGCTGGGGATTGAGCAGCCACTTGTTAGCCTGCTCGAGGCGGCCTGCCACCGTGTGGGCGGCTTGCACAGCGCCGGCTTTGTCCGCGGCGACGATCGCCGACGAGATGTTCGAGCGAAGCTCGTTCACCTTGTCTTTGATCGCACGCGCCAGCGACTCTCCCTGCGGCGATGTTCCTGATGGATACGGATAACGATTGTTTGACACAACGGCGAATGTGTAAATTGCAATTGGAAACAATTGCGACTCGTCGATTGTAACGGTGAGTAGCGAAAGTGATCCGACGCTCAATTTTAATAGAACCCGATAAAATTGAAGTTGCGATGGATGAGCTAATTGTTACGAAGCTGACTTCGCGAACGATAAATTAGCTAAGTCCGGGAATGCGACGTATAAATAGAACGGAGCAGGTACCTTTGTCGTTCTGGCGAAGCTCGCAAAGCGCGTCGGTCATGGTAGTCAGCTCGGACGAGAGTTTTTTGATGGGATCGCCTTGATGCGGTGGTAAGTATCTGTCCGATAGCCTTGCTGCTTGCTCGATTATCTGCCTGAGACTTTTCTCGCCGACGCCGCCGCGAAGCGCATTGCCGTCGTCCAACCAGTCGAATGCCGGCTTCACTCGGCTCTCGATCGCGCTTTGCGCCTTCTTCAGTCCCTGCAAGATCAGTCGACTCCGGTAATCGACCCTGTTTTTTGCGCCATTCCTCGGCAATTAGTCGAGCAATCTATCGAGGGACGTACGGTCAATTGATCAGCCTCCCACTCGTCCTCGTCGTAGGTGGTCAGCTGAAGCACGCGTATGATCTCGTTTATCTCCTCCGACATGCGTCCCGACAGGTAGTTGCGATTCTCGGCTGCCTCCTCTGCGCCCTTGCCGCCGCTGGATATGATGTGGATGAAGATCTTCATCGAGCATATCAATATCGGCGCTAGCGTTTTCACCTGAAACCCATCGGCCGATTGTATTTTTTGTTTGTGTTTCTCGCCTGCTCAAAATAGTCGACGGCTATGGCGAGAGCGCCAAATGGTCTCGCGTGTTAATTTGGGCCGACGCGCCGACGAAAATACGACTTTGGCCGACGGAAATATCAGCTTCCGTTCCGCGCTGACTCACCTGATCCAAACACCTGACCAGCGTCTCCCTGTGCACCTGGTGAGTGAGCTCCTTTTCGCGAGCGCTCACTTCGCGGGATACCTTGCTCAAGCAGGGACTGAGGTTCTTCAAAAAGTGCACCAGATCTTCCATCGTTTCGATCACTTCGGTGACCGCCAAGTAATCGAGGACGCGCTTACATTCGCGGATGATTTTCCGCACCTCGCTCTCGTCGAAGCAGAGTAACAGCGAGCTCGTGCCCTGCAGGATTCCACGGGAACCCTCTATCAATTTCTTCCTGTAATTGGACGGTCTGTTATTTCGATTGGGCTTTTCAAAAAGTTACCTAGCATCGTGCTTTTGGATTGGGCCTCGCTCAAATTTTCTGCTATTGTTTCAGTGATCAATTTGATTTTCCCAAAATATTAATCATTATATTCAAGTGAAATTCATTAAACGCACATTTTTATCTGAGGAAAAGTGGATGAACTTTGGATTATGACCTTTTTATTTATTATTCGTGTGATTTTATATGTCTTACTGTATAGCCACGAATAAATATAGAAAAAATAAATAAAAACTCCGACTTCGTTTGTGTGCAAAGTATCGATGAAGAAACGATGCCAAACATGGAATTTTAAACGTCCAGTTAAAATGAATTTTGAATAAAATATCATGCACATTTACAAAAAAGTCGTATTAATACCATTAACAACGGTCGAATGAAAATGAATTATAGAAAATAGGAAAAAAATGGTATCTTTCGAAAAAAAAAACTATACTGGATCGAGTTTTGTTAAGGGACAATGAGATCGAATAAAACGAGAGAGTTACTCGCACCAAGGCGTAAAACAAGTGTCAGCGAAGCGCAAAAAAAAACGCTCTTAACAAAGGCTCACAATCGACGATAAAAACGTACCTGTAGACCGCTTTATACTCGTAAGTAGTATATGTTACACTACTGTACTTGTTGATAGCCGTACAAAATAGAAAACATAACAACAAATGTGAATTAAAAGTCTGATTACATGATTTTTTTTTTCTTTCGTGTGCACGTTCGTCTAACGAATCGCTGTTTTGACATAAAGTAATAAAATATATTAACGAAAGTCTAAGCTCACCGCGCAGTACTGGAGTAAGGATCATTTTTCAACATGACTGAAGCTTCCTCGAGAAGGTGAGAGGCATTCTCGACACGCTTGAGTGAACTCGGCATGTCCTGTCTGAGCAGCATGTCGTCCGACGAATTGATGGTCTCTTTGCCAACCTGGACAGCGAAGTGTGAAGGGCAATCGGTAAAAATGCCGTTTTTCAGTGCACGAAGATTGACGAACGTTACCTTGACCAGGTTGGCCACTGCTTGACTGACGGCCTTGACGGGCTTCTCGAGATCTGGCATGGCGTTGCCATCTTCAGCTTCCTCGTGGAGAATAACTAATCTCGAAACCTGTAAATTCATTCAATATTTTGCTGAGCAGAACAAATATTTACAGAAACTTGTCAAAACGAAATTCGCTTTTTCAGTCAGTTGAATAGAGTCGGTTGCTACTACTTTAATTATACTTGTGTTACGGACTTACTGTTACTGACAAAGTTTTTTCACGCACAAAACAAAAAAAATTTGCTAAAATAATTATTGGAAAGATAAGTCCATCCACTTCATTTTTGTGTCCTCATTTTACTATCTGAATTGCTTTGACTGCTCAAAAATGCTTGTTATTGCGATAATGAGAGTTTTATAAATTTTTTTTACAATTCATTTGTCAAAATGAAAAGAGATAAAAAAACGATAAAATCAATTTTGTAACGATGACTGATGATTTCGTCAGAGACGCATAACCAGCTTTTGCGCATAAATTACATTTTAAAATTGTCATTCCAATGCCTCTTATTCATATCAGTATTGACCGCAAATCAATGCAAGTCACTGCGTTCGAGTGAACGCCCTCCACTAGTGAGCGACGGCGACATTAAGACATTGAAAAAGAAGGCGTACTTAGAAAAGGGTGCGAACAGTGTCTAACAGTAATCAAGGGAGAAAGAGATAAGAAAGAAACCGAAGGGAGTGGCCCGAAGAACGCGCTGACCCGCAAGGTAAAATGCACGAAAGACTACAGGAGGTTCGTCAGGAAGTAGGTGATCGGTGGCGTGGAAATGGAAGTCAAGGTTGATCGTCAACGTAAAGCACGCTGACTTTGCGAGATGGAAACTCGGAGAGAACGAAAAGAAAAGAAAATGTAAGAATGCGAAACGATTGGCACATCGAGGCTTCTGGCTCTCGATCAGTTTTATCGGGCGATCGTTTATTTCCACGGCATCGACGCGCGCAAAGGCTCTCGCCCAGCCGCGGCGCCCGATAGAAATTCCAGGCTCGCGCAAAGTCGCCGTTCGCGATACGATCGGTCCGCGATCGAAGGGAAGCTTCCTCGCGGAGCGTAACGGCGACGAGCGGCTCGACCAACGGGACAAAATTAAAACTAGAGCTGTCGCGTGGACGGGACGACGACGCGCGAGGATCGGCTCCGCTCCGACGCAGACGCGCGAGCCCCCCGAGGCTTCTCTTTATTTTTAACGGGAAAGCGTTTTGAGTAACCGGCGGCTCCACGCTCGAGCGACCTTTTGTCTCAGTTTCGCGACGCGGCGAACGCAACATCCTAACTTTTAATATATATAATCTTGACACAGATTGACCCGGCCCGCGGCGCGTTTTCTGTGCTCCAAAATTATATAGAGGGACCAATTATAAATAGCGGCCGTGCGCGCTTCTCGCCCTATTCGTTACGGCTTCTCGCTGCGTTTATTCAATTCGGACGATCGTCAATCTGCCAAGATCGCGATAAAACTAAGCGGCGATTTGCTAACCGACAATTAACGTCGGTCGCGATGGACGCGACGGCCGCGGCAGTGCGGTCGTCGGCAGGGCTTGCCGGAAATCGGCTCTACCCCTATCTACACGCGCGTCTTATCTTTCGACGAAAGACATCGGTTCGCTGCCTGCGGACTTTGCCCCTTCGTCGTCGTTTCGATAACAAACTGAGTACGGTAACTCATAATGAATCGATCGCGAGTTTTTCCGTTTGCGTGCACGCGTGAAACGTTATATCAGCGTAAATAACAAAAAACAATTAGAGAGAGCGAATGAAGCTATCCAATTGCAGCTATCGGTCGTGGCAGGCTCTGCGCCGTCGGAACTCAATCCACATGTACGAGAGATTCGCCGCCAATCAAGACTCTCTCGTTGCATTCAATCTCGCTCGTCTACGCGCGAGAGATCAACGCTCGCGGCCTGCCATCGGCGAGCCAGTTTCGCGACAGGCGGCTTTTCCCGGTCGCCTTCGGGTGGGCGCCGTCCGAAGGTCTATTAGCAACTCTCGCGCCTACGTAAGACGTCCTCCTCCGCAGGTCGACGAGTCTGCGTTGTGCAATCGCCAGTCAGCTCTCTACTACAAGCTAGAGGCCTCCGCTTCGCACTCGCTGAGCGGCGCTCGGCCCTCGAGCCGTCTTATTTTAACCCCGTGTATTTTTAGAGTTCTACTCTCTCTCTCTCTCTCTCTCTCTCGCGAGAATGAGAGAGAGAACTCGATGCGACTCATAATTACTGAATTTCCAATGCCTCGGGTGTGGCCCTTCGAGTCTGCTGAAAACCGAGCGATCCCGAAGCGGCGCGCGGTGCCGCAAGGAATGCGCCAGCCAATTGCAAAATTTTTTATTGCGCGCGCGTTGCAACTTGCGAAACGCTCTAGTGCACGAACCGATACAGCTGAATAACCATTTTCGGCACTCGCTGCGGCGAGCTCTTCCCATTGCTAATACAAAGAAAGGAGAAGGAGCATGCGTCGCGTGCGGTTTTGAGGTGCCCGCCGCTGCCGCTGCCAGCGAGATGATCATCAACACACATGATGTCACGCTTATATATACCAGTATAGTCCGTAGAGAGCGAGTGTGCGAAGCGCAGGAAAGAGAGAGACAGAGAGACAGACAGAGAAAGAAAGAAAGAAAGAAAGAAAGAGAGAGAGAGAGAGAGAGAGAGTGAGAGTGAGAAGTTCGTTGAGGTTATTATTCCGTGGCTGTAAACGAGAGCGAAGAAAGTGGAGCAGCTTTCAACCCCCTCGATACTCGTCGCGAGAAATAATGTAAACATGCGGCTTATGTCGGGTTTTACCTGTTGTGCAACGGGATCGAGGATGCTCTCGATGGTTTTCGTGTGGAACACCGGCATTTTGACCTTCTCTTAGATAAACACTCGGCTCTCTCGGCAAAAGATCAAGCGACTACTGCTGCACCGCGACGAGGCGCTCAAAAAAGAATCGCAACCGAAAGATAAGATAACGACGAACGAAGAAAAATAAGCGCCTTATTTCTTTTTAACCAAAGAAAAACGTGAAGAGAGCACGCCAACTTGTATGTGTGTGTATATGAGCACTCTCCCTCTCTCTCTCTCTCTCTCTCTGAGGCGGCTCTGAGCGTTCGCACGGCGAGCGAAACATCAACTGAGCCTACAAAGCATAGAACCCAAGCGAACGGTCGTCGCCTCGCTCGAGGCAAGTCGTATTGTCGGCGGCTCTAATCCGTGAGCGTGGGTGTAAGTATGCGTGCGTGCGCCGCCAAGTTCACGTGCATTGGGAAACGCAAACGCGTCGCGCGTTAAAGGAACAGAAGAGCAGGGAAACTTTCGCCGCGCGCGTGAGTAATTTTTTTTCATGACGATGGCTGCGGATGATGAATCGGTTCACGTGCATTCGCCAGTTTTTTCTCCAATGGTATACCGTCTTTTTTTTATTTCATTTTGATTATTATGGTGGAATTATGTAGATTTTCCAATTCTTATTTGATTAATTTTGATGATTCACAGGAAAATATCATTTATAAGACGACGTTCAAATAATGTTTTCGAAGGATAATTGAGAGAGCTGTGTTATTTTGCTGCATGATTGAATACCGATGTTATTATTGCGGACGATTATACTGTTTATTACGAAATGAAAACACAATTGTGATGTTTATTTATATAATTAATATATTTTTACAAGTTTCTTGTGTAACTGTGATTTGCGTAAGCTCAATTTTTTTAAGTAGTATAAGGTCTCATTGGTCAGACCAATAACTAATTATTATTGTTTACGTAATAGAATATATATTTTTCATATTTTTTAAAGATACTTTTCACATACATACTGTATCGGAATGGTTTATCCGGCTTAGAAAGTTATTAATTTTTACTAATATCATGAGTTTTCGAATTTAACACGCATCGCAACGATCACGTTCTAGTCACATTAAATATGAATATTGGTAAACTCGTTAATAATAATTAAAATGTATACTTCATTAAAATCCATCATATAAAAGACTATATGATAAAATTTATAGACAGTTATGTGCTATGCTTAGATCATATAAATCATCGTCCTAAACCTAAAAAGCTCAATTAACAGCAATAGCAAGTAGAGCAAACACCCGTAATGTCCGACAGAGAGCGCGCCGTTCGTTTTGGTCATATGATCATCATGTGAGCACAACCTCCTCGTAGTGTAACGAGGATAAGCTTATGTGTCTTTGAACGAGTGCGAGTGAGACAAAATACAGTCATCGCGCAGAATCAGCAGCCAGCAGAAGTGTGCACTCACGAGACACCTTCGTCGTCTTCAAGTTAAGTTGGGCGTTGACGTTTCGTTGCACATCTTCGTCGCAGTCTCTCGGATCAACCTCCGGTAGACCCTTGCCAGTTGGTCACTTCGAGGCAAATTTTATTTCGATTGTTCGGTGACTCGTAAGTGAAGCTCGCCAACACACGGACCAGCAACATGGCTCTCAGCGATGCTGACGTTCAGAAGCAGGTTAACGATTGCAGTTTTTTTTACATTTTTCTGGGGTTTCCGTTACAAATAAGGTGGTTTGCAAAGAAAACGGACTGTTTTTGCGATGAATAGAATTTTTTTGAGCAAGATTTTAACCACTGGGCTTGTGTAAAAAGTGTCAAGGTTGATGAGCTTTCAGGCAAGGGGTTGATATATAAATGGATTTTGTCAAACTGCACAAATGACATTTTGAATTGATCTCAAACCCAGGGTAACTTCTTGCTTAAAGAAACCAAACTGATATAAGACATTGTGTTGTCATTGTCTTGCTTTACTTAAAAATATAGTTATTTTATTTGTAATCATATTGTAAAATTGTGTTAGAGAATGATGACACTTTATTATTGAAACAATTTTATGAAAAATATTGAACATGCTTGCAATTTTTAAATAAACTTGAAGCAGATTATGAAAAACATTCATTTTTATAATAAACATTATTTATTTTATATGAATTCTAGATTAAGCATATGATGGCCTTCATTGAACAAGAGGCCAATGAAAAGGCTGAAGAAATTGATGCTAAGGCAGAAGAGGAGTTTAACATAGAGAAGGGACGATTGGTACAGCAACAGCGTCTCAAGATTATGGAATATTATGAGAAGAAAGAAAAGCAGGTTGAATTGCAAAAGAAAATGTAAGTTTACACTGATATATTTGTATCTTTTCGCATCAAATATAATTATTGTTTTCTTTTCAGTCAATCATCGAACATGCTGAATCAAGCTCGTCTTAAAGTACTGAAAGTGCGTGAGGATCATGTGAGAAATGTATTGGAAGAGGCTAGAAAAAAACTCAGTGAAGTATCAAGAGATCAAGGCAAATATGCCGAAATCTTGAAACTTTTGATCACTCAAGGTCTCTACCAGGTAAATTAAACTACAAAGATACAAATTTTTTTTATTCTATCAGAATCAATGAATTTTTTTCTCATTATTTTTTAGCTCACTGAAACTACTGTAGTTATCAGAGTTAGACAACAAGATGTTCCTCTAATTGAATCTCTGTTGCCTGGTATTCAGCAAGAGTACAACAATGTTACAAAAAAAGAAACTGTTCTGAAAATTGATCAAGAAAATTCTTTGCCTCCAGACAGTTGTGGAGGTGTTGAACTGTTGGCTGCCAGAGGTAAAAATATAATCCATGAGATCATTTAGAAATTAAGTATTATATTTTAATGGATTCGTTTTTTTCGATTAGGCCGCATAAAGATCGTCAATACCTTGGAAAACAGGTTGGAATTGATTGCCCAGCAGCTGGTTCCTGAAATACGTACAGCTCTGTTCGGTCGCAATTTGAACCGTCGATTCACTGATTAAATAAACAACGTTTGCGTCTTGCGCCAAAACATTCCTGTATTATATCGCGTACCGTGCGCCTCTACCTAAAACGTTGAAAGTGAAGTTATTTTTATGCACGCAACAAGATTCAATTTCGCCGTACTGCGAGTATAAGAAAACGCGATTAGTCTTTACTATTATTCAGCGTGTATTATAGCACGTAAGATTTTTGTCTTTGTCTGCTTTAGTATTTTCATCAATTTTATTTGGAATTGTAGGGCGTCAACATTAGGGCTTCTGTTATTCTATATTTAAAGTATTCAAATGATACTGTTGAACAAAAGTAAATGTTGAAAAATATAATCTTGCCTAGTGTTTTGACCTCTGTATACTACATTGTAAATCTGTTGTTGTTTAATTAATTAAAAAACACAATACTCTTGGTGGAATGTTTTTTCTTTGTACATAAGCAATTGTAACAAAATTAATAACAATGATGTAATGATGATAGTAATAAAAAAATCGTAATTTTACGATAATATAATGATTTTGATACTTCATTAAATATTGTAACTAATTTGAAAATGCTCCAGGTCATTGTTTGTTTTGTATACTACATGAATTTGCTAACTATGAGAGCAATATAAAATAACATAAAAATATTACAATGTTGATAATTGTGCGCAGCATACAGTAAACGATTACAAAAATTAAACATGACAAAAAAATATTGTGATATGTTCAAGTTAAAATACATTCAACAACTTGCGGCTGATTTAATACAATCATATAGCCGTAAGATAGACTTTCGTCAGTAATTCATAAATTATATATATATATATATATATATATATACACACATAAACACTTCTGAATACAACGGTGTAACAAGATGATTATGTAGGGTAGAAGATAGTAGAGCAGCACTTCTTATATAATTCGTGTGGGCATATGGCACACTCGTTGCAATTTCAGTGGAAGAACCAGGGTAGGTAGAAGTCTAAAAACAGACGACTAAAATTCACAGGCAGTTTGTTTTGATATATCGAGCTTAAATGCTTCACAAATCTCACTTGAGTATAACTATCGAATAAAACTCCATAAATATTTATGTAATAGTAGTATCACTTGGAGCGGCATTTTTCCGTGCTTATGACATACATAGTTGCGGCATATTTTTCTTCATCCAGGTACCATATTACACTTTCTCTTTGTATAATGACTATTATATATATTTGAAGGTTAAAACATGTTTTATGGTGATGATGCATTCAGCGGTTATTAAATTATTGTCGTTCATATCGAGCAATTGACTATTGAGTGAGTACACGCTCGGCTGTAGGCGTTTGTTTGTGCCCTTTTAATTAGCTAGAGCAAATTATATTTGCTTTCTTAATTACTGGAGTCCCATCAATTTCTCGGCGACTCCGAGGTAATACACGGTTTGTGCAATTCCAAATAGCGGTGCTATCACGATCATCCTGCATGCGCCACCTTTGAAGAATGCCGTGGCTCCTTCATTCTTCAAAGTTTTACTGAAAAAGGAAATTAAGAATATAAATTTGTTATCAATAAAAAAGAATAATATAGTTCTAATAGAAATTGTTATTACCCAACGCAATCTAGAACACCATTATAAGTCGGCTCACCAGGCGCTTTATTGATTGCCTGAAGTCTAGTCTTAACTACATCAAATGGATTAACAAGTAATGCTGCTGTAGAACCAGCAGCACAGCCTGCTAAAAATGAGCACCAAAACACGGCTGCAAATACATATATTCTTAGTAGTATCAACACTCGATCGTGACCGAAAAAAACAAATAAGCACTTACAAGATCCATCAGGTCGTTTTGGGCCGAGACTATTTAATCTGGCGAATAGAGGAAAATAGATAACAGAGAAAGTGACATCTCTGAGTGCAGTGGCACCAGTACCTTGATATAGACCTAAAATCCCTCGTTTTTGTAGAAGCTCGCGAGTTAGAGCAAGAGCAGATGGTTTCTTAGGTGGAGGGCCTCCACTAGCTGTAGAAAAAGAAGTATCAAATATAGTTATTCAAAATAAAAGAAGTAGAATGAAAGGAAAAAAACTAAAAGAAAGTGTATTATTTTTAACTATTTTCAAAGTATTACTACCATCTGATTTTGCTTTAGCTGCAGCAGCCACTCTTCCTGCATCTTGCATTTGTATTTTTAACAATTCCATTGGAGTTGTTATAACTATTTGACATGCGCCTGCTGATCCACCAGCTATCATTTCCCGTATCAAAGGCAATGGCTCTCTAAAACAACCAGATAATTAATCAGTAAGATTGTATACATCAATGGATTTCTCTAAGTGAAACCACTCTCAGATAAAATTTATTAGTATGATTGTTTCAAGTTTGCTAATCTTTCCAAGCAAATGAATACTATTTGAAAATTTAAAAACCTGTTATGAAATTGTAAACACTATGTTGTAAGTGACAAGATGTTGCATAAAAACTCTGATAAACTTACCCAGGTCTCGTAGATAAATAATGTCTGAATGTATCATTGGCTGTAAGTTTTATGGCTTTCTCAGGAGTGATTAGTAAAATATTTACAGCAGAGCCTTTGTACATTCCTAAATACCCTTCGGCTTTGTAGGTTTTTTTGAAACAGTCAAACCTTAAAATATTACATTTATTTTAGTTTTACAAGAAATACTAACAACTTAATATTAATTTGATCTTAATGATAATTAAGAGCCAAGCAATATTAACAGCTTAATATTAATTAAGGGCCAAATCAGATTGAAATTAAAAATTGAAAATGTTTTTTTAAGAATTGAAGTTATTATCTTACATATTATTTGTTTAAACAATATGTGCTGATGTAAATTAACAAAAATTAAGCATGATAATTAAAATCTTCTGCTTTAAATCTTAAAAATGTTGTTCACTATTTATAAAAATTTATTTTTGATCTTGCGAGCAAAAATACGTCCCGAAAATATCCCAACGTTATGGCATCGTAAATGTCAGTCCCAAAGTAAAGAAAAGAAAAAACATTGGACACTCACATTGAAGCATACATCTTTTCTCCTTTAGGTCCCACCACTTGATTTTGCAGCCTAGTTTTGACAAGATCCAATGGAAAAACCACGGAAACCCCGATAATACCAGCGATACCTCCATTGACAATTTTGGGTACCAATCTTTTAAAAAATCACCACAAATTATTATCGATTACTTTCTAATATGAAAAAAGTATTACTATATTCGAACGCTTGAACGACATAACTCACTTAAACTGTTCTGCATTCTGGACTTGTGACATTTTGGAATATATTCTGTAAAAGACGAGTGAAATGATGAATGAACGGCAATGTGAAAAATGGAATGACTATGTGTAATTAGGCAGACTTTAATTACGAGCAGCGAGCATGATTGATATATACCTACACTCAGCAGGAAGTTATGTGACAGAAGATACACAACGCGCAATGGCTAGCACGATACTATTCGCCTCTCTCAACCACTACAAGCTTGCACGGCAACTGTGACGACGAGGGAGAAAGGAAGAGGAGAGGAATAAATGAGACACCGCACACTACTTTGCGCGCGCTCAGCTGTTTGCCATTGCTCTACTGGTTGGGTGGGTGGCCACTTCGCGCACTAACACACACTCAAGGATACGATTTTATAGATTTCGCGTGTTTGCACTTTGCATACATGGATCGTTACTTACCGAGCACAATTTTTTTATTTTTTGTATAATTTTATTACTTTTTATGCTTTAAACTGCATGCGTGAACGATTTTTGCAATGTAGCGCGAGTAACGAATGTAAATAAAATTCTATTATGTGACCTCGGGGGATATTTCTACATTTTTCTATTTTAGGAAATGGTTTCTATCGTTCCATTACTCTCAGTTTAATACAAGCATTTCTGTTGCTATACACACACAAACACACACATACATATAATAAAGCCCGATTGACAATTATTTTTAGCTGATAAATTTATACATTAGTCTCTTTGAGAACGAAATTTGCATTCCGCACACTGTTTGATCAAAACGTTGTTATTTTATATCTTGGTTTAAAGAACGTCGTAAAAATTTACCAATTTTAACATCGAATGCTTTTAGTTTATCCAGTTTTTCTCTTGTTGACTACAACCGATATTCAATTAAAATATTGTAACGATTAGAAAATATATGTTGGACTATAGCAACGTGAGAATTAACTTATTAAAACATATTTTCTTGTTTTGACAACGACATTTTCTTAAGCAAAACTTAAAGAACTTTCAAAACGGCTCGAATCATCTTTCACTTCAATTAAAATATATTTTTGAAGCATTTAATCGTACAACTGAAAGTGAGAGGTAAGATTATTAAGACTGCCGTTAGTTCGAATAATACAGCTCGACTTCTATCGCCGGAATAGCAGCGATAAGTATTAAGATAAAAACAAGTTTCTGGCACGCGTGCTACGAACTGCGTTATAAACGTAAAGAGTTAGTTAGGATCAAAGTCAGGTGTTTGTGCCAAAATTTCTGGCGCACGTTCAATCAGTCTGTCGCTTATTGTTCACTTCCGAATTGCTAAATTTAAAGCATTTTTGTACCACACAGGTCTTCTCGGCCAATTGACGTAATTATAAGGCTATTCTATCGTCTGTCTTCATCATTTGCGACGCTACGTTAAGGTGTTATCTAGTTGACGATAAGCCACTCGTGAGCTCTTTCGTGTAGCAAATTTTTCTTGTATTAATCAAAGAATGAGAGTAGTTGTAAGAATAGAAGAATGTTTATAAAAAATAAAATAATGTCCTTGTAAAATAGCTTGATAACTTTTTTATTAAAGCCATAAAATAAAATATTTTATACATGATATACTATAATACTTTATCGAGTCTGGCTCATTTAATATTCACAATTTGTTGAAATGCAACAATCATAAAAAAATTAAACTTGAACGACGCTTAACAATAAGCGTTCGAGTTCTTGTCACATATTTACACTGTAGGAAAAGGTTAATTCTACAATTAATGTACATTTTTCGTTGTTTGATTCCAGAAAATATGCATTGTCTTAAGTTTGGAGTGTATAAATTGTTTATATATATATATATATATATATATATATATATATATATATATATATATATATATACACACACACACACACACATATATAGGGAGAGAGAGAGAGAGAAAGTATCTAAATACAAATGTACATTTGATAATGAAAACTAATAATAACAGCCAATGTATAAGCAATTACTTGAAACTAGATAATAAGAATGTTGTCGAATGTACAATATACAATTAACCCGAACTCCAACCAGGTATCCAGTTCTTCTTGCGAGTTGCTGTTTAAAAAATATTGAGAAAAACAGTTATAGTGCTATTAATTACAAAAGGTGTTATTAATAGTTGTCAAACTCACCTCCTCCAGTTGTTGATACAATTTCATTCAGTTTGTGTGTTTCCTCAGGGCTTAATTTGAGAATAGTGTCAAGTACAGGAACTAGTCGACTACGTTCATCTCGATTTTCTAAAGTACAAAACTAAACGAAAGATAAATAGCTGCACGTAAAATTTATTTTAAAAAATTCTTTGAATTACCTTGAAGACAACATTTTTAAGGTACTCGAAATTTACAGCCTCCTTTTCTCGTTCAACATAGCGTTTTTGTCTTCTAATGTCTTCTTTAAGTAACTGATTAAGCTGGGTGAGTTTCGCTATATCCCTTTCCGCATCGGCCAGCAATTCCGTTAAATGTTTAACACGATTTTTGTAAGCTATCACTTCGGGACTGTCTTTCGGAACTCTTGACACAACCTCGTGCTCATCGAAAGGGAATTCTAACAACTGATCTAACGGAGTCAGTGTTATTGGCGTTTGAGGTGGTGTGCATCTTCCTCCTATACTTCGTTCCGAGTTTTTTGTTGATTGTTGCAAAGATTCTATACTTTCTGATCCCTTGAAGGAAGAATGATCAATGGTAATTATCGTGTGTATAAATTACAAATTCGGCAAATATCTTTTACCTCGCATTCTTCTCTCTCGACTAATGGAGGTGTTGACGATACAGGAGCGGCTGATGGTATAGGTTCTATAGCACCTATTTGTGATTTTATTGTAGAATTTAGTGTAACTTCTAATTTTATACTTCGCATTTCCTCTTCGTGTCTCTTTTTGATCTTAGCTATTTCTTCCTATAATATTTAACACATTGTTAACATGAACTATGAAATAATAGGAAATTTTAAAATGAATATTTGAAATTATTAATTACTTCATAATTTCTTCGTAAATTATCAAAAGTTTTTTCATGATTCATTTGCAATCTTTGATTTTCAGCTTCCTGATTTTTATATTTTTCCATTAGAATTACTGAATCTTGTCTCAATAATGTCAATTTAGAAATTAGTTCTTGTTCAGAAGCAATACCACGAGTCCTTTCATCTTTTAATAAAACAATTTCTTTCATCAAAGATTCTGTCCTTTCCTTATAGCTTTCACACTTCTCAGTTAGTAACAAAATTTGACGTCTACAGTCTTCGACTTCTTCTTCCAGATGATTACTAGGAATATTTTTGGTTTTAAGGAGAACACTTTGAGCTCGTAATTTATAATTTTCAAACTCGTCTTGTAAGAGAGACGTTTCTCGTTTGCTGTTTTCCAATGCTAAATTTAGTCGTGCTGTTTCACGTTTCAAATCATCTATATGATTTTGGAATGTTTTGATTCGCGATCTATAAGGAAGGAGATTATATTTATTGGTTGGCGAACATGGTTTTAAAATTTTTTTTCCATTTTGAAAAATTGCTCACCTGCTTTCTTCTTCTGTCTTGGCCATTTCAGAAGTTAATAATTCAATTTTTCCTTCTAAATCTTTCTTTGCAGTTTCAAGACGTCTAGCTTCTCTAGCATGAGATTCTTTTTCTTTTAGAGCTTTAGAAGTTTCAAGTTTAGCTTCTCGCGCATCTAATTCTAATGTTTGATTTTTCTCTTCAAGTGTAGTAATGCGAGTAGTTTTTGCTAGATAAGAATCTTGAAGCTCTGAAATTCTAGCAGTAAGAACTTCAATAGTTTCAAGATGTTGGCTGACTGTTCCTTCCAAATTTATTCGTTTATTGGTTTCCTCATCAAGTTTAATTTTTATAGTATCTATACTTTTCTGGAAAATCAAAAATCGACAATACATATAGCTTAAATTGAAATTATACACTAAATATCAGTTACCTACTTCATAATTAGCAACTTCTAATGATAATACGTTATTGCTTGTACGGTCATGTTTCATATCATCTAGACGAGTGCGAGTTGACTTGTGAGATCTGACTTCAGCTTCCAAAGATTTTTTTAAATCCTCACATTCTTTAGTTTTCTGCTGACGTACCATTGATTCAGCTTTGAGTTCATTATTTAAATCTTTCACTTTCTTTTCCAATTGCTCACATGCAGTTTCTAGTTTTGAATTTTCTTCTGTGAAGCTAGTAAATTTTGCAGTCAATTGAGCTAGTTCTTTTTTTTCTTTATTGACTGTATCTTTCAGAGAATCATTTTCTAAAACTAGGCTTTCTAGACGTTTAGTTAGTCTTTTGTTTTCATTTTTCACAAGCTCCACATCATCTTGCAATTTATCATATTGGGATTGGATGATCTACATTAAAATATTGTTCATAAAAATTAATATAACATAGTCAATGATAAGTCTTAAATTCTTCTTTCAGTTCCATACCTGTAATTTTTTGACACTCTCTGACATTCGAAGGATTTTGTTTTGAAGCTCATCTTTTTCACTGTTTAACTTTTGATTATCAGTTTCTAACAATTTGTTTTGATCGGACAAATCAGAAACCTTTTTCTTAAGTTTAATAGCCAATCCTCTAAGCTAAAAATTACAGTTTTAGAAATATAGATATTTGAGCGAATACATTATTTTTTAAAGTAAAACTGATTATTCTAACCTTGTTGTAACGTTCTTCAATAGTAGCATTTGTTTCATCATTATTAGATTTTTCATCACTGTTAGATTTATTTTCACTGACATTTTCATTTTCAATTGTAGACCCTGACATTAACATCTAAAATATTTATTATGTCTGGATAACTTATCAAATCACAAGAGCCGAGGTCGTTTATATAGAATTCCCATAATAAATTCATATTAAATAATATGCAGTTATTAAATTATATATTATAACTGCAGGTATGAACTTACCTCATTTTGAATTGAAGTCGTCATCAAAATCGAGTCCTCCATCATCTGACTGTTGTCAATATTGTTGGTTAAAAGAATCACTATTTATTCATGCGATGGTTTATTGAGTTTATTGCGCAAACAATATAAAGTTGGAACTTAACATGGTGAATCACGGTGGATGACGGTAGAAAAAAACAAAAAACTTATTATCAACATTGGTCTGTATCTTATAGGCCCCGGTCACATAGGTACATACATACATACAGATGCAGACGGATACGGACGCGAATCGCAACTCTAGTAATATCACTAAAAATATTTAGTTCAATTATTTAGTACCAACACTACCGGTAGTGAGCAAAAGTGACTGTTGTTTAAAACTGTAGTGCCGAACGTACCACATTTAATGAACGCTTGTCTAACCTTTACATTATTGCAGTCTATAAGATGGCAAATGATAGAAAATTGATAGACTTTCAACTACAATTAGTGGAATTAGGCCTTAATTTTATGGAAGTACTTGAATATATGAGAAGAAGAAGAAAAAATATATAAATGATATGCATTAATCATCCCAAAAGCTTTTTTTACATTAGCATACTCATAAATAAGCAATATTCATGAGAATATGAAAAGTAAATTGTAGACCTGACATTTGAACATTAAATGTGGTACACCCAACGTGGATTGAATCGCGACCCCCCCAGTTAGGTTGGTATGAGAATTCCGTCGTTGCATTGAACGAAGAAACCGCGGGAAAATTCAAAAATGAAAATTCGTTTTAAGATACGATAAAAAGTTAAAACGTTACTAATTTGTTTTTAGGTTTAAAATTAATTGTTTGCCGAACAATGAATTTAGATGCATGATTATTTGATTTTAGGTTTTAATTATATAATTTAAGAACGAGCGTTATACTATGACCGATCTGAAAACCACCGTTACGGACTGAAAGTAGCACTCATAGTCTCATACCAACCTAACTGGGGGGGTCGCGATTCAATCCACGTTGGGTGTACATACGTTCGGCGCTACAGTTTTAAACAACAGTTAATTTTGCTCACTACCGCTAGTGTTGGTACTAAATAATCGAACTAGATATTTTTAGTGATGTTACTAGAGTTGGGATTCGCGTCCGTATCCGTCCGCATCCGTACATATCTATGGGACCGGGGCCTAAAAAAGTTGCATAGACTTGTGACTCCTAAAGAGCACACAAATGCTTATGCCAAATAGCCATAGAGTATAATTAAAATTTGTTTCAATTTTTCTTAATAACAAAAATTAAGCGTTTCGTGAATTTGTCCATAAACATGAATAATCGTAAATCCGGCTAAACTGTCAATGTTATTGATTCATAAAAAATCACAAAAGCCAAGTGTACATATTTTATTTGTTTGTAAAAATTTGCTATCTTTCAATTATTTATAATTTTAAAAAGTACCAAACATCAAAGGAATATACTAGTATAAATCTGAAATTTTGAAAATCTTGTTGACAGCACATGACCGTTTGGCGTGTGAAATTTGACGTTTACGTTTTATAAACTTCCAATAGGAATGGACTTTTCTTTTGTCAGCAATTGTCTCATGTTTTGTATAATCATCGTATAACATTGATGAACCGGCAGCAATTGTCCAATGATAGTGTAATTTTTCAATACCCTAAATAAAAATTTTGATAGAGAAATGCTCGATTTACCTGAAGGCTTGGAAGTCACTGACTATACGTTAATTTTGCCATCAGTATCAGTCGGAAACGTCGGCCAATTAAGCGTCGACTTATTAATTTCAACATTGGGTTTACGACGAATCGGTAGGATATTCGATACATCTTTTATACCTTTAGTTGGTGCTGATCCTTACGACGAAAATAGTGAGGATATTTGCACTTCTATTGATCTCTATGCATCAGATGAGAAAAAGCTTGTTGCTTTACAAATTCGATCCCCGTTAGTTAATAAGCCTTCCAATTTTTTTTATGAAATTTTAAATTTCGTCACAGATCATAAAATTTCAAAGGTATTTATAATATTATTATAATTAATTAAATTGTAAAAATGAATGTAAATAAATTATTGTTATAAAAATAGGAAATGTAATTATAGGTCATTATTTTAACAAGTAGTTATGGCCATGAAAAAAGGGATGAACAGATTCGAACAGTACCATTTCGTTACTTAGCAAACGAAAAAGTTACAGCCGAATATGACAAGAAATTTGAAGAATTGTCTTGGGTAGCTTTAGAGCCAAAACTATTGGATGATTTCAGTGGACAAACCGTACTGCAAATTCATGGTGGTGGATTCGCAAAAACATTATTTGAACTGTTACAGAAAAATAATCTATTTTGTATTATTCTATTGAAATTTTGTTCAGAAGGAGACAACATTCCTGATGCTATTGAGTTAACAAACTATTTCAACCAGTGGCTTCAACTTATTCCTACAGATGAAAAGAATACTTGTAAATTACAATTTCCACCTTCATGGAAATTTTTGTTCGGAAACTTACCTCCAAGAGAATTATATTAAGTTAAATTAAAATCATTTTTTAATAACAACAATTTTGTTTTTAATAAAACTTTTGTTCTTCACATACAAACTTACAATTTAAAATATAAATTACTTAGAAAATTTGTAATTATGCTACAAGTTTAGATTTTGCAGTGAAAGCTGTGTAGGAAACAATTGCAGCAAGTAAAGTAGCCAATAATTCAGAGTTAATCCAAGGACCAGTGTATACACCTGGGTTGTTTAATACTACGACAGCTAGAGGTTTAACACTGCTTGGATCTTCACCATTCCTAATAGCTTTGCGAATAGCTGAATAGCTCTCATCATCATATAGTTTAACGTTATAGTCACCAGAACGAGCTTTTTTGATATCATCTGTCCATGATATCTAAGAGTAAAAAATATTTGTTTTTTATTATAAAATTGTATTAAATTAATTTTACTTGATAATTTTAACAAAGATAACTAGTAAACCAAATAAGTATTTGAATTAAATCCATCCACCAATAATTATAAACAATAATTTGCTTTATAAAACAAGATATTACAGCTTACATACCTGGTACTTGTTATCAGCACTCAATCTTACAGCTGGCAAGGATTTACCATCAACTTCAGCATAGAGAGAAATTCCCTTAGCACCGTTAGCGCACTTAAGGGTAAATTGAGTGGTAAATGCAACTTGAGTTAGAACAGTTGCATCTTCAGTTACATATGCAGATGCCTGAACTTCAGGTTTTAGGCAGGTTTCAGCCAATACTGATGATGCCGTAATAGCTAAGAAAAAAGTAATGAAAAAACTCTTCATTTCTGAAATAATTTCATTTTCATTAACTTTGGTTTATAGCCTTAACATTTTTATTTATAAACTATGCAATTGGTAATAATTACTTGTGAATTTTTAAGAAATGCAGAAACAGCTGTAAGTGGTTTGGCGTTAGCGGCACTTGTCGTTCTCAGATCTCTGGATCTTAGCAATAAGCAAAGATGAATTGGTCTTAGCTTATGTTAACGCCACCTGGCCACGTCGTTGAGTTTGAGGTTTGAGGTTCGAGTAGTAATACATATATATATATGTATATCTACTATATATGTGTACGTGTAGCATGGTAGCACGTCACATGTTAGACCAAGAACATTTATTGATACTAGATAGGATCTGCATACTAAAAGGAGTAAAATTTACTACTCAAAGTAACCTCAATAATTTCGAATTTTAATTACTATATTTATCTATTATTACTCGTTTAATTAATTATCTTATTTTGTTATAAATTTTATTTTCGTACAGTTATAGTTATAAATCATATTCAAATGATTGTATATTTTGACACATTAGTGGAACTAAAATAACTTGTTTCAATGTCATCGATAAGCTAGATTCCATTAATAATTGACACGAAATTTTAGTAATTTATATTATCATACTAAGACCTCTACGAGAGGTTGATAGTCACAGCTCCAAGCCTAGATTTTCATTGTGTTAGTTCGGTATTGGTGTATATGTGAACACGCAAGCCAAACATGTGTACCTTCTTCTGGCACCTTTCTAGAAATGTTTTGTATTATTGCAGATACGTCGAGATACTCACTCATCGACTTACTTTAAAATAAATGTGAAATTAAAGATTCTCGCCTTGAAAATTATAAGAGAAACAAGCGCCAAGAAAAAATATACTCTGAATTTTATTAAATTAAAGTTTCTGTTTATAGTGTAGGGATATAATCGTATAATTTTATTGAGTAGTTTATATTTTGAGTATATCATCATAAGTATATATATTGACAATTCAGAGGCTTCTTGTAGTATAATTTGAAGAATGTGATATTAGTGAAAAGAACAAACAAAATGACAGAAGAATCTGAAGCTTTACCTGATTTGGTAAGTAGATTTGAATATTTTTTAAAATGAAAGCTTTTTTGAAATTACATGTGTGAAAAAATCGTATAATATGAATATAAATTATATAGATTGTATTTTAATATTTAGAAAATATTCTACATTTTCTTTTCTACATTCAATTATTATTATTTATTTAGAAAATCAACTGTTAAAACTTTATAAGAGTGTGTAAATATTTTGGTGAAAAAATATAAACTTTTAATTATTTTTTTATGCCTAAAAAATTAACTTATTTTAGATTTCTGAAAACTTGTATTTTGTTTTCAAACTCATTAAACATTTCACTTAAGATAATTTTTCCTTTTTATATCTATTCTGATTAAATTAATAATTAATTGTAAAATTTCCAGATCTCATCAGAATCTCCACCTGATTCTCCCAAAAAACAAGTCAAATCAACAGCTGTTGTTAAGTATTCTGCTGTTTCAGCACCAGCTACTTTTGCTCAGTTACAATGCAATACAGATTTGAATCTACCTCCAAGCAATTGGTTAAGCACTTCAGCAGAAAGCTATGGGCTACAAAATGTTTGGTCTAGAGGAGGCTCGGGTTTTTCCAGTTTTCGAATGGCTCACATGTTTCCTGACTGTGTTGGTGAAGTAGATGTGGTGTCTGATGCAGAAAACATAAAAAAATTATTAAAATTGCCCTATAGTCATGGCATGGTATCAATGATGGTACATAGAGTAGAGAATACATTGCTACTTGATGATTTTGACATACATAAGTATCTTCTAAGACAATCTGAAAATGACTGGGAATGGTTGAAAAAATTTTTTTATGATCATGTTTTTCAAAATCTAGGAGACAAAGAAAAACGCTTATTCCCTAAAGCAAATAGTAGAAATGCTATTCAACAAAAAAATTTAATTTCAAAATTTTTGTATCACTCATTAGTACTTGCAAATGATAAACAACATAGTACTCAGCAGCCACCATTGCCTGTAGAGCATCTTCAGCCATCATTACCAGAACCATCACCAGAAGAGAAATTGCCAGACCCACATCATAATCATAATTTTTCAAGGAATGTTGTATGGACTTTTGAAAATATACAAATGTTAATAGGGACTGATATGCCAATTTTTGGTGGCCAAACGCATCCATGTATAAGTTTACGTTTACGTGATGCTACAAAACCAATAAGTGTTTTAACAGGTATAGATTACTGGTTGGATAATTTAATGTGTAACGTACCAGAGGTAGTAATGTGCTATCATTTAGATGGTATTGTACAAAAATATGAGTTGATAAAAACTGAGGATCTTCCTAATTTAGATGATGCTAAGTTTAGTCCTAAAGTTATAAGAGATATTGCTCAAAACATTTTGAGTTTTCTTAAAACTAATGCTACAAAAGCTGGACATACATATTGGTTATTCAAAGGTAAACTTATTATATTTGATCAAATTTTACTAAAATGCAGAATATACTCTCATATAAAAAATAAGTTCAAAAAAAATAAAATTTCAGGTAAAAATGACGACGTCGTTAAATTGTACGATTTAACATCATTATGCAATGACATGTCAGAAGATAAGAGCCAGAATCCTTTTACAGTACCAGTTGCCATGTTACTTTATCGAGTTGCCAGGAACATGAAGTATTCATCAGATTACGCAAAATATCGCGGTAGTATTTGCATGCTACTGAAAAATTGCATCCAATTGTTGCCTAAAGAAAAATATCCTCAAATTGTGACTTCGGCTCACTTTATGCTTGCTGACTTGTATGTTCCTGCCGACACTGATCCTGCAAATCCAAATCTAACCGATTTGAATGATGACGACGATGCGCATAGCGAATGCGGAAGTACAGTCGAGAGTGACAGAAGCGACGAGAAATTCGAACAAGACATGAATGCGGCCATAAAATCTTTGACATTGACAAAAAGTATGTTGCTAATTACAATTTATGGTTTATTTTCATACAATTTTAAAGCAAACGCTGAAATGAATAACAATTATTCTATATTGCAGTAAGAGAACATCACATAAAAGAAGACTTTGAAGAGTTCAAGTTCAAACCTCCACCAATTGGTGTAAATATTGAGGAGAGATGTCAAAATGCTTTGGAACATGTTTGTTTTGGTATTGCTTGTTTGAAGTACTTTCCAACTGATTCAGATGATCAAAAAACTTCTTCAAAAGATAAAGATGGAGAGAAAATGGAAAAAGAAAAAGTTCATTATGAGGAAGAAAGTATAAATATGGCTAAACCTTTTCAAGCAATTCCTATGCCTTATGCACCACTTTATCCAACTACGTCAGCTGATAAGGCAACAAATGAGGCAACAAAGATCAACTCAAGTAATGATAGTAGTCCTAGGTAATATATCCTTTAAAATAAATATAAATGTCTAAACGTCGTTCATTACTTAAAATATTAAGTTAAGTTTCGTCATTTACAGTAGTACATTACAAATTTGATGATGAATATTTTACAAAAAATTGATATAAAAAAATAAATTATTCTATTTAAATTAGTACTAACACTTTCAATTTAGTATTCAGTCTTTGATTATTTTATTGGCAGTAACTTAATTTTTAATAAAATAAACCCTATTTAGGCAGGCGTTCAATGAGCAGTCTTTACCATAAATTATTAAGAAAAATAAAATTATAAATATAATAATTTATATAAAATTTCAGTCACAAAAAAAAGAACAAACAAAAGAAGAAAAAATTAACGGAAAAGCTTCCTCAAAAAAGCAGTAACTTGCCGAGCATTGAAGACACAAGTGCAAAGGCTTTATTATGCAAAGCTGAGTCGCAAACTTTACCAACGTGGCAAGCACCGAAGAAAGATGACAACCGTAGCTGGAGTGCTCACCTCAAAACTTTGCTCTACGAGAAAGCTTCCCTGGTGTTTGCGGTACTTGCCGAGAATGAATACTCGAATAAAACCTACGGTGCCACACTCAGATATATCCTTGCAGTACTGCGTTGCCAAAAGATACTCGAGATCTTCTGTGGTGTCAGGAATGATAAGTTGATTAGTTATCTGCTGGGAAGAGCTGGTGATTGCTGTTTTATGGTTGTACAGGACTGGTCTAATGTCGAGAAGCATCGTAATGATTACGAAACGAGAAGTGTTACTGAGAATTCAATCACCGATGTGATTTTTGCTATGAAAAATTCAGATATGAGTGAGTTTAAAAAAATTTTTAATTACTAGATAAAAATATTTTCCTTAGGAGTATTCGTAAAATTTGTTATTGTTTTAGATAGCGTTGAGATTCCACCAGAGCGATTTGAAACACTGGAAGGAACTCTTGTAGCTTCGTACAAATGCTATGAAAAAGCTTTGATGTTGGAACCTGTAGAGGCGGATAGAAATAATCTCTTACGCCGGTTAGGAAATATACATAACGAGTTGGGTGTTTTATATATGAATCAAGCCGGCTGTAAGTATCAATTAGTAGAATCTTTTTTTTAATGCATTATAACATTTGAAACGCTTCAAAAGATGTAAATTTTTACGAAATAACAAATTTTTAGCGCGTTATCAACAAGGCGAAACGATAGACACCGACATGAACAACACAGACAGAACAATGCCACTCATATGTTCAATTATGCATTTAGAATCCGGAATAAAGGCTTTTGAAGCGGTACGCGACGAAGCGAATCTTGCGCTGCTGCATTCTAACACTGGTCGGCTGATGCGTCTTTGCGCTCACATCAATTCAAAGAAATATTCCCGTGAACGGCACTTTTACAACAAAGCATTAGCAAGCTACCAAAAAGCCCTCCAAGTTCTCGGTACGAGGAAAACTAATCCGGCTATTTGGGATAGCGTCACGTGGGATTTGTCAACCACTTTATTTACTATGGCTACGCAGTTGCAGGATTATCCTAAGGCTGGTAATAAAGTAAGTAAAGTATTAAAAAGTGTTTTATTTTGTTATATTCGATAGATTTTTTATTTATTCAATTGAGTTAAAATTATGAATTTGTTTGTAACATTTTAGACTGAAGATGAGTTAGAACGTGAGGTAGTGGAAATCTTCCAGAAAGCTTTAAAATATTGTGACACGGAAACTTCAGGTCCACGACAACCTGTATACCAATTTCGCGCAGCGACAATTCAGCATCGACTAGCTTCACTGTATCATAAAGTCTATAGAGAACTAGATCACGAGATAGACAGCGTTAAGCGTAAGAACAGTCTACAATTATCGAAACTTTATTACGAGAAGGCGGCGAAACTGCTTTGCACTCTTGAACAGACCACGGAATTCCTTACTGTGCAGATGGAGCGAGTGGCTCTTGCTGAATTCCAAGCTCAAAGTAAATTCACTTACCAACTTATACTATATCTTGTAAAAGTATTCAGAACCATGTTGATAAATATTTTTTTCAGCTACGAATGCGTTTAACCAGAAACTTAAATCTTACCAAAACTGCATTGAGTTGATTTTGCAAAGTAGACCTATCATTGAACTAATTGTCGACCGAAATAAGGCTTCCCATAATAAGAAGCATGAAAAACCGTTGGATAAGACTACGGATAAGGAAAAGAATAATGATAATAATATTAAAGAACATAATTCAGAGGAAAATAAAGAAATAGAAGATGAAGAAAATCTCGTAATATTGCTTGAGCAACGTCTGCAGTTTATTCTCAAATCTTTAACGAAACTTTGTATAAGCAAAAATTCTAGCAATCAAAAGAAAGAGTAAGCCTAATATTAATATTTTTTTATTTAATATTTATAATTTATAGTATAAAATAGCGTAATAAATTTTAATTTCAGAAATGAAAATTTAGCTGCTTTGTATAAAAAATGCTATAGTTTGACACTAAGGGCGGAAACTTTATCAGGAGTTAATTTAATCAAACATATTGCCAATGTTTTAAAAAAAATAGAACAGGTTTTGGATCAATCAAAAGAATCTTAGTTAATGACACAAATAAAAGAGTTTATATTATTTTTTATGCTGATGATCAATAGTGATTTGTTACACTGTAAAAATAATAATATACTCTGTAAATAGTAAGGATGATACTTTTATATGTTTTAAGTAATTTATTATTGAGAAAATGGATAATTTTTTCACAGAATTCTTATAAATAAAATATAAATACAAATAAATTATTTGTTGTCAAGGTATTTGAATTATGATTTTTTGATCATTAAATTTAAACAATAAATTTATGTCGCTAATTTATTTATTAGGAATAAGAGATGAAGAATTTCGAATATGAATTTTTTGTACGATTCTTTATTGCTATATTGTAGGATTTGAACAGCTCAACTTACAAACGTTCAGGTTTCGGCGGATAAACATGATGTGTATAGTTTTACAATAAAAGATAAATTCTGTCAACATTCAACATTTAACCGTAAAGCGAATTTTGTTTCGTATAAATAATCATCGATTTTGAATTAAGACGAAATTTATTAGGATCTAGAGACGTGTTTCAACGTCGTGTTCACCAATATTATATATCTATATATTGTTTTCAATCATTTATGCTGCGGAACCCGCCGCAAACTTATTATTTTTCTATTGTTTCGTAAGCTTTTTGACCATCACTCCTTATAGAAAATGGATTATTTACATAAATTTTTATATCATCAACATTAATTACCATATAACAACACCTTAACACACGTTGCAAAAATTACTTTCAAAAATATACTAGAATTCAAGTTTGATTATTTTTAATTTATGGGTTGAATAATTTAAGTATATGCGTATAATGTTAACAAATATTCATATCTATAGTTTGCAGTATATTTTTTTCTAACTAAAGAATGCAAAAATATTCTTTACAATTAATGTAATCCATCAAATTATTTGATTCAAATTTACTAATTGAAAAAAATACATTCTAGTATACTTCTAAAAGTTTTATAATTTTATTAGTATAGTAATATACAATATTTCTTGTGGCGCATTCTATCTTTTATAATAGATTTGAAATTTACAACTCGTTTAACTTAATATATCTACAGATAAATGCTTTAAAACTCTATAAAAGGGACTTTACTACAATATTATGAATAAGATGATAATTATTTTTACCGTTAATTACAGTTTTTTTAAATGCATCACATCATGTTTGAGAAAAATCATCTCTTCGAGAGTTTGTATATGGTAAGTGTGACTATTTACTATGCATTTTATCACGATCATCGCACACTTTTCGTGCTTAGACGATTGTCACGTAATTTTCTTTGTTAAATACTTCGAATATCAATTGTTTTAATAAATTTTATTGTGTCATAATCATTGTCAAATTATAGTGATTTGGCTACTTTTGTCTAAAATAGATTTTTTTAAAAATATGTTACAAACAAATTGTAGATATTAAACTTTCGTTAATTTTATTTATTTAAACGATCAAAACCATCGATAATTATAAATAGGTTGTTAATATTTATTATAAATAATTAAATAACAAAATTGCTAGATTAAATTCTCTAAAATTATAGCATACATGGTAAAAGTGTATTTATGTAAAATAAGATCATAATTTGACTAGAATAGTAATAAAATCGAAAAACTTCCAATATCGATTTTGTGATTGTCTTTGAAACATTTCATGTCAGATATTATAAAATAATTTATTCAATAGTCATCAAAATTATATATGTTTAATTAATCAGATTTATAATTTGCATAAATTCCTCATACTATTTTACGGATTTATTGCTAACATATCGAAAACATGTACAATACTCTACTGATTTTTCAACAACTTAACTTTCAAACATTTCATCAATATCATAACCATTCATTAAAATACAGAGTTTTACTTATTATATGTAATGTCACATAGTTAGGCCGATAGAAAAAAGGTGTTTTCATATGCACAGTTATTGGCACATTCATTCCTGTCATTTTCTCTTCCGCGCATTTCTTTTACTCTTCGTTTGCTCTTTAGCGCGAAACTCCATTTGACATTAAGTAAATACACACTTATTAATTGTCGAAGTACTACTTTTATTATGTATTATTGAGAACGTTAATCATGTATTATAATTATTTATTCTATGTTTAGGTTTAAAAATAATATATATTTTTTTAATTTAATCAGGTAGAATAATTCTTACAACTCAGCGATTTGATTAATCTTTACTTACATGCTTAATTTATAAGAATGACTAGTTTTTAAAATATCATGACATTTCGGAATAACTATATTCTAGAATACCAATTATATATTTTACATTGTGTTTGTGGGACAATCATTGAAGGGCAGTTTAATTTTTTAAAAGAAAGTTTTGTATATTATTTAATACGTCGCGATAATACATCGCAATGTATCTTCATGAATGTTCTTATTTTCTTTATTTATTATCTCTTGGACTGACAGTTCAATTTACCAATCTATAATGTATATCGTTCTACACATTTTTATAAAGTTATATTTGATTCAATTTTTCTCACGTTTTTTAATGTATTGGTAGTTAAGACTTATAAACATTTTATTGCGTATCATATTCATATGATAAATTTCATGCATTGATGATATTATATTAAATTATATCAATAAAAACCCGGACAATTGTGCATGGTTTTATTATACATACAAACTATTATGCACAGTAACATAGCGTGAATTATCGTCTATCAATTCTCACGCTATGTTACCCTGCACAATGATTTGTGTGTACAATAAAACCGCATATGATTGTCTGCACTCCTAAACCAGCAAGCAGATAACGATATGCAGTTTGATTATTTCGTTAATTTATTCATGTTAAATTCCGACATTATTTTGCAGTAGTAATAAATATTTCTTTTAATTCCATTAATGTGTAATATTACAATATAATATAATGAATCCCAATTGTGTTATATAGCCTAATCACACTAATTATTTGGTCACATACGTTTACGACTTTTGATTACATCATTTATTTATTTAAGTTAATTAAGTGAATTTTTTTAATCGCGAATTTTTACAGGATACTAAATATCGAAAGTTAATAGATTAAGCCATATTATATTTACAACTGTATGTGAAAATGTAGCAGAATATGTTGTAGCAAAATAGAATATTCATTTTTATGGGATATTTTCCTAAAATATAATTTTCAATGTTCACAACTGATTAATATCATTATAATTGATTAATAATAAAGTCATTGCATTCTGGATTATTGGTATAGAATTTATAGCTTGCGATTGCATTCAGTTATATTGAGTAAAATCGATATCGATACAAAATTATGATATGCATTATGTTGTAAAATTCTCAATTTGATTATTAAGTAGGAACTAAATCAAGCACTGTTTGAGACCTTGACAATTTAATGTGTAAAATATAAATTGACTAAAAACATAAATCTTAATCAATAATTATTCAAACATTTAAACGTACTACTGCTAAATTTATTCTGCGGTTTTAAGCTTTGATAGCTTTTTTTGCTCATACTTGATGTTTTTAATGATGTTGCTAATGTGTTCATTCTAATTTTATGATGTATATTTTCATTTGATCTATTGAATTTGTTGATTCGATGATTTTTACCCTGTTAATTTCTGGCTCTAATATTTCTTCTGGAATACATCTATTATTGATGTTCTAATGAAAACAAAATGAAATCTTTTATGGAAGACACTTATGAGTTTCGGTTTCCCTGTGAAACAACATTTTTTTTACTAATCAACAATATTTCATGATCCTGTTGTATTGTATTGATCATTAACAAAATAATCTGATTCTAAAAGATCTTGTTATATTTGTGTTACATAATTGTCTTAAGTTAGCATTTTTGCAAAAAAAAGATCATATAATTGATAAATGAGAATCACTACAGCCATTTGGTGTAAAGAATATAGTGTTAAATCAATTTATTTGAAAACTTTTCATAATTTTTTTTCGTCAAAGACGTTGCATTATTATTATTATTATTATCAATACACAGCGGCGAGAAATGAAAGCCAGCACTATGGAGAGCTTTTAACGCGTCACGAATCTCAATAATCGTGCAAACAAGATTGTCTATAGATGAAGAACATTTTCAGACGCTTCTAGAAAAAAGCATTGATCAATAAAGTAGGAAAATTGAAAAAGCTTGGTACTTGCGGTGATTTTAATAGGACCCACACAGCAGAAAAAAATTAACAAAACATAGCCCGAGCGACAAACGTTCCACCAGGTAGATTTATATCGCATCGAACCAAATTCATCGTTCCATACACTTGTTTCAACGCAAAGTTAGTGACTCGACAGACAGAGAAACGGAGGCTGAGTGCCGATAAGCTTGTCCAGCTCCGGGCGTACTTGGCACCTCTTCAATACGTTCCAGGTCATTGGCAGCACCAGCGCTATTTTGCTTGAAAAGTCTCGGTGCCGTTCTGTGCTGCTGCGTCTCCACGGTTGCCGTAGCCGTAGTCGAAGTCGATGGCTCGTCGGCGCGATCGAGACTGAATTGCCGACGTAGAAGACGTCCGCGGCCTGCTGTAGCACCCAGACCACACTCAATGTCCAATGACTTGATTCTCGATCTACCGAGTTTGCGACGCGCGTGCAGGCTTTTCTCTGGCTGCTGCTCGAACGTCGCCTTTCCTGTGTTTCGTTTTTCGCATTTTGTCGATAGTGACGAATGTGGGTGAGGCGAAAGTGGTCGTGTTGTTTGTAGCAATGATGATGAACAAGAAAAGAACGATTCGCAAAGTGAGATTTTTCATGTTTCTTTTTCAATTTCTGCTTATCAGCACTCATGATTCGTTAATAAAAATTAATTTGCATTAATTTGTCTTGCACATCCTTAGGACAATAGGACAATCTAATTGCCTAATTATGTCTGACTATTTAGGCATCTCTACTATTTTCAAGTCGGTCATGATCTTATCGATTAAGTCAAAGACTTATGTAGAATGAGAAAAGTAAGCAAAGTGTGATTTATTCTAGATTAATTTTGGATATGTCAGTAGCAGAAATTAATGCAAATTATCAGTGATCTAAAATGTTATCCATAACAAATAAATTGGATTTTCAACAACGAGTGCCTTTCAAATTACTTTTCACAATCTACTCGAAGAGCACAATGAAAACGTCTAGTTTCATAGTGTGGAGCGGATTGAAAGTCTTGAATACATGCTCAGCGAGCATCTTTGATTATTGATCGATCGAGGAGTAGAGTTGAACCAGGCACCGAGTGAATTTCAAATTCTACTTCAACAACTTCACTAACTTGATTTTACAGGATTTCACTACTCTCTACGATTTATTTTACTCAACTACTTTTAATTATAGAGACCAATCATGCAACTAATCATATCATATCTCTTATCTATTATTAACACAAATGTAATTTGCACTTTACATTTTAATGTAAGAAATTTTTTATTTACACGACTATAATATAAAATCTACATAATATGTGCAGTATATAAATGAAAAAAATTAACATGAAAACTGCGTATTGATGTAATTTATAGCATTGGTTTACTTCATTTTATTATTCTAGAAAATTAGGGAAGATAATTTGAGTAAAACAATAGAGATAAAAAAAACATATAAAAGTTAATTTTGTGAGATTATCTTTTAAAAAACTTCTAAGAGCAAATAAATTATACTTATAGTGAGATAAAATTTTTTGCTATAGTGGATAAAAATTGAATGTACGTATACTATATTTTCATTATAAAAAACCACATTATAAATCAATTGCCCATTAAGCATTTTTTGAAGACTTTAATCCAATGATAATGGTTAGTACGAATGATAATAATGTGAGTAACAAGAGTACAGTGAAGACGACTTTCATGGATATAACTTGAATAATTTTACGCTACAAATGTTAAGTAAAAACGAAAATGTACAGAAGATTAGCGCAAATATAAATTAGTATGAAACATTACTATAAACCGGAATCCGATGTCGGATAAAAGTAAATTTGTATTTCATTATAGAAAAAAATGTCGTGTACAACAGCTTGGCGATAATCTATACTGATTGTGAGTATTTATTGAAACATTATTTATTGAATGAATATTTGCAGATCAATCCCCAAACATTCTACATAATGAAAATATAAAATAATTCTATGAAAAATATAATTTAAACTAAAACTAAAAAAATAAATTTTTTTATAGTTCATACTTCCTTGTTATATAATGTATAAAATAAGAAAAATAATTAACGAAAATTCGAAAAATATTTTATATATACGTAGACAACCCGAGGCAGAAGACAGATATGGATATAGAGCGACAATGAGAGTACAAAAGGCCAGCACGACGCGAGAGCGTCAACGTCCAAGAGAAAAAATATAAAATGACGGCAAGGCCGAAACTCACCATAATGCTCATTGGGCGAGAGACAGCGGTAATGATTGTAAGGTGTACTCAGGTCATCCTCATCGATGACACCACCCATTCGTCTTGGACGGTTTCTACTAAACACGTTGCTCGTCATTGAGTTTATCGATGTCGACGAGGCGCCCAACAAAGCTGCTGCTACTTCTGTCGCTGACACTGGTGTGCCTGCGTCATGTGAAATTTGTTAATCAAGGTTTCTTCCCACGTTTTTTAAAAGTTCAGCGCTGAACTTGTAAGTGAGAAAAAATTCAATTCAACTTTTTCAATTTAACGCTCGAAGACCGAGCTTACAAAATTTGTATTGCGAAATTGAACACTAAAGTAAATGGAATCGTTCAATTAACAATAATTTACGTACTGCGCGAGTTCTATGCATAAACAATATCATTGGAATGAGAATACTTCGAAATTCGTGATAGCGGCATTTAATTGCAAAATTTAAGCTCGTTTCCCAATTCCCAAAGCCAACTCATTAAAATTTCTAGCGTGATTAACACGAAACTCAGAAAATCCCATTAGCTGCATTAATTATATGCTTCCATTAATTATAGCAGCATAATAATAATCGAATCTCACTCGAAAAAGTGAAACCTTCATACGAGCGGAAGTTTGTGCTATGTAGAAAACACGTTGACAAATGAATTGGAAACTCACCAAGTGTCACGGGATTGTCAGTGGAAGTACTTTTGGTAACGTTAGCACTGCTATAATCTGAAGTAGACCTCGTACCAGTTGTATCTACTTTGAAGGGTTCGTTGCTAGAGAGATTGTCGTGCACGGAGACTGGCACCCGACGACTACTCGATGGTTTTTCTATCGACGATTGCTCGCTCAACGCGTACTTGGACGGCGAAGCGGTACCCGTGGCGTGCAACGATACCGTGGCGCTCACTTCGGCCGAACTATCTTCTTCCGTTGAGTTGAGGGTCGTCAGGTGCGTACTTACTTGAATTGGTACATTCGACGACTCGGCTTCTGCTTGCTGCTCCGAGCTTTGTAGATTTTCGATGATTATGTTCTCATCCAGCCTACAATAAGATATTTTATTCCTCCGATTTCAATTTGTGTAAATGTTAAACCCGTGTAAATGGATTTTTGAAAGTCTTACCCGTGATCCTCCCTACAAATTTGGGAGGCGTGCAAACGAAAACGAATTGTTACACAGCAATCATCGGGTAAATTGGTCTATTAAACAGTCTACTCATAATATACAAATTATCGTGGCAACTGGGTTAACTTACCCAAGTGGTGGCGGCACAGGCAGCTCTTTGTCAAAGTCCTGCTTGCCGAGTAGCCAATAGGTGTTCATGGTACCTTTCCCTTTGACTTCCGTAGGGCCGCGATACTCGATAATGTAACCACCTGCTTGTGTGAGCTTGTCTCTAGTTGCCTGGCTCATGTGAATGCGCCATGGTACACCCGTCGACTCCATTCTTGATGCTGTGTTCACTGTGTCGCCGAAAAGACAGTAACGGGGCATCGTCAGACCCACAACTCCCGCGCAACACGGACCTGAATGCAAATGTCCGGCGTTGTGATAAATTCAATTAATCGCAATTACTGTAAATTTGAATGATTAACTCACCCGTGTGAAGGCCAATCCTGAGCCTAAGCTGCGTTCTCGGCAGATGCTTCAGCTTGAACTTGCCGCTCTGATGAAGCAAATCCAGCGCCATCGTGGCGACCTGACTCGCGTGATCGGGTATTCTCACAGGACAACCGCCGACAACCATGTACGCGTCACCTATCGTCTCCACCTGCCGATGTTGATATGTATTGATTTTTATTGCTTTTGATGCTCGGCAAATTGATTGACGTTACACGCATGTCTGCACACTGCATGTGCGGGTCACCTATTCGGCTTTGATTTATATGATGATTGTTTTCGACGTCCAGCATGAATTTACCGATACACTTCGAATTCGTAACAAATCGATAGTAGCGAATATTATATTGTGTATGCCCGATAATTGGTCCGTTTAGTACTATGAATGTAGTAAACGCTATTCATTGATAACCTTCATTAACCATAAACTATTAATTAACGCCGCAGATGGCTTGAAGACAATCGGTTCGAAATCGTTGCTATAATAGACTCGTCAATTGAAATACTATCTCAGTAGTCAATATGTGATGAAACTTATTTATTTCAGTTCGAATTCGTAATAAAAATCCATCCCAGCTAGCCAGCATACGTTTTCAACAAATATAACTTCAGCGAGAGCATAGGTAGGCAAGTTCTGAAAGCATAGAAAATTCACGAGGCAAAATACGCTCAATCAGCAATTGAAACTCTGGCGGAGCTTTGTATAGCGGCTCGTTGAATTGCATATTGAAAATTCCTGCGTGATCGGAATCGGGGAAAATGTATATCTTTCTGTCTCAGTCACCTTATAGACATTGTAGGCATTGATCGTAGCATCGAAGCACGTATACAGGTCGTTAAGCAGATCGACCACTTGGAAGGGCGTCGAGTATGCTGAGATCGTTGTGAAGCCCACTATGTCTGAGAAATAGATCGTTACCTCGCCAAATTCTTCGGGGTCCACTCTGTTTCCCAGCTTTAACTTATCTGCTACCGAGCTATAGAAACATTTTATCATGGTTTTCTTTACGGTTTATTCTATATGAACTTTATTTCATTTGATTATCTTGCTTTTCGTCTGACTTTTATAAATATAAATACATTACTTTTAATTTTATATCTTAAATCAGGCAACAAATGCAGAAGGTAACTATTTGAAGTTATTAACAATTTTTATATTCTAAATATGGTATTGGACGCTTTTAAACTATAAATAAACCAAAAGTTCCTGAAGCATCAACATTTAAAAGTCCGCAAGCTTTACTCGAAACAACTCACGCAGCAATATCGATCGCATTGAAAAAAAAATAACCGTAATTTTGGAAAAAATTAAAAAAGCAAGGGATATAAAATCTATAAAAAATCATTATTAAATTTTCATTCTCAAAAGTAATAGTGACGTCGAAGCAGTTAGATATCCAAATGAATTGGGATATTTGTAGTCTTTGTGAGAGGATAAAAATATTTCACAATATATGATATATACGCACAAGGAAAAGAGTAATTTGGAATGCAAAAGAGCCGAGATATTTTTCATAGAAGAAATTAAATTTAAGTCACGCACACACCTACCTTGGTAACATGCGGTTGAGTAATTGCTCTGTTTTCTTTTTCTCCATGTCCAGCTGTTCCGTTCTCTCGCGAATGAGTTCTTCCAGATTGTTGGAGTATTTTTCCAACATTTGAAACATTGTGTCGACAAAATTAACTTTTCTGAAAAGAAAACAGCAAAAAGGTATTACGCGTGTTCGACTGAATACACGAGCTTTGATAACGACATAAACGCAAGACCAAAATTTATTATCGTGTAAAATTATAACACGAAACACGCCAACTCAAGTACATTGAAAAATGGTCTTTAAATATAGAGCTTTTAATAGGACAAAGCTAAGCATCAAAAAGAAGCATCGATCTAATCGCAGCATAATTTTCAGTGGATAAACTAGGATTATTTTCAATAGACTATAAGATCATATGTCGCGAAGCTCAGAGAGCCGTAAGATACAGCTTGTAGTATAAGAACAAGGGAGGACAAACGGCCCTGGAGAGTATAGAGATAGTCATGCGTGTACTTAGACGAATGAGGAGACGACAAAGTTAATTTGAGAACTATGCCTCGAGTGCTTTCAAGCAGGCACGATCGATGAATATTTCAACAGTAATGTGTACCTCGAGGGCTTTGAAAATCCTCTTTCGCTATAATTTTATATATTTTTTTGTTACGCTCGTTCAAACTCATGACCTTGTATTGTCGAAAAAAAGTAGTTGTCGATTGGAATGAAAAACGAAAAGCACATGTGATTTTGTAGCCAGTCATAAAATTTGTAATTACATGGATACAGTGCTGCTCTCCCTCAATAATTCACGCCGCGAATAACTAGCGGTTATAAAATGGCATAGAAGACTGATGTGTTTTCCGGGCTGTCGGTTTGGGTTGCTGCTGTACATGGTCTCAGAAATGTTAACGTAAAGATATATATCGTTGCGTACATCAACTTGCTCGCGCGTTATATTCGTATAGCCTAAACTCAAAATTATGGTAAAACCGTCGGACAATAACATTCCTCTGGTATGAGATGTCATTGCTTACCATGAAACACGACATTATTCGTAAACAAAAAACGAAATAATGGGAGAGAGAGAGAGACATTAGGAACAGCCTCCGGGTTTCGCGTACATGCAAAATAGTTCTTTGGATAATTGAAACGAGCGCGGGAATGGCTGCGCAGTACGATCAAAACTTTTGCGCGGCGGCAGTGCTCGCTCGGTATAATTGAATAACGGCCCTCTAAAATATTCAGGAGAGAGTCATGCCAGCGACCCCTCCCCTCCCGCTCTCTCATACACAATAATTATTCAGCTGCTGGAAATTTCACGAGCCTATTCCGTTGCAATTACGTTACGGGCTACGCGCGAGCATGCATGTGAATTTACATCACTTTCAATCGCTTGATATGCTTTCGCTGCTGCAAAATATTTTTCATTTTTTTAATATTGATGACCAGTCGAGTGAGATCATCTCAATGGCCTAACTTCAAAATAATATAATAAAGTAATTCTAATGCTCTGCTTCAATTACACATGTTCGCTGGACAGATTGTGACGTCAGGTATTATTTCTTGATTATTAAGATCATTATTTTGAATTTTATTATTTGTTTATTATTCATAATACAAGAAAAGAGTTAGATTAAGTAAATTATAAAAAAAAACGCTAATAGGAAAATGTTTCAGAACCCCTTCTAGAACAAAATAAAAAGAAGATGAGAATTTTTTTGCATTTGAATTTTTTGTCATATAAATATACAGTCAGAAGACGCACCTAAGAAAAGGAAAATTTGAAAGCAACTAGTGACTAAAGATTCTGTTAACTATCTCTTCTCTTCTCTCTTTCTTTCTCTCTATTTCTCTCTCTTGGTCTCATGTGTAACTATATAAATAGCCGCTCGCGCTAAGCATATATAAAGAATGATAAGGGTAAGTAAAATCGTAATACTTCATTCGACTGGCTTTCCGTGAAAATTTTCGTGACTTAAAATTTAATATGAAAATACAAGATTATTTTTTTTTATTCGCTCATGTTGGTTGGGGAAATCTGCGTGCATTAGCTTGGTTTAGTATTTTATTAAAACAGGACGATTCAGTGTAATACTCAGTGGCACGAAAATTTAACTCGGAGAAGATTTAAAAAGAAATTCCTTTTATACTAATGATATAATAACCGATTTCTATAAAAGAATTTTATATTTTCTAAATTAAAAAAAAATATGTCCCACTGAAAGTAATAAAATTTTCCCTTTTTCTAGTTATTTTAAGATGTATTGTATTTTATTATAACAAAGATAAATATTCTGAGATAATAAGATTATTGTCTCTGTCTTTAATTTGTCTTTAATTTATCGTTGTTATGTAGTATTCTGAATAATTAATGTAAATGGAAAGGGCAAATGTAAAAATATATTTGTATTTTTTCGGAATAAAAATGATGTAAAATGAATATTGTCTTAAAATAAACGTAAAAGAAATAAATTTAGAAAAAGTTGCTAATTCTCACCTGCCATGATTGAGTTTTTTGAAAAGCTCGTAAATGTTATTGAAATCTGGTCGCATGTCCGCATTCTCAGCCCAACATTGACGCATGATATTAATGGCTTCTGGTGGCGCAGCTCCTTTACTCACCGATGGCCTTATCAGTGGTGGTGGCTTTTTCACTTTTTCGATGATATCTGTCGATATACGATATTATACAGTTTTATTGCGTAAATTACTGACTTCGTTATTTTAAATTGACATTTTTAGCGAAACGTGATTTTCGAAAATCACTTTTTGCAACGAAATGGTCGTAGCGAATGAAATGGAGATGAGTTTTGTTGAAAACATTTGATACATACGTGATACTAGTGAAATAAAACTAATTATAAGTTTCCTATGGTAGTTGCAGTATAGTACGAAATATCAATTTTGTTCTGACCACATATAAATTTCTTTGTAAATCGATGAGATAAAGCGCGGTTTAACATAACGGTATTTCATTTTTAAAGCTAGCGCAAAGCAAAAAGTGACGAAAAATGAGGTCACAAGAAAAACTGACGCCAAAAAAAAATTGTACATTTTGACAAAGCATACCTCCTGAATTTTCCAGATATAGAGTGGCATGGGCATCCGAACCTTAATTAGTACGGGACAATACAAAGTACGACATAGGATCCTCAAAGCATCCTCGCGCAAAAATAAACAAGAGAGCACCGAGTGCGGCAAGCTCGATAAGCTTCCAACGGAAGTGCATGTGTATGCACATAGGTACATGTGCCTGAATGTATTGCCGAAGCGTGTTCGATAACTTGAAAAGTTACCTCGTAAATGTGTATTCGGCTTGCCGCACAATTGCCAGTTATAACGTCCTTCTACGACATGCAATTGAATCATTTTTGAAGACTTTATTAGCGCTGCCAATTTTATTCATCCGAAAAGATAATTTATATGTGCGCGAAGAAAAACTATGAGAAACGATATTATATGATAAGCTAGTAGACGTGAAAATCTTGCTGAGACTCGAGGAAAGTCGAATATATTTCTTCGTGACAGTTTTGAGGAGATGCGGACCTTGTAGTAGCATACTGCGTATGTGTATGTATGCAAGTAATGCATATAGACGTCAGCCGCAAGCACGTATGTAATAGTCAAGGCAGACGTCAAAGTTATATGAGAGAATCTATTCATGCGCGATATCTTGAAAATTTTTTTTTTTTTTTTTGGCGGAAAACTCCGCAACGCAATTTCCTCATTAAACAAGCAGATCAAACTTTCCTTTTGCATACATTCGTTATTAGGTATTTTTATATCTCGATAGGTATTTTTATATTTCGTTCGTCTAACTTGTGTTGGGACTCGCAAACGATGAAAGCATTTCTGACATGTTTGAAACGACGACGAACTTAAGTATACACGTAATCAAAGTGAATTATACATCGGGCTTCAGCTCCTTAGCTCAAATTACATCTTTCTTCAACATTAGATATGAGAAATCGTAAAACAAAACGGATTGTACACACAAGCAACGTGATTTTAATTTGTACGAGCGATCGACGTACATGCACTCGTGGAGTCGCGAGTTTGGCCATTGTCGTCAATATACAACCGCGAAATATTGGATATAGGTGAGTTATCGAGTAAACATCGGTTCGGATAAACATTTGGTAGTTGGATATAATAGATATATGTATAGTGCGTATGGTATACCCTCGGGCGAAAGGGCGAACATGCAGAAGGGCTCTCCTCGCACCACCACCTCTTGCATAATTATGCCAAAGCTGTAAACGTCGCCCGGCTGGCTGCCCCGCTTACGCAAACCTGTGTGCCTTAGTAACTCCGGTGCAGTCCAGAGCAAGTCTGCAACATAAAACCCACGCAGAGCGAATATTCTATGTTATTTTTTTATATCTTTCAAAAAAATATCGTAGAAAAACAAATCAAAGCAATGGAAAATTGTAAAGACTTTGGTGCTATTTAGCGTAAGAGAGAAAAAACAATGACATTTGGAAATGAACGACGAAAGAATTGATATCGCAGGTCATTTAATTATGTCAGATTTTATTGTATAATTGTAGCAACGATAAGATTACGTTCTTTGAATACTGATATGGACGAGAGAAAATGTTAATCTGCTATGTCAATATAAAGTTTTCATGTCGATGCGTCCATATAGCGAACGAAATAACATGTCATCGTGAAAATGCATAACTCGATCAAGCTATCTTAGATTATTATATGTATTATATCTGTAGAGTAAATTTACAAATCATAATATATAAAAATGTTGATGAGTTTCAATAAAACGCGCCTTGTTGCCATTATTCATAACAACTGTTCACACGTTCTACTTGCATTGAACGAAAATTTTTACTCGAGTCTCGGCAACGCTTCAAAAATAAATTTATCCAGAGAAAATCGAACGGTCCTCGTCGTCGGCGTGAATATGATTGACGTTAAAAGTTAACGCGAGACGAAGGAGATTGTCGCGGCAGGTGCTGGCAGACGCCGCCAATTTCAGTCGTCGACGCGATGAGAGAGCAATATATGGATTCCGATTTCGAGTCAGCTGGATATCTCTTTGCTTATATATATCCAGCTCTTCGTATATATCACTTTCGCTTTTGCCCAGATTCAACTCGTGCTCTTCAAATATCATCTCACTCACAGTCGAATGAGAGAAAAGAACAGGTCGCGCGAGTTATAGCGTTGCTTTGGCGATGTCCACATTTCGCGAGCTTGTCGACAAAAAGTTTCAATCACTTGTTTTATCGGGTTAGAATTTTAGTCGTCAGCGAACATTTTCGAAGTTTGAAGATATCGCCGATGAAAAGATTTTAATTCGTTATCGAAGAAACCGTATCTAATTGAAAATTTTGGATTTCCGATAGCTTTTCGCGTGGAAATGTTGGTAATTTTATTTGGTAATAGCTGAGGAGTCTTGAGACCGAAAGCTTTTAAAAAGACTTTGATTGCAAATAGTCGGAGATATTGATTGCGCGCTCGGAATGAATAAGAGCCGCTCAAAGTAAAAAAGAAGTTGCGCAGTAGGAAAATCTCTGAGAAAAAGGCGCGCACCAACTCTGTTGGATAAATTATGTATATGAGTTCACTCGGCAAATAACTATACTTCTGTTGGATACAAAGTTAAATTGGCACCGGTAAACACATTTGTTTAACTATGCTAATATAATTTCGTAATTCTTTATAAAAATATACCGATATTCCGCTTCCTGTTTCTTTTCGTAGGCTCATCGTCTATTTACTTTGCGCGCACCTTTTGCCGAGAAATAAGAGAAAAGAAAAGAAAAGAAAAAGGTGAATCTTCAAAGAGCTGCTACGGGTTATGAAGGAAAAAGAAGAAACCTACCTCGGGCTGTTTTTGACGATGACTGCACATTTTGGGCTTCGTAAAATGCCGGAAGTCCGTAGTCCGTGACTTTGAGGACCCATCGGGCGTCGATGACGCAATTTCGCGAGGTCAAATAGCCGTGAGTTCGTATTGGCGTGCTATGCAGGTATTTCATGCCCTGAAAGAAAAAGCTATATAATTGAAAATTGAATTCAATCGGGTTGTGTGATTGACATTCAATAATAGCATGGATATAGTCTTCTGCATCTGATTGATTACTATTATGAGCATAATTAGCTTTAAATCATGAAAGTACGTTTGAAAATGTAAATCAATCAATGCTCGTTTCCTTCGGATACATAAATAAATCATAAGCAAATAATGACGTTATAATACGAAACATTATTCAAAATTGCAATAAATTTGAATTAACTACACAATAAATAGCACATCGCGTGAAAAAGTCTGCTGTGTGTCATTTCCCAAAAAGTTTGAGTATCGTAATGTGTAATACTATATATAGTACTGACCCGAACGAGGTCGGTTAGAAGGGAGAGTCGAAAGGACCAGTCGAGCTTGATCTCGTCCTGCACAAGGACGTCCTCGAGGGAACCTCTCGAGCAGTACTCATAGACAAGGCATGGTCTACTTGGCTCCGTCAGGCAGCCAATCAACGGGTTCAAGTTTTCGTGGCGAAGACCGTGTATCTGCAAAAGTTTTGAGCGACGATCAGCGTTACATTGCAATCTTGAACGGGCGATTATTCATGAAAAACTTCAAGCCATATTGTTGCTATTTTCGCGTAAATTTAAATAAAAAAACTTTTTCGACTTTGTTTGCGCACGAATGGTTGAAAAGAACTTTCTGACTCTTATAATCAAATGCACGAATTGCTTAAGTAACGCATCGAAAATAAAAGAGAGAGGAAAGAAGACAAAGCGTCGTGGTAGCCTTAAAAATATGGTAAAGTCGAGCACATTTGCCAGCTCTCCCACACATTTTGACCTTTATATATCTCTCTTTCTCTCTAGCAAATGGAATATCGAGAAGTTTAAGAAATTATACAAGAGAGAAAGCCGAGGTCGTAATAGTAGCTAAGACTTACCGTGACCAGCACGTCCATTGCCTTACTCTTGAGCTCGAAGGCGCCTTGAACGGGAAGCTGCTTAAGTTGAACCAGATCACCCTGGTTAGCGGAAGAAAAAAAAGAGACAGTTGAGTGGGTTTCCCTTTTTTGATTTGTATACGCTTCAATGGCTGTGGCGCATAAGGGCAACGGGCAAAATTCGCTTAACGAGTTTTCAGCTCACTTCTCTCTCTTTCATTCTATCCAAGAAATTTTCTCGGCTGTTGAGCGCATTTCAGTTATTATAACGATCGTACGCTCGATATTTCACTACTCAGTCTTGAATAATTGCGCATCTATGATTAAAAAAAAAAGTGCTCCACTATTGATTATTTTTATTATCGTTTCGATGCATTCAGCCGATTTACAGATGCACGTGAAAAACATTAATGAATATAATTTGCATTCGAATTGAAATTAATTTATCCAGAAATAATGAAACCTCTTGACGCTTATCGTCAGCGTGCGATCCGCCCAAAAAGTAACCAGCGACGATTTAGACTGATCGATTCGGAGCTGCGTAAATTATTTTTGATGTCTCAGCTTCCGGCACGACGCACGCTACGTAGACAGTTGCCGAAGGGAAAATGTTCTGACGTGAATCTAATGGATTTATGGGACGTGTGATAGGTCGTTTCTATACATCTACTATTTTCGGGTAAAATTCCCCCGCTTCTGGACAAACCAGTTGTCGGGGTTGGGAATAAGTCAGCACATTTTTTATGCATATAAAGCTACTGTGCTCAAGAATTTTATTAAAATTTATCGCCCACTCTATCTGCTATTTATATTTCTGTAGAAAGGTTAGACAGGCTCGGTACATGAAATTGAAGCTGTCAGATTTTCAGATTCTCTTTATAAACGTTGAAAAGAATTCTTTTTTAAATCAGTTTGTTTTTCAATGTAATCAATTTTCTTAAAATCGCTATTAAGAAAAGTTGCTCGATATTTTATTTATCCTCCTGTTTTGTTATGGAAAAGCCGTGTTTCGTCCATGACGTGTTAAAAAAATTATTGCCGACACGTTTGCGAAGGGAATCCTAGATTCGCTGTGAATCATCTATTTCACGTATGGTAGTATTATATACTATGCTGTTCATAATTTATGTTTAATAGATCAGTAATTTATGTATAACTAGCATTTGAATAGGATAAGTCGTATTTGACTAAACGGTGAGTTAAGTATTGAGTTCAAAAGTTTCATATATTCCAAGCTGTATTTTAACCTCACAAATAAATGTAAATATCAGAGTTAAAACTAAGAGCACTAGATAAGATGCTGTAGATTTAATTAATATATCTTATTTATTATTATAATTGTTTTCTAAATTTAATAAATTTAGTAACCAACCATCAAATTTAATAAAATGTGATTCTAATAATCTGAATGATGGCTAGCAAAAACTGGAATCATTGGTAGATAAGAAAAGTTTGATAACTCTTACAACCTAGAATTAATTAAGATTGTTAATTGAATTAGTTTATCCAAAAAGAAGTTTTGTACTATTGCGTAACAAATATTATTTCACGTAAAATCGCAATGCTAAGACTATGCTAAGAAGGACGTTTTATATTTTCTAGCTAAAATTATAAATTTTAACCAGAAGCTCATATTAGGCTGACCACTGGTTTTTGCGAAGAAGCTTTACGTATACATTAAATAGCAGACCTTGTTTAGAGATCCTCAGAGGTAGGCAGATTGATATCGAGGAAAATGCTTGCTAGAAATTTCCAATCGTCATAGAAAAACATCATCGCAAGGTCATCTGAGTTGGGACATAATTTTGTTACTAATAGAAAATACCGCGTTTAATGGTTTACCCAAAATCAATTAGAGGCCAATAGGCACGTTTCGAGAAAAACAAACATATTTTTCTCAATACGACAATAATCTGTGAGTGAATCATATTATTTATTGTTGTTTATTATTTGTAAGAAAAGAAATTACTCGAAAAATATAAGTCACATTTATTGCAATTATACGTAATGCTATGTTCGAGTAGAATTGTCTCGTGCACCGTGCAGATGTATATTTAGGAATTGCTATGGTGAAAAAAATGTCGCGTCAAAAAAAAACTCGTTGTTACTATGCAATCTATAACTCCAACTATTTCATGATTTGCAGGATTTGGTTTTCACCATGGCGTGAAAATATTCAGGTATTTAGCCGCAAATACTGCATGCTGATTAACGCTATGAAATAAACGCGATCAATAATCGTCACAGTGATTATGGAGTACGCTCGAATCTTACAGAGTATAAATTTTACGTTCTTGTACGACCGCTAAGGCAACGCACTCAAAATTTTGTAAAGTGCTTTGGATTCATCTAGAAACATCCTGGATTTTATTAAAAACTGTTTTGAAGAGATATCACGTATTGTAAAATGTTTTAAATCAGAAGAACTATTCATGACTATGTACTGTGTAACAGCGATAACAGTGAAAATGTCTACGATGCTGAGTTCATCAATTAACGTATCTTTACAGCAGTTCACTCAAGGACTTAGCGCGGCTCTTCTGCGGTAGCATTGTCGGGACGGCTACTACTAATCTTCGATGAGCTTCTCAGTGCTTGCTACGGATCCTTTGTTGGTACTTTGAGACAATGAAAAGCCTTGATCGCGAACTCAAAATCCAATTGAGTGAGTTCTTTTTATCCGACTGAATAGCGGATGTCCTTGTTTCGACGTGAAAGGATAAGCACAACAAGGTATATTTAAATACAAACTCAGTGGCTTCTGTTCATAGAAATTGTTAAAGTTGCTGGAAATTCACAAAGATTAACAGTGGCTTTGTTCATTGGTATTTATTTACCAGACGTTTTTAAGAACATGAAGACACTGCATACTAACAAATGACCATTTCACTATTTTAATTTTAAGAAAATAATGCCTATTGAGTTAGTGCTCAATCAGCATCGGATCCTCAAATGAATAGCCTAATAATTTATTATTAATTCTTTGTTGCTAACTTATTCTCTAACCGTTATGAAAGATTATAAGGAAGTAACTTTTTATTGTTACTAGCAGATTTACTGGCTGATGTCGAATAATACATTATGGTGTTGAAATGATATTGATATCTGTTACAGATTTGACTCGCCAACTTAAGCTAACGGGTCAAAGAATCAATTCGATAGAGACAAGTGCAACAAATTATTTCCCGTGGTAGTAAATTAGTTCAAATTAATAGAAAATTATGAGCCACTATCAATTTTATTGGTCTACTATGGATGCCTCACTAGCTTGATAGATGTAAGAAAACTACGAATGTGAATTTACTAATGTGAATTCATCATAGAAATTCTGTGCCAAAAATATTCAGTCGTTTAACTTAATCAATTTTCTTAAAAAACGTATATTGTAGGACGTACTGTTATCTATTCGGAAAAGAGCATGGAAATTTTTCAATGATGTGTGAGTTTCATTTTATTACGTGGTTAAAACTTTTTCTGTTTTTTTTTCTTTTTTTTTTTTAATACAGAAATAATGGAAAAGAACTATCGTGATAAGTGAATTATCTCCGGGCTTGGATAAAACAATACGCCTGTAATTTAGTTTGAGCGCCGTAACTGCAACGGATAGAGGCGTAGTTAGATAACTGCGTTGGAAACATTGACATTGATAAAACCGGTCCGTGATATAATACGATAAATTAATAAGTCTATTATTTACATTTATGTAACTTGACAAGAGATGAGAATTTTCTTGATTTCTGAAAAATGTTATTAGATGATATGTTTTTAACGGTGACAATTGAGTGAAGAATTACGACGAGGTGTGTATATATACGTATTTATTTAGTGCAGTTTGCAGGATTAGACATTTACGTTCGGTCACATTTTTAAAAACTGATATATTCCTCTCGAATGACTAAGAGTATCGCGTCAAAACGTCAACTATAGTTTAACATGACAATGACAAAATGGGATTAGTAACCAAATACAAGCACCATTAATTAAATTGTTGAAAATCATACGAGGCACTCGTATAGTGTATAGTTAGGGATCGAGTAGACTGTCATGTTCGGATAACGTGCTCGCGACGAAACTGTGACGACTCCGATCGCGTCAGTAGATAAATTGTACTAGTGAGTATAAAGTGAGAACTCGCGATAAAATCGGCTCATATTTCATGTGACGACGAAAGGCAGCGGTCGTGGTGCTCACATGGAAAAAGAAACTCTATCTCGAGCAAACTAACGAAGCTGTGCTTCAAGTCAATCAAAACACTGCTTCTTCATTGCATTTTGACAGTGAGTAAGTAGGTCACGCTACAATTACATTTTTTAATAATCTTAGTATTTTATTATTTAAAAGAATTGTACTATAACTAAATGGACAATCTTACGCAATAAGATGTGCCTATAGCTGCGTAGTATGAGTCTGTTATTAGCATTTTCAAAAGACGACCAAGGTTGTTCGCGCCAGGTTATACAAAATCTGACGTAAGCGTAAGCAAAAGCGTTTCCGGACTATTAAATCATTTTCAGAGTTGACGGTCAGCTAACAGTTTCATTTTATTTGACAACACATTACGTACATTGTGAGATCAAGTCTGCATTTCTTTATCGTAAAGCATTATCATTGCATAATTTGCAAAATTTGCAAAACTCTAATATGCAAATAGAAATATCGCTTTAACAGAATAAAAAATTGACTCTTGACATTATATTATTTCAAATCTAAAATCTAATCTTGAATTAATTAGCTGAGAATAATCTTAGCATTTTAGAAATCGTAGTAATTATCATTTTATTGTAGAGAATTGAAACACAATCGTATCTACATTTCTTTTGCCATCACAACAATACGAACAAAATATATTTTTACAGATGGAATAATTCTTTAAGTGATCTTGGACAGTGCAATCTCAATTCAAATATGGCTCCACATAAAACGACAACAGAAGTTTATGGACAACGCGAACAAATAGATTTCAAAGGTTTGGAGCCACTATTACGGCGAAGCTTTGGCGATGAAAGCTTACAGGTCGTTCACTTTGATTCGACAAGACTGTTACCTGCAGGAGAAAATTACTGTAGTATTATGATCAAGCTGGACGTATTAGTGCGCCAAGATAACGAAGAGAAAATGTTACATTTAGTGGCGAAAACGCCGAATCCGGCGGATAATGCTGTTATTGAGTGGCCTATAGTTTTCAAAAAAGAACTGTTTATGTACGTTGAGTTATGTCCGTTGTACAGAGAACTTGATAGGGAAAGTCTTATCGAGGAATGTGAAGTGATCAACATTTGGCCAAAATATATTGGCTACAGAAATTCACTGCAGGGTGGCGACAAGATCGACTACGACTCATCGATGTTGTTGGAGAATCTCAAACATCACGGGTTTTACACTTTTGATAAGCGGCAAGGTATGAGCACATGGCATATTTAAACAGTTTAAAATGAATTATTATCTATGAAAGGCTCGCTATAGTGAACTAATTAACTTTGCAGGTTTGGACGTGGAACACGCTCGGAAAGCGTTGACTTCATTGGCAAAGTATCATGCGTTAGGCATCGCCATGAAGCAAAAACGACCTGCAATGGCGAAAAAAGCTATAACGCAGGCCCGAGTATTAGGAATTGATTTTGTGCACATGAACGACGGCTACGACAATGTAATGCAGACATTCCAGGAGGAGCCAGCCCTGCAAACGCACATGAGTGCCATCGAGTCGTGTTTCGAGCAAGCGAAGGATGGCAAACCCTACAAGGAAATGCCTATCGAGCCGTGGGCCACGATAACGCACGGCGACTTTTGGGTCAACAACATGCTCTTCCATAAAGACGAGGCTCGCAACGTCGACGACGTCAAGTTCATCGACTTTCAGACCTACCTCTACAGTAGTCCTCTCAAGGACTTGCCATATTTTTTCAGTGGCAGTCTCAATAAGTCCGCACAGACTAGGTATCTTAAAGAGCTGATAGACGTCTACTATAAAACCTTCATCAAGACTCTCAAGCGTACCGGCTGTGATTTTTCACTTTTCACGAGGTCAAGCTTCGATCGTGAGCTCAAGAAGCAGGCGATCATTCAGTTTCCAATTTCTGCTTTGACGTGCAAGTTTTTAGTATCTGACGTTGAAACTTATGGTGACGAGAGCAATGAAAGGGTACTCAATAATGTATTTAATACTAAAGCAAGCGATGCTTTTATAAATAAGTTGCATGCTCTTATCGAAATGTACGAGGAAATGAGATGGTTTTAAGATTAATCACGAGAATTCATTTAATAAGTACCGTATAAGTCTAAGTTATGATGTCGTTTAACCCTCCATGCTTTTCTAATGTGTTATTAATATTAGTAGAATTATTTTAACTGTCAAAACTCTACGTTATTCTATATTTTACATTTTTATAAAATTAAACCTCAAACGTTGAATCTAGAAATTGTTGACAAGATGCGCTATAATATAATTTTAGTAAACGAGAAATTGATTTATATTGAGAGAAATCAAACACGGTATCTGCTATCATTGTAATGATTTTTTTGTTCGGCATTACGATGCTATTGTAGCGTTTATCACACACATATATATACATTTTTTTATATCATAGATAAGGAAAATTGTTAAAAACCAATAATACCACTAAAAATTATGTATTTAGCTGTTGTACAAGCATTTTAAATAATAAGATTTGTCTTTACTACGTATGGTCTAGGTTAATTGTTTTACCTGATTTTTATTCATTTCTAAATATCTCAAAATTAAATAATTTGAATACTAGTAGAACAAAACAGAATAATCAAGAAGAGCGTTGTAAGTATCAACATGTCGAAATTCAATGGATTCACTTAAAATTCGTTGTTTTCGTTAATTCAATTGAAAAAAAATGTTTAGTTTCTAGACATTTATATTGCTAATATCTGAAGTTAATTTAATAATGTTTAAACAATTATTTCAATAAGCTATGCGAATTTACAAATCACGAATCCGGACATCGTATTAAAGTATTGGACTGAATTTGATGAAAATTACACTGCTTATCATTTATTCAATAATCTAGAAGCTGACGGTCGACTTTTTCTTAATAAAAATTTCTTTTTTCTATGAGCGGAATCCGTGGAATCGACTTTTAATTTTCTAACAATATTGGTTAATAACTAGTACAATTAGTAAGCGAAATATGTAATCGCATCAATGACTCATAGATAAATACTTTTATTTAATTAGACTGTTAGACTGTTATTTAATTAGTGATAGCATACACGAACGATCAGCAACAAATAGTTAATTCCACCTGCGTCAGTCTATGACAATTTCGTAACCACCTCTGTTTAGCTTTCATTCAATTATAGTTTAGCATAAAGTTGGTACATTCATTGGTAGAAGCGAACTCAATTATTTGGTGAAAGAATTGGCCATACAAGTATTGTTTGTATAAGCCAGTTCAGGCATATATACATGCTTTTAACGCAGATTATAATAATAAATTTGATATAGCTTTGTTTGACTATCATATGTAGACTTCTTTTTATTAAATCTGATTTTACTATTTAGTTTTCTAGTTTAATAATTTACATGAATCTAAGCTTTGCTAAGCTTACTTTACCTCAACTTTTCATTAAAAAATGATTTATATATATACATATATATATAGGCATGCATAAATCGCATTATTTGAGCTGCACGTTGTATTATTTTTTACAGTACATTATTTTATCGGTACGAGATATAGCGTTCTCGCGACGTTTTCCAGTATTATATGTATATCACCTTAATTATTTATAATATTTTTATTTAGAAATATGATATCATTTGTAGCTTAGTAATTTGTACTCAAAATCAATTTTTTGTAATAATATCTATTGCTCAATTTATATTTTGAAACTGAACATAGTTTGATGCAGTAAGCGCAAACCTTACAAACAGATACTGTAAAGTATTGCTTACAATTAAAATTATTCATCAATGAATTAAGTAAGTGAATGAAGTAATTAGTATAGAAATTTATATTATGAATACTGAACACAGCTTTAGACGTGCGTGCAAAGCAATGACAATATTGGATAGGCATTATGCTTTGGATAAAGCAACGACGATCAGCCTTTCCCGATGAAGTTATAAAACAAACTCAAGTATGAGGACGACATTACGATTTATTATTCTCGCTTGATGTCACGACAGTATTATAAAATCAATGAAACATCTGCCCGTTATTAAGCTGAGTTTCAAACGTGCAAAGCAAGCTTTTCATGGAAACGACTATAGAGACATATGGGTTTCAATCTTATATTAATTACCGACGAGGCTGACGATGTTGATGATGTTAACTTTGTCGACTATCAAATGCGTCGATATATTAGCCGATTTACAGATCTCGTTTACTTTTTTAGTTTACTATTGTTATACAAACCAACTATTTTCAGGAATTTATTTATATCTATTATAATAGCTTTGTTAAGACATTGTATTATATGGATTGCGATACTTCACTTTTCATATGAAATACTTTCAACGTATATCGAAAAAAACAGGTGACCGCTTTATTGCATTTTTATGCACTGTCGATAAAATTCATTGTTTTTAAAACTGATAATTTTCACCACGATAAGAGAGGTTAAGAATCAGTTTAAGTCATTTTTGATATCAGATACAATGATATTTTTGAGATGGGATGATTGATAAAAAAATCACTCAAAAGATTAAATTTTGCTAAAACATTTTATATGAAAGTTAATACATTTCCAAGGAACTGTATGTTTAAGCGATCAACAGATAATTATTTTTAATAATTTTATTTGAATTAAACGCTACCAATCCATCGTAAGTTTTCAAGATTTGCTGATTTTACTTATTACAAATTGACCATGTACAATTATTTACATCATGTACATTTTATGTGTATGTACGTATACATATAATAATAATAATAATAATAATAATAATAATTATTATTATTATTATTATTATTATTATTATTATTATTATTATTATATTGGAAAAATAGTTTTAGGTACGATTTACTACAATGAAACGAATTATAACGCACTTACTTAGTATAATTTACTTTGAATTTCTTACCCAATACAAATATTCATAAAATATAATAATAGTGCTTATTGTTACTATCGCTACGATATCTCGTAGTTTTAAGAATGAAACTGTATCCTTCTCTCTTGTCATTCGTTCATTGCAAAAATGATGCATACTATTTCACATTTTTAAACTTAGTAAGTTTGATTTTTGAATGATGAAACTATACTTTTCGTTGATGGACAAAATTGTTCAAAAATCTATATTGACTGAAAAGCTACACGATAGATGGTTTTGGTATACAACAAATATATAAATTTTATAAAAACTTATAAACTTTTGTTGAAGTTTGAAAATTATTTCTTTAACTCTGTGTGTGTATGTTATTTTTTTATTTAATTGAATTTCCAAATCAAGTAAATAACTTAATGTGTTGTTATTGAAACGCAAATTTGAAAAGATAAGTTTTATTTGTATGAAATATAAAAAATTTACTCAACAGTATCTGAGAGTTATCAAATCAATTTTATAATAAAATTCATTGGTAGATTTGTATATTAAAACTACGGATAAATGTCTATATAGTAAACCTAGCTAGTAAATATCGTAAATCACATATTCATTGCATTTAAATTTATTCATTGACTAATGAGTTGGTAATGATAATATTACAAAAAATTATCATGAATTAAAACGTTAATTATTTTATTTTGACATAATCAAATATCAATATTTCTGCGAACGAAAATATTCCTTTTCCTCTTTTGTTTTTATTCAGATAAGTTGAAATATATGACGTAGGAAGATAAAAACATACAGTATGTATACTCAGTACCTATGCTCAATATAATTAGTCGTGCATCAGGGAGCATCATTCATAGTTGTTAAACCAATGTATTACTGAAAAAAATTGCTATAGTTTTACATAAGTGGCGATCAATTTTTTCAATAATATTTCACGAATGTATGAAGTATTATATAGTAATAGAAGTGTTTCGTGTTGAAAACTTTTGTCACGACTCAACTTATTCAAGTAAGTTGTAATTTTTCGAATGATTGTATCATGCTATAAAGTTGGTTAAATAATATTTTTGTAATCACCGTAAATTGTATATGATCTAAAGATTTTTTTTATACTTTCTAAATTCAAATAGATATACGATCATGACTTTGCCCACCATTACGTCAAATTCTAAAGATCAAGAAGAAAAAATTGATATCAAAAGTTTGGAACCGCTATTGAAGCGGACTTTAGATGATGATACACTGAAAGTAATTGACTATGAAGCAACAAGTTTACTGCCTGCAGGTGAAAACTACTGCAGTGTTCTGATTAAATTAGATGTAAAGCTGAGAAGGAATGACACAGAAAAAATGTGTCATTTCGTTGCAAAAACACCGTCTCCTAAAGAAAAGTCTATAGTAGATTGGTCACTGATTTTTAAAAAAGAGCTGTTTATGTATACCGAGATACATCCGTTATACAGAGAACTTGAGAAAGAAGCTGGTATTAAAGAAGACAATCTAATCAATGCTTGGCCAAGATATATTGGCCACAGAAATTCACTGAAAAATGGCACGGAGATTAACGAAGATTCAGTAATGTTAATGGAGAACATTACAACTCAAGGATTTTATAATATGGACAGGAAGAAAGGTACGTAAATTAATAAGTATAAGCTTGGAAAATTATTATGTAATTACGCTATTTTAGTAGCCAACATTTTAATAGTAGACATATTTATATGATAATGAATAATAATAAACTTGCAAATATTAGAGATAAGTAGGGTAAAGTAGGACATAGGGTAGAGTTGGAAATGTTACTTTCCGGGCAAACTATATCAAAGTTTATTTGTCATGCGCTATTCACATGTATTTGTAATCACCGTAAGCAAATCTTTATGATATACTGATGCTTGCAAACGTATTTTTGTGCTCTCTAGAATTTTTTAAAGCTTTTAAAAAATTTCCTACTTTACCCCACTTACCTCTAATTAAATCTTGAGAAATTTTATTGATTTACCTAATATTGTAGGTTTGGACGTACATCACGCGAGCAAAGCTTTAACAGTATTGGCAAGATATCATGCGCTGGGTATTGTTATGAAGCAGCGACGACCAACGTTTGCGTATAAAGCTGTAGAGCAATCTCAAATAATAGGATTAGCTTTAGAGTTTTTAGACCAAGGTTACGATAGCATATTCGAGACGATTGTCAAGATACCTTTTCTGCAAAAACATCTGAGTATTATAAAGTTAAGTTTCGAACACGCAAGAAAAGGAAAAATTTTAATGACAACGCCTTCAGAGCCATGGGCTTTGATATCCCATGGTGATTTCTGGATGAACAATATACTGTTTCACAAAGACGAGGATGGCAATATTGATGATGTCAAATTCGTCGACTTTCAAATGTACCGGTATACGAGCCCACTCACAGATCTCGTGTACTTCTTAAATGGAAGTCTTGACTTAATTACACAGACTGATCATTTTCGCGAGTTGATTGATCTTTACTACAATAACTTTATTGAGACGTTGGATCGCATGAGCTGCGATACTTTACCATTCGCAAGAGAAAGTTTTGAACGTGAGTTGAAAAAGCAGGCGATCGATTATCTGCCCCTTTGTGTATTGGCGGCAAAAATGATTGTGTTTGAAGTTGATGGTATCGATAATAATAAAAGTGGAAGTGAATTAGGCTATACCATTTTTATGTCTGAAATCAGTGATATTTTTGAAGCCAAATTAAAAGGACTTAATGAAACGTATGAAAGAATGGGATGGTTTTGATTGAAAAATTATTTAGGATAAATTATGTGTGGAACTACAATTGCAAAATTTATACGTTTAACTGATGAATATGTATGTAATATCTATTAATATCTTATACCAAAATTGCATAGTTTAAGAAAAGTGACTTATATTTTAAACAATGTATTGAATTATTACAAGACCATTTCGGTATCTTCATTTATATACTCATTTGCGATTTTTAATATTTGTTTGAAGAATCCTCTTGATGCATTTATCAGTTATTTATATAACGTGATTATATATACTATAGCAGAAACGAAATTGTATATGATAATTTTTTTCAAACAGCGTGTATGTGTACCAAAATTACCATAGCGATTCTGGTTATTCGGAAACCACTTTAAAGTGTAAATTCAATAATTTGAGGGGCTGGAGGGCGGAGGGTAGACGTCTTGCAGTTATCCGAAAAAGTTACTGTGTTCAAATGTAATAATCCGATGCTTTTGGAGAGGGATATAAAGAACGTAAGAGCAAAAAGTGATATAATTAAAGGGAGATCCTTCCCATACTACTGTTAGAAACACTTTAGTACTAAAAAAGCATTGCCAAAAAATTTTTATAAATTGGATAGAAGGTAGGTATGTTCTGAATCACTCGCATATAAGTATGTTTGTACATACAAATCAATTTTTGATTTCTAATGATAATTTGAAAATGATAACGTTTAATAATATCGCTTGATATAAGATAAACCTTTTTTTTCTTGCAATTACTCCAGAATCTAGATTTTATTTACAATCTTCATTAATGAAGTTGTACTACGTTTGAACAAGGTTTAAACAAATGTCTATGCAGATACATTATACTTTATAGATTTAGGTATTCACCAAGCTTGAAAAGCATTGACTTTTTTGTCAAGAAATCAGTTATTGATATTCGTTATGTAAGAAAAACAACTTGCATTTGCTAAAAAGATCTTAGACTTATCTTAAGTATTAGATCTCTACAGCGTTCCGTATGAACGTCGTTCTTGAAGTAACAATAACAAGTAATAGCAATAGTAAATTTGGCATTATTTGCCGTCGTATATGATAACATTTTTTAAGTATTCCAAGAAATTCTTTCTTGGCAAAAACACATAAGCATCAATAAAGTTTCTATTGAATAAAAAAGGGAAAAACCTTTTCTGGTGAAATTAACGAAGCCGGTAGTAACAACAATCCATGGCGATTTTTGAACAAAATAGATGCCTTTTCATAAAGATAAGAACAATATCAAACTTTTCTATTTCCAAAATTATCTTACAATAGTCTTTTGAAGGACGTCTTATACTTTTTTGCAATCATCTTGATAGATCAGCCACTACGACGGATTACTATAATCACGAATTATCGTTAAAGTTAGCCTCTACTACGATACTTTTATTCAAATGCTAAAACGTATAAACTGCGCAAAAAGTAGGTCTAGACTGTTGTATCACTGTGAAGTAATTATTTTAAGATGATTCTTTTAACTATTTGTTAGATATCACATCAACCAGCTTTTTTTTACATTACTCAATGATATATAACCCAAGTTTGAAAATTAAATCAAGACTATCTTAACGTCTATGTGTAGATAAGGGATTATTTAAGACGAAATGAGCTTTTTTGTGAACTAGAAACGTCAATTATAATATAGAACAAAAGGCTAAGCCACAGTATCTTATAAAATTCTTCTTCATATTTGAATAGCTGGCGCTATACTAATGCAACATTCGTCATCAATTGATTGACGAGACAGATTAACAGAATAAAAAACAAAAAACAGAAAGAAAGGCTTTCAAATATTCAATATCGAGTGTATATGTACGCCAAGTCGGATTATAAATTTTGCGATAGTCATTAAAATTCTATATATGATTAAAAAATTACGTTATTTTACTAATTTCGATGATAAATTTTGAAAAAAGTCCGCAACCAGAGACAAGGTATTTCCGAAGGGATTTGGTACACTGAATTCGAACTCTAGCTCATAATTGCTTCATCACCCTCAATTTTCGAAATGTCCTAACCTAAAAGTGTCAAAAACACGTATTTTTGCTGTTTTTCAACCTCTGTAAATTTATGAAACAATATTTTTTTCTGCAAATTTGACGACGGCATCTTAAAGAATAACTCATGCTCTTCAAAACGCACTCATTTTTTTCAATAGCTTTTTTTCGACAGAAATATGACATATTGAAGTACGATAAATTTGCATTTTCGCAAATGTCGTTTAAGCAGAAAGATACCAGTGGTAAACCTAGCAAGGTACAGGATTCTTTGATTAAGGTACTTAGAATATTATTTTATGTTTTAGCGAAGATTATCTTTAAGCGAAACTTTCCTCTGCTTAAACGACATTTAGGAAAATGTCAATTTATCATGCTTTATTGTGTCATATCTCTATGGAAAAATATGATATTGAAAAAATTAGGAGTGAATTCGAATGGGTAAGAGTTGTTCTTTAAAGTACCGTCGTAAAATTTGCAGACATATTTTTTCTAACTATATACTACTATACTATACTATACTACTATATTTTTTCTAATGCTAGGTTAGAATATCTTGAAAACTGAGAATGATGGAGCAATTCCGAGCTCGGATTCAGATTCAGCGCATCAAATTCCTTCGGATACACGAGATCTGATGTGTGGGTGTGAAAATGTGTTGGCCTGTGTAATCGGTAAATAAGTTGCTAAAGCCTAGTCATGAAAAAGAAATGATTAGCCATGTCTGATTGTATTCAGAGATTTGTATATGTTTTAGTAATAAAAAATGATTATTGATATAGAAATTATTGATTGATTACTTTTACGAAACATGTGAATGTGCTATATTTTGTTTATTAAGGTTGCTCCCGATGAGACCAAAATAAAACAGAATGAACATATGTATTATTGTTATATACAAATAGATGATTTTGAGTATGGTCTTTACAACCGTAAATATGCATTACTCATTTTAAGCGTTAATATAAATTAGGAAAATTGTCCTAGTTTATTTGATGGTAAAGACATCGATTTGCACTTTTTGCTGGTCGAGTGGTTCTTGTTTTTTAAGCAAAATCTTATCGTATAAGCTAAAATATGTTCCTTATACAAAGATCGTAAAGAGAAGTAGATATTCTCGAAACTGAATTGATACAGAAATTCATTCACAATTAGACATAATGACACAATTAATGAAAATTCGGCGTTGTTGTTGAAAAATACTAAAAATAAAAAATTTTTATTGTTGCAATAGATAGGCTGGTGTGTATTTCAATCTTTCTTTGGTCAAATATTTATCAAGAATCTATCTAGTAGGATTCCGATAGGGTATTTGGTGAAAAAACTAGGATTCACTTTAACTTTTGGACGAACAATATATTTTTCCTTAAAGATATGAAGATTGTGTTAATACTTTGCTCATGTATAAATTGAATGATACAAATAATTGTGGTTAAGTTATAATATGGTTATAAGTAAATACAAACGAACAGTAACAGTCGGAAGATAAAGTCGTCACGCTTAACCGCAAGTTAATATAACCGCAAGTACCGAAGAAGCCATTTGCTAGTAATTCAAGGACGCTGGAATTGGCGATGGAAAAAATTAACCACATAAGCGAAATGATGCTCCTGGCACGATGCTTTTCATTTGCATTCTTTCTTGCGACTGGGTTTGAATATGATGAACGTGGGCTTTTATTTCCCCAAACTACAAAAATATATTTCCGATGTCGTGTCTGTATCATATTTCATTTATGATCCCGTCTCGTTGTTGTATTATATACATGTACTGAACCAAAACATTCTTGCGTTTAAAAAGATTGCATCGACTATACTCTATTTCAAAATAATGACAGAAACTTCTCAAAATAATTCCAAACACGTAGAAACTATTCGATAGAAAAGTTTCTCAGCACGTATAGTTGCTACGAATAAAAGAAAGCAGTTCGAGTATACCGTACGCGTACATTCGATGCATCGTCTTTGTGCATTAGCGTTAGTACGTTGTTCCTGCCTTTGCACAGTGCACAATACGATGCACGTACGCGTATGTAGCTTAGTTTGCGTATCCGTGCGACTTTTCGTTTATAGTGACGTTGAAGTGAGAATAGTCGATTTCTTATATTTAGGATTCTTATTTAAGTGACTTTTTAGTAGATATTACTAAAAAATATATTTTTATGACTCAGATGAGTCTTATCTCTTACGCATTATGTCATTCACGCAAATTACTCATAATTTTTTTATAGCCTTTAAACTATTTTCTTGTTTCATAAATCGTTATAAAACTAAATAGACATTACTGACTTTCCCTTACATATATTAGCTCAAGAATCACAGCACTACAATTTTTTTGTTATTGAATTTATAATCAAAATTTTACCTGTTAATTTCTCTTATCTTATACTAAAATAATTCTTAATTATTTTGTCTGTAATAATTATATAAATTATTAATTTTAGTGCTTAATCACTGATTATTGAACAGATATCTGCTCTAATCGCAAGAGCAAATGTTGCTCGTACCGGAATACGTCTTTCATAGACCAAGGACCCCTCGACTAGCGGTCTTTTAGTACAACTCGACGTCTTTACTAATAAATGCAACGATTCCATTTTCGCAAATTTCTTCTTACGAAACTGTATATAAAGCGTTAGTACAATAATATAATAATTTTTTTCAAGAGGCAATAGCTTTGTCGCCTTGTAATAGACAATTTGGCGATCGTTGATGTCGAAGCAGTGCTGAAGCAGAAAATGTACATCTTTAAAATCTATCTTTTTGCAACTACACTACTTTGTAATTTCGTAATTTTATTTATTTTTTTTTTCAAATAACTGAAATAAATAGCAATTTATTCGTAGATTGTTGAAATATATGTATATTCATTTTTTACGGAATTTATTTATGCATTTGAGCTAACTACCTATAACCTGATTCATTTAATTACTTCAGGAACTACAGAAAATAAAAATCATTCAAAAAATTGAATTCACTTTTTTTGTAGAAAGAATTTTATAAGCTTATTTTTATTTTTCAAATAAAATATATACAGAACACACACCCACGCACGTAAATAGTTTTTGTCACGTCACTTTAAGTATATGGTAATTTTATCATAAACATGCGCTTAACGTAAGTCTTTTCTATGATCAATCATAAATGGGCTTTTAATATTTGTTCAGTAAGTAGCACAGAAAAGATATTAAAAACAGACTACAACATTTTAACGATAATTATGTATATACTATCACGATTAAAAATAGTGCCGCTCACTCAGCTCTGACAGTAGCGTAAATGACGTGTATTCGGCTGGTCGAGAATTGATTAATCTTAGTTTTTGAATTATTTACCATCACTACCGAGAGAAAGAAGCAAATAGAGGCTGAGGGGGTAAACCAAATTCAAAAGATTGTAGGCATACGCAAGCGCAAATATATAGTGCGACACTTGGAACAGCATCATACTATTTGATTCTAGAACACTGACTGATAAAACGGCTGACAGTATAGATAAGTATACTGATTAAATGGTAATGAAACTTAATCAATCAGATAAATGAATGATTGTGATTATTAACTTAAGTAATCATTGATAATTTACTTCTAATCTAAGCAGTTGCATAGAAAAAAATGTCTTAATGTTGCTGATCTTAAACAAAATTTCAAATAGAATATACGCTCTAAATTCTTCACATTATTATAGTATCTTATACGCTAAGAGGACAATAAGAGATTCATTAAGATGTTATTGTTAATAATAATAATAGTCATAACAATAATAATAATAATAATAATAATAGTAATAATATTTATTGATAATGTATAACACGCACAAAAATTCACTTTCTAAGAGCTCGCTATCATGCTAACTTAGTCCTTCAAACACTCCAGACACTCACGCATTTTGACGCTTGAAAGGGGGATGCGCTGCCCTCTCTCCGTCGCTTTTTTAACGGTTAACTTTCCACGTAATGATATCAACGGAACCAAAAGCTTTCACAGTCACGTACATATGCATTTATATCCACGTATATGTATAATTATTTAACCTGCCGTAAATTTGAAGTCAGATTAAGTTTTCTCTTCCATTAAATTCTAAAAACAAAAAAATTTATGAAAATTTACATTTTTGTATTTATAAATATAAGCATTACATGGACAAAAAATGATTTTATAAGCATACGTGGCGGTAGATCAACTTATTTTTTATAGATCAAAATTCATAGAAGGGTAAATTCAAAATATTAAGAACACACACCTTTATACTTTTGTTAGAAAACTTTTGTTGAACATCTGAAAAAAACTTTAACGAATTAATCGATATTTTGTATAATCGCTTACATACTGATATAAAATTCGACAAAAACTGAATATGAAAAACATAGAATATTTTATTACGGAGAATTGCTCTTTTTTCACGATTATCTATTATGATTTTTCACTGATATGTTGATAATATGTTGACAGTCAATGTCATGCACTAACGGAAAATTATAGATTACGCTGACAATTCGATTACACATGCAGTTATTTATCAAGAGATATTTTCCACAAAAAGTAAATTCAAAGAATATCCAAGTAACGTATAACATATTCGCGTTTACGCATAGTATGATTTCAAATGTTGTCATATTATACTCGTATTTCGCTTCCATAACATACATGGTATTGACTGTATCGAAAAATAATTGTTATCCAAAAGTATCGTGATAGAATTATGAAAAAAAATTAAGTGAATCTAACAGGAATGGCTAAATGAATGGTTTATATAATGATATTAAAAATCAACAGTCAACAAAAAAATATTAATAATATTTCCTATTTTCAATTTTCATAGTTAAACTAATACCTGAATTATACAATAAGTGATTGGTACAATACGAAATATCGTATACGGAAATGTGAAATGTGATTTATAATTATTAATATTCAATAGTAATATATTTCAACGGTTAAATTTTATAAAAATTAGTCATTTTCATTTAAAAAAATCTATAATAAAGTTTGCACAGATTGATCTGATTAAAAATGAGTCTTTTTAGTTTTTGCTAAATAGAATAATTAGACTAAATATAATTAAATCGATCTGGAAATTGATACAGGTGTTATTTATTACGTATTATAAAATGAGTTAATTTTACAGATTATTTTGTTTGTAATTGATATAACGTAAATGAAGAAAACGTTCCTAAAACGGAAACTCGTAATCGCAAATAATCATATGTTTTGAATGAAACTAAATCATTTTATCATACATCTCATTTTTTATCGTACGTTCAACTTAAATAGTAGCTTTGTAATCAAACTTCATGCCGCCAATTTGATCATACCAGGTTACTTGAGCTGTCGCATTTTTAAATAAATCGCTCTTTTCAGGATCAAGTATTTAACGCACAAAAGGTTAATGTTCAATTCCTTCTTGCACGTTCGTCATTGCTGAAAGAACGCACGACTATTTTGCTCGATTAAAGACTTGCTATTCTACTATTACGCCATTACATCTGGCCTGTACTAAATCTGCCTTCATTTTATTTATAAATTATGTGATAAGCTAATGAGCTTTTCAAACAAATAATTCATACGAATTTGTTAACTTGTTTATAAATTCATTCTTTGAATTTTATTTCATTTTATAGAAATTTAGAAAATAAGTTTGTATGAATGGATATTTTGGTTGAAAATGTAAACGTCAATCGTATCTTCTATAGATTTACAATATAGGACTAAATCCAAGAATGCAGTTTTTAGGATCTCAGTAAACAAAATATTTTAAGGCAGTGTCACCAAATTCACTATATAAAAAGAATCAACTCTGTTGATTAAAGTTTGTATAACCTTGATAATTCTTGAATCACTATATATCTGAGTTGTATCATTATGCGTTTAATACAACTCTGGTATCAGGGTTCTAAAATGAAAGAATACGATCCTGCACCAAGTTATGCAAGATCTATTCACGCTTGATTACCTATAATCTTATTGCCACTTTAGTTCAAACTTTTAGTTTGTCTTGTAACTAGCGTGATATTCAACGCAAGAGAATTGGTTATCTTCAAATAATCTATTGAGACTATTGAATATTTATGAAATCAGACAATTTTAATCATACTAGTCAATCATCTAAAGTTAGTTTCTGGTGGAAACCTCGCATTGGTTCTAATTAAATAACTTTTAAAAATTGAGAAACGCGGTGTTGAGGTAAGTAATCGTTAAATTTCTAACTCTTATTATAATTTAGTGTTTTATATCGAGTTAACCACAACATACGTTACTTACAACATTCAATTTCGATTACTATTTGTTATGAGTTATTTGGCATTACGTTGGCTCACTCCCACACTAATTTTTTAAAATTTGAATTGTTGCTAAATTGTAATAAACCAAGATTGAATTTCCACGAATTACAGTTACTTTAAGAAGACAATGGAATTACATTCAAATAACTCACAACAGAAACGTGTAGCAAAGAAAATTGATTTTAAAGATTTAGATTTACTGCTGCAGCAATGCTTTAACAACAGAGATCTACTAGCCGTTGATTACACAGCATCAAAATTGTTACCTGCTGGTGAGAATTATGGTAGCATTATGGTAAAGATCGATGCAAAGATACGTAAAAATCCAAATGCAAAAGAAGAAATGTTACATTTAGTAGGCAAGACACCAAGTTGCACCGACAAAACTATAGTAGAATGGCCATTGGTTTTTCAGAAAGAACTTTTTATGTATGCAGAATTATTTCCTTTATACAGAGAACTTGAGAAGGAGGTTAATGTGGAGGACTGTGATTTAATCAATGTCTTGCCAAATTTTGTTGGATATAGAAAGTCGCTTGAAAACAGCGCCAATATTGACGAAAATTCAGTACTTCTGATGGAAAATTTGAAAGTCAAAGGATTCTATACTGCAGATAAACGCACTGGTACGTTGGTTATCATAAATAATTCTAAATGATCTTTATTAAATACACTTTGTGAATGAATAAGACGATAGGTTAAATAAATGCACGTGAAAATTCTTGCAGGTATGGATGTTCACCACGCTCGCAAAGCACTAACATCTCTTGCAAGATATCACGCTTTAGGCATTGCCATGAAAGAAAAACGTCCATCCTTTGCCAAAAAAGCCATAAATCAGGCAGGCATACTAGGCATTGATTTTGCACAGCTAGATAATGCTTACACAAGTACATGCGAAATACTGATGAAAATACCGCGTTTAAAAAAATACTCAGCGATCATTGAATCGAGTTTTGAAAAAGCCAAAGATGGAGGGTCATGGAAAGTAAATCCTATAGAGCCATGGGTAACGATAACTCACGGCGATTTTTGGACAAATAATATGCTTTTTCATATGGATGACAACGGAAAAGTAGACGATGTTAAATTTGTCGACTTTCAAACGTACATCTACAATAGTCCTGTAAAGGACCTAGTTCGCTTACTTGGTTCTAGTGTTGATGTGGAAGCGCAATCTTGCCATTTGGAAGAGCTTCTAAGTCTTTACTATAAAGCCTTTGTGAAGTCGTTGAAACGCATGGATTGTGATATATCGCCTTTCACTAGAGAAAGTTTTGATCGTGAGGTCAAGAGACAGGCATTCAGTGAATTTCCAGTTTCCGTTATATCACAAAAATTCTTTCTTTCAGAAATTCTTGACGACAACAAAAGCAACGAGGAAAATATTAACAATATCGTTAACGATAAACCGAGCGCTGCTTTTATTGATAAAATGTTGTGGCTAGTAGAGGTCTATGAAAGAATGAAGTGGTTTTAGTAGAAAAATTAAAATGATAGTTTGTATAGTTATTAAAAAATAAAAGTTTTTTAAATATTGGTAATGGTAAATAATGCGGATTATTAATGCTGATAGTTACAATTAAAAAAATTAATTACTCAATGATCAAGTGTAATACAAAAAATTATTAAAAAGTTACAGTGAGATATGATTTGCGATCAATATTGAATGATTAATTCTCCAAGCAATAATATTGCTTATCAAAAATAGCCAAGTTTTTTCACAACCAACGATCAACATAATCTATTAACTAGATATTTTTAAATTTCATATAAAATATATTTTTAACTATAATAAATTCGATCTTCCGGGGATGCATAATTATCCTTAAAACGTTCACTAACTGTAATTTGAAAATAATATGATAAAAATAATGTTAATGCGTTCCGATGATATTTATTCCGTGGACTTATATAACTTTATTGAATCAATATGGTATGACGGTTAATTAAGTTTGCATCTCTTCGATATCGTTAAATGTAAAGTCGTATAAATTTGTCTACAAAGTTGATTCGACAGATGTCGCACGTGCAAACGCAAACATGTGCAATGAGCTAATGAAACGTCGAATACCCTTTTATAAGAGTCATCGCTTGTCTAGGATATAGCTTTACCAATCCAAGTTAATTTCGTTACATCTGCGTTAAACCTATTGTCATTTTGTCCCCAAACTTATATGAAAATAAAATGCTATTTAGAAAAACTATGACGCCGTTTTTGTGATGACGATTGCATGTTATTATTAACTAAATTAAGAAGCTTTAAATCATATTTTAAAATAGAATAAAAAAAGTATTGTTCTACATTTTTCGTAATACAAAAAATATTTGTCGGAAAGGATATCTTGGTTACAAATGTAAACGCATATAAATTCACACAGCACATATAACGACGAAACATAATCGTAAATCAGAGTGATGCAGGCGCGACATTGGAAATACATTTGTGTTACATGGAAGATAGAAGTCAACTGTAGTCATAATCAACAACGTAAATTGAAAAACCACCTTCCTAGGGGCATCGTTTCGCCACTTTTCTTACCCTACATTCTGTTCTTGTTTTCTTTACAGACTTCGTCAATTCCAGCGTCAATTACCTCAACTGATCAAGTGGCTTTCTCGGTAGAAACTATATTTGTGGTCACATTTACTGACTGTTGAACGTGACTTTTTTCTTCCAATTACTGTCACTACTCGTGTATCAACAAACTTTAGTGGATAGATCAGTACAGTCATACTAACTGAACAAGGATCGTCGTCTACTTAAACTTGATAAAACTCGTTAAATATGTTATATTTTCAAAATTTTACCAAATATATCACTTTACGATCTTGGTGATAAAAGAATTATTCAATTCTTACAATTTTATCATAGAAATTAAAATATCCATAACGCAAAATCTGACTGTAGAAGACGCAAAGTTATTAATTAAATTAAGTTTCTTGCTTGAAAATCCTAAAAATAATTTATATGCCAAGAACATATTAAATGTTGACTTTCCGTATTATATACTTTTTTTTATTCTTAAAATATCGATTGTTCTCCTATGCAAATGATATTATGGATTTATTATAAAAATTGAGACAGAAATGCACCACAATGAAAGCTTCCTCGGAGTAACATGGACAGTGTACGCTCTAAAAAGTGTAGAAGAATACAGTAAGATTATACGCCAGTCTCAAAAGGATCGCCGTTATATTACTTCAGGGCTCAAGAGGTTTCGTATTTCTCGACTTCAACTTGCGCTTCGCTGACATGTACCTTTCTCATCGAGCTTTTATCCAATATTATTTCTTAACAACCAGCTAAAGGATAATGTTTTCAAAGATTAAATTCATTTTCTTAAAATATTATGTGCAATCCACGTATTGAAAACATTGCAATTTTATAATGTTACATTTTAAAAAGTGCGTGATTCATTTTTACAGGAATTCTTCCAGTATAAAATCTTTAAGTACTTTGTTGAATACCAGTTATGTGAAAAATTCTAATGTTGGCTTCATTTTTAATTAAAGAATAATTAACGAATCGCATTGTTACTAATGAAGTATCAGAAGTTTTTACGAGTTGGATGTTTTTCAGAAAGAAAAATTCGACTTCCCACATAATGTTCATCACGTATTCGTCACGCGTCGATTGTATCATAAGCGTGGAGATGTAGTAGTAAAGTAGTTTTACGAGGCCACAACATCGTCTTGGAAAATATGGTGCGTACGAGAGACAGAAAGAAAGAGAGAAGGAATTATATCGTCAATGCGGGTGCAACAGGGCGATAATGCGATCACACTGTTTTTACGACTTTATGGTTGTTTTAACCTAAGACTTTTTTCAACTCGAGGGTTGGTGGGTGTACCATTGTATATTTTTCCGATTTGTGTCTCGTTGTTTTACGTGCCGAAAGTTGCGTTTTCTCCCGCCTCCGTGAAAAGAAAGCGCGCACGCTTAGGGATGACCTTTACTGTAAAAAGTAGCTCCCGCGGACGTTCGTTTCGATACATTTTATTCGCTCACCTCACATATTTCTCCTATAACATTGTATATATTTGATTTCGTTCCACGTTGTAAATATAAACCAAAGATCAACATTTGATTATTCAAGTGACATACATATCTTTATATAAATATTTAGGATTTTAGATTGTTTATCTCCAACTTTGGGTTGAAAATGAAAGACGGTACGTATAAAATTTAGAAAAAAAAAGATTCATCGATGATAAACCGAGAAAAATCCGTAAAGCTCAAAGCAAAAGACAGCTTCTAGCTCGATCATCCATCGAGATGATCTTAATTAATGAAAACTTGAGAAACAATCTCGGAAGAATGCTGTTTTAGTAGTCGATTAAGCAGAGTGAAAATTGATCATCGTTTATTATCGATTACTGGACCACCGTAACCCCCTCAGTGCACGGGAGAGAGATTCAGCGACCCGTTAAGCCGTCGACTAATCTTCCAAGTTGGCTTGAAAATATCGAGCCTTTTCTATTATATATCGCGCAACGAGTGACAGGAAAAATGCGCATGAGGAAAATTCTTCGAAGACCGAGTACAGCCGTTCGAACGTGAAATTGAGACGAAGAGTAAGGGGAGGACGCTCTGAAATAAATAGCAGTTGCGACAACTCGATGATTTATCAATAAGCAAAATAATGATAATAATAATCATTTACTTATGCGTACGTTACAGCGTGTTGGTTCAGGCAAACTTCTGTCAGATTTTTTGTACATACAGTTCTTGCTTTCGTGAAATAGGTATCTGCTTAACCGTAGATTTTTATTCCAAATGCAATCAATAAACGTTTGTTTGAATATTAATTGAATTACCATTATTTTTGGTGTTATTTTTCAATTTCCAAGCTATCATTTCAACTTCATTAAACAACTTGTAATAACGAAAATTTCATTTTCAAGCCTCAAAATTAACAAAAAAAACTTACCTGAATAATAGTAATTAAACAACAAGAAACATTGTTCCATATTCGTTTGTTATCACAGTAAACTATTAGCGTTGGAGTGCTCCTGTGCGCAGTTAAGCTCAGCGGGTTTCCACCCCCGCAACGAAGAGTTGATAAAATAGCTACCGTTTAAGCTTGGCAGTAAAAGCAGATGACGCCCGCGGGAAGGAAGATCTCTTCGGCATTATCTTACATATAAAGGTTTATTGGCTATTAAGAGGGTGATATCTGACTGGTTTCGATTGATTGCCGTTACCGCGATTTCAGACACAATCCAATAAACGTCAAATAGATTATTATACTGATTTATCGAGTTATCGTGTACACGCAAATTGTTATAGGTATGTCTATGAATTCGTAATTGAGTTGCGAGTAATCGAGGTGATATAATTGGGAGCTTCGACGTTGATTATACTGTATCCAATTTGGTGCTACACTAATAATTTAACGGACCAATTATTGTTTCATTAGGTTATCGTAGCCCACTAGAATTGTAAGTTCTTATCCGACACAAAATAAAAGCATATCGAAAAATTCGAATACAGCCCTTATCGCCAAAGCCATAAGGAAGGAAAAATAACTTGAATACTCACATTATAGCGAGCGCGGGGATCGTTGAACAAGTGTCGTGCAAGGTTGCCGTTACTCGCCTGAAGGTGAGGACGTAACGAGCCAACACTACCCTGCAAAAGATCGGGTTTCTCCACCTCCGGCCCGCCGAACTCTTGTAGCTGTTGCAGCCAGCAGCATAGCATCGCTTCGATTCCCTCGTCAACCTTTCGTTGCATATAAACATTAGTCTCTTATCAGGCTCTTCTCTTCATCGTTATGATATTATGTAGCGAAGGATATTGAGTTTGCTTGTTCAAAAATACTGATGATATACGCGAAAGATGCGGAAGCATATGTATCTATGTTACTGTTGTTTTTTTTTTTTAACGTGATGTTGCTCGTGAAATTTTAGATGCAAGTTTTGACAAATGGATTTCAGATAGATACAGTGGAATTTGTATGACATGTATAGAAGATTTCGTCGCACGACGAATTGTAAATACGAGCGAAACGAAAAGATGGCAGCGAAGAAAAATTGATTAACGAGTATGCGAGAGCTGTTTATTAAAGAAGCTGCGTATCTGATGGCCTATTTATATTTCGAGTATGAAAAATCGATATACACTCACTCGTCTGGCGTCTGGGATCTGGGGAAAGACAAAGTCCGTGGCCGTGAGAATAATCTTGTAAGGTCCCTTCGACATACGTTTTTTCAACAAATGTCGTCTGCGCGCATACATTATATGGATGAGAATACGCATTCATGTCCATATATTTCGTTTTATCGAAACAACATGAGTGATGTATTACCTTATTAAGGCAGCTGTTATGATGGCTGTCAATGCAAAAAGTAACGAACCAAGTATAATGGCTACGATATGTACAGTGTGAAGAGAAATTCCTGGTATATTTTCCACTGCGAAGCGACAACGTAATGTAACGTGATAATTTGTCACTTATTGAGTACAATGATCTCGCGATCGATTCACTTACCAGGGCAGTCGCTCTGATCGTCGCAGAGTAAATCGAATACCTCCTCGTCAGCGAAGTTATTGTTGGCAAGCTCCTTCAATACAAGACTATCGGGATACTCAATGACGACAACCAGAGGCCGCCAGCCGTTGTCTCTGGTGTAAGAGAGCAAGCCATACGTGTACATCTTGTTATTGAAAGAATTTAGTCTAGTCGCGTTTATATCCAGTACAAAGTCCAGTGCCTCGCGTAAATGGTCTATCGTAGTCTCAGGCTCGAGGCTCGAGCTACCGTTCAGTAGCCTCGCTACGTCGTACCTGCAAAAAAGTACATGTACAAGCTCTCTACCTGTTGCTCTAAGCTCTCTTAGCTATGTGGATATGTGTGGCTGGACGTCAGAGCGCGGCGGTATTATGTGCCTTTTTCATTTTTTCGCGGAAACGGCCTTTCTTATGTAGCTTTGCACGTTAGAACTTTTTTACATTTTGTCGTGTGGTTACTTTCAAGAGTAAAGATTGATTGCCTCCTGTTCACTGAAATGAAGTGGAAATTCTTTTCGAAAAATGGTGCGGATACGAGGACGAGATTGTGATGATTTCTTTGGTGCATCAATTGATTTAGTTTTTTTCTGTGTAACTACATGAATATATGTAAGTCAACTTCTTGGATAACTAGAAATGTTATAGTTTTAGAAACAATAACGCAGAGACTGATATTTTCAAAGAAAGAACTCAATGAACACTGTATCTGTAATATCTTTTGGTTTACATTTAATTTCGTGTCATCCGGAATGATGACTTTTCCCTTGAGAATCTATATACAACTCTGATCCGAGAATATTAGTTAATACCTACTGCAACATCGACTTGAACCTTTACTGCATCCTCTATTTACTTTCTTAAATAGTTTCTTGTAGTATTGACAAAACGTAAACAGAATTTATGAAGATTATTATAAAAAGATGGATGAGTTTTGACCGTAATTAATTCAATTAGAAGAGCAACAACAATAAAGATTTAAAAAACCAAAGGTGCGTCAACACAACACTTAACGCATTTCATTTCACGTAATGTTGACGTAGATTATATATCTAGCGAATTCGTTAGCTGTTTCTGTGGTAACTCGCGCCAAGTTTAATCTGTTGAAGGTTTCACAGCTTTTGTTGTCTCTAAATACCTGCATCTCAAATGGAACTGGGGAGATGGAGAGAGAAAGAGTGAAGGGAATTACGGCCGGAGAAAAAAGTACATTCATAGCCTTTTCCTCCATGCCTTTACATATAGAAGCATGTCTAAACTTTCGTTTCACCGACAAAGAGGTGGAAATCATTCGACATGTTAAATTTGAAAGTTTAGCTTGTTATAAGCTCTCGACGTTAAGCTAAAGAAATAACGTTTGCCAGTCGATGATTTTTCCAGGAGAGCAAAAGTGAACGCAAGGTTTGAGGTTGATCGAAGACGTCGTAAATTCAATTTTCAAGTTTAATGCAGACTGTATAAGCTGGAAGCAGTGAAAAAAGCTCGTTGATATTTCTTAAAGCCGATAGCATAAGATATCAGCTTTGAGAATTAGGGCTTTGCTTTATTATAAGTTTTGAATATATCTTATCGACTTTTAAAATTTTGATTTTAATACCAAATATTGATATTGTATTTATTCAATTCTTACTTCTCAATAAACTTTTTATATACTTTGACATACAACTAGAAGCTTTTAAAGCGTCGATTATTATTGCTCAAATTTTTTAAAAAATAATTATGAAACTGATTTACATGATCGAAAATAACACCTCAGTTATACGTAATAACAATGAAAATGAAAGGAATGGACGAGCGTTTAATGTCGAGTCCAAACACATGCCTAGGTACTTTCGGAATGCACTGGCGTGTACGGCCATTCAAAGCGTAATCTCTCTCTTGAGCTCTATATAATCCATATGCATGCGGTCCGTTTCAAGATATGCGCGCGCTTTCACCGAATAATATACATACATACATACGAGAGGAATGTCTTAGAACCCTCTCTCGCTCTCATATAAAACTGGACTTTTGTCATTCGACTGGATATATTGCACTGGCGCGGATGCGAGGAACTTTTCGAGCTGTTACCTTGCAAACGTGTTGCTCTCTTTTATCGTGAGGTCGGTTGTGCTTCGGCTTTTTTCATGTAGTTGCAAATGGAACATAAGATGTCTCTGTTTTTCGCACATCAAATTCAACGAAGCATTTTTAATATATTTCCGTGGGTCGTTCATTCGTTTCATGAATTATTTGCAAGAACCATTCGTGAATTATCCGAATGATCTAATATTGCCTGAATTGTATTTTTTGTGAAATGTTCAATATTGAACTAAACTATTATACCGTTTAAAATTATTTATAAATAAAACTACTCATTGGCATATAATTTTGGGTATCGACAGTATTACATAGTATTCTTTCGTTAATATCTATACAATAACACTTGCTTATAACTCCATTTTTTCCAGTCAATTCACAAGAAAAACTTGCCTTCTTGAAAAGCTTTTGTAGTTCAGTAATCGAGTGATGCATAATTATAATAGAAAAAAAACGCGCCCAAGGAACAAATGGCCGTCAGGCGAAATAACAACAGAAAAAATAAAAACCGAGGTATTATTCTCTCCCTGCATATATGCTCACCCACCCAAGTCGTGTTCCTTGTGTCTCGATGCGTCAAACAATGTCGGCCGCTCGATCAACATTCTTTTTTCTCTCATGCAAAAGCTGACGTGCGCAAAGATATATAGCGAGAGAATCAAGAGCGCCGACGACGACGGTCGACGTTTGATTGCCCTGATTTGAAAGTTCCATTCGCGCTTTAGTAGCGCAGGACGAGAATCAATCGGAACTACTTTAATTTTGTAATTTCCAGTTCCCTACCTCCCCCGCTCCCTAAAGAGTTACTTTTTATCCGCTAACACGTATTTCAAGGAAATTAAGCTCGCGTAGCTTGAGATAGTGACGATAAATCAGAGATAACGTCTACGCGGATAAAACTGTTGCAAGCGATTGCGCTCCACTGATGAAATGCATTCCGATATAGCTTGGATTATTTTTGATCTTCTACGTACACTTGTAGTCATAAACATGAATGAATTCGAATCGTTATGTTCTCTAACGTACTGTCTCTATAAAAGTGATATTTTATACATATAATACATACGAAATTCAAAAACAATAAAAAAAATATTATAATAATCGTTTTTAGATTCAAAATCACATGCCCTGATAGTGAACAGAAAAGTTTACGATGAAACGACAGCAATATTGAACTTCTCGTAAGGAAATATAAAAAAAATTTAACGATAAAGACTCGGGCAAAGGAGGATAGACGAAACGGGTAATCAAGCTTGGCAAAACAATGGAACAAGCCAAGCCTGGAGCGAATTTCGAGTGCAAGAAAAACCAAAGACTAACGAACATCTCTTGGATATGTGCACCGAGAAAAACCAAACTGATGAGAAAGAGAAAGCGAACAAAAAACGAACCAACTTCCTAAGGAATCCCCGTATACCCGATCCTATAAGTAAGGAAAATCCTCGGTAGCTAATTCAATAGCACTCCGCCGTCTCTCTCTCTCTCTCTCTCTCTCTCTCTCTCTCTCTCTCTCTCTCTCTCTCTCTCTCGCTCTTATCGACCGAGTCTGGCTGAGCAAAAGGTGATTCCAAGTCGGCCACGTGTCGCTTTCTAATCTCTTTCACTTCCGACAATTTATTTCTTCTTTCTTTTACTCGAGCTATCGGGATGGTTGGTCCAACTATTGTTGCCAGCAACCCTTAAAGGTTTTGTCGAATGGCTTGGACAATACCACCGAGAATAAGTGAAGATAAGATTTTGATCTTTACATATATGTCAGCTGATTGGAACGAGTATACATAATCTTTCTATAATTTTATCCCGGAGACAGACTTTATGCTTTGTCTTATTTTTATAACAAGTTAATCGCTTGTATTTACACTCATGAAAATACTTCTGGAAACTTCTAGAGTACTTAGTTTTTACAAAAATAGGACAATAAAATTATTCATATTCTGAATAATTACAGTTAATAGGAAGATTATATCGCAGCAATTAAATTAATAAGTCAACAGTGTCAACTTCAAAAGTGATATTAAGCGTCGCTGCGGTGCCTCAATCAAAGAACCCCTATAACTCGAGGCCAACAAGTATGATCTCTTGTTTCTTACATTCCCCTTATAAAAAATTGATATGGTTTCGTGTTGAGATTTTAGTAATAAAAACTTATTTTATCATAATTGATACGGATAATTTTGAAGATAATGAAAATAAAAAAAATAGGCTGCAATATTATTGTTTTTTCACTTATTTTATGAAAGTAATAGTGAGTATATCGTTTGATAAAATCAAGAGGTTATTATGCTTTGGAATTATTCTGATTATTTTCTATTACAAATCGATAATCTGACATTTCAACGTGTAAGATTGAACAAAATGTTGTAATATCGTAATCTTTATTCAATGAGTGGGATAAACGTTTAATAGTAATTTGACCCGTATAGTTTAAAAGAACTACAGAGATTGTTTATAACAGTTTTCGATATGATAATTTATGAAATTAGAATATCCCGACCTGTTTTATTAATAAAAGTTTCCACTGTAATATGTGTTTTGTATAAAAAATGGAAAAATCCACCTTTCAAAAGTGATTTGCGCTTTATATGTTTATTAAAATGACAAGAAAAGATAAAGAAGATAAAAGCGCACGTCTGATGTTCCTAGTTGCTTAAAAGTTTTAACTTATAATAATGTAATATTCGATCAATTTCATTAGATATACGTGAATTCTAGAAAAAATTCTAAGCTTCTCAAGTTTCTCTACAAGAAAAGTGCCATTGACAAAAAAGTTTCAAATACCTACTTTTACAAGAAAGTGAAGTATTTCAGGAAATGTATTTTAACTAGACAGGTGTACTCTCTATTATAGGTACATTTAAACAGACAACTCCGCCGGCGTCGAAACTTCGAGTTCGCTGGCATAAGATATACAAAGTGAATAATTTTGCAACTGTAAGCTGACCAGTAAAATGTGCGAGTTCGCTTTTGCACAATGGACGTTAGCAAAGCTTCCTCGAAGAAAAAATTAAAAAAAGAAGAAATATATGTGAGCAAATATCCCCAAAAGTTTTAATATTCTAGTTACTCTATGATAGTCGTGCTATCATAAGAGCGAATCGAAACTTGAAAACGATTTTTGTGAGAAAAATGATGACCAATAATCTCCACTAGTTTATTTTGGATCATCGATTATAGTTATGAAGCTATAAATTGAAAATGTATGCTTTGTCAAAAATTTAAGTTATAGCTCGCTATAAAAACTTATTTCTTAATATTGTAAAAAAAAGTCTTGAACAAATTACTGCAAAATTTGTTGCACGTACCTTTTAATACATATTATTGAAATACATAAGTTTCAAGATTGTACGTCTATCGCGTAAAAAATAAAAAATAAAAATAGAAGTGTTAGTAACTTTGTAAAAAATCGAAAACTTCATAAATTTTATTTTTTTACAAGATGAGGTTTCCCGTAACTCATTTATAAATAAACAGAACGTATTCTACTTTATACTATTAATCTAACACAATTTTTTTATTTCTAGTCTTGTAAATACTCTGAATTACCGACTTTAGTGAGCATAGTCAGTGAGCTCCTCATATTAAAAAAGATGTTTTTTATTGGCACAACCGAAATACCTTTCCGATTGATGTATAACCTACAGCTTATTATTTATTCTATTTATTCACTTTAAACCGTGCTTGAGTTGCATATTAATAGTATCGACTGATTGAATGCAACTAAAAAAATTATAATAATATAGTATCTATATAATATAAGAAATAAATTTTCGTATGTTCGCACTGATGCGTATACCTTTTATTTCTCTTTCAAATTAGATAGAACAAGTTATGCGTTTAATGAAATATGTAATTAAACACCAAAAATGTCGCGCTGAAAATTTAGTATCGTGGAAATTTTATTTTTCACAATTTAGCTTAACAATGAATAACATCAGTGACAAAAAAAAAAGAAAATAATCACCAAGCTTCATGTAATTATTTTCTAGTCAAATCAATTAAATGAAATTCAGTCAATGCAAAATTGAAAAAAGTAACAAAACCAAATAAAAAAGCTACCAAAGAAAAGGTACTTAGTTGAAAATATTCACATTTTGTATTATAGTATTTGTAACTACTGTATTGTTACTAATAATTTGTTATATTATTATTTATCAAATTTGAAAAATAAATAAAGTTCAATTGTTACTAAAAATGATTTTTATTTCACCAGTTGACAATATTAACCTATTGCAAATAACTTTATTTAAAAAATTTTAAGTTTAAGTTAATTATGCTGTTTTACAAGAAAAGATTTTGAAAAAATCATGAGCTGATATTTTTGAATACTCAAGTTAACTAAGAGAGAATAAAAGATTTTCAAAGCTCCGTTTTGAAAAAGCTTTATTATTTTTTTTATAACAAATTTCAGAACTTTTGGGGATTTGCTCATATCTTAAAGACATTATATTTCACTGGACTATGAAAAATTCTCCTCGTCCATTACTCGAATGTCGATACAGCTAAGCTCTTTATTCTGTGACTGTTGCTCGTTAATTATACGCGGTAGCAGGCATCTGGTAAGAAAGAAAACGAACTTAATCTCGAGTGCAAAAGTTTTTGCAGCAAAGTTCTCTCTCTCTCTCTCTCTCTCTCTCTCTCTCTCTCTCTCTCTCTCTCTTTCCCCCTGTCTCTTTTTCTCTCAACAAAGACCATATGGCTACGTGCGAAAAGCAAGTCTATATCGTGAACTATGTATAGTGCGAAACTAAAAACCCTCGCCACAAGTTTGATCAATATTTTGGAGAATGATGTTATATACTTTTTTGCTTTACTAAAGTTGTTTTCAAGAAAAATGAATTTAATGACATTTTGAAAATTATTTTGCCCTCATTTTCCTGCTTTATAAACTTTATTGTGTTTTAATGTCTATGTGACACATAAAGTTTTGAATTTTTCCAATTGAAAAGGTGATCATAAATTAATCTTTTTTCGACTGGGGGAGCAAGGACACATTATAATATCTCTTAAACGAAATATTATTCTGAAGACAACTTTAATATAATCTTATGTACCGAAAATAGAATATTATTTTGTCGCTCGATTGAAAGCTACATATATCAAGGTCATTCTTACAAAAATTATCGCATTAAAATTTTTGTTATTGAAGCAATACGGACACCGGGTTTTAAAGCGATAGAAAATCAGATACGGAAGGACTATTTTTTCCGAAAAAAAATTGCTCAGAAACCTTTAAGAAAATAGCGAATTGAAACAGCGATTTGAAATGTCATGACTGTGATAATTACCTCTGATCAAAGGGTACGATAGCGAGTAGATTGTCAAGGCTGGTACGACTGAGATCACGTGGCGGCACGAATCTTCTGTCAGTCTTGTCTGTCATCGTCTCGTTACTGCTGGCAACGTAACTGTCAGATTGTAGATCACTGATCGTTGGTAAAAACGGCTGTGGCCCTGGTGGATTAGTGACGAGGACGATGATGACGCTTGGCAGTCGCGTGTCTTGCATTGTGTCCAGCTCGACAAGAGTTTGCGACAGCAGTTCACCCTCAAGGGGCAGACACACCACTATTGCTGTGGAATCAATGTGTTCAATTAGTATATTCTAGCACACATTTCGATAATACAGTTCACATGCCAGGCATGTAAGTACTTTATAACGAAATTCATAGCAATAGCTTTTCTTTCGTAATTCAAATTTCATATTTTCATATTTTTCTCGTTGTTAAATGGAGCTTAGAAGGAAGCTTGTCAATGTATAATAGTACGTGTAACTGTGTTTACCGTCAATGTTAGCTTGTCAATGTATAATGATGATAGCAGCGAATTTCGTATCGACATATTTTTTCTTAATAGTTTTTAAACATTTGAGCTTCCAATATTTGTATTGACAAAGAATATCGACTATGAAAATAAAACTGTAATTATTGAGGACGAGCAGTTTGTGTATATATAGGAGAATTGAATCCGCACGCACTACTAGTAAACCACTACAAATTGAAAACACACTCATAAGTAAACAGCGACGTCGTTCTGTATGTATTTTGCAAATATAAGTCGAAATATTTACGCAGGGGCAGTGTGACATTTTTCAAGTTTTTCAAACGCTCAAACCCAGCGGCCGTCTATGTATTCGAGCGGAAAATCCTCATCTCTAAACATATTGAAAATCAGTCCGTCTGCGGGCGAAGGAATTTTCAATATTTCCATGAAAACACGCCCGCGCAACCAAAGAAAGACGACCATATATGGAATTCCTATTTGCACCAGAGCATACTCACTCAATTATCCAAGCAAAGCGCATATAAAAAATTTCGTAAATGCATACGCCTGAAGCACTCAGCTTACATGCGTGACGAGATATATTCATAATCAAATGAGCCATAAGTTGGTTGACTACAAGACCTTGTAAACAAGGCGCGCGATTAAGAATGGGAGATATATTCAAAGGATTGCGTTTTACGCCCATATACAGGTATAACAGGTATATGCTGCCTTCATATCGTGCTGTGCAAATCGACGAACTTTCATTACCCTCCTTTACGCGCAATTTCTTCCGTATATGTGGAATAGGTTCTGGTGCCCTCTTACAGCAGCTGCATTCTATTTCAGAGACTTTGATGCGCTTAGAATTAATCTCTTGAGACGGTAACTTCTCACTTGTAGCGAAAGTTTTGGCTGCGCTTACAAAGCTCATTCGATTTCACGACGGTCAATTTAGTGCGGTATGACTATTTTTACGTGATTAAACTTATTACATTAAATAGAATAGTTTAGTTCACGGCAAATGCACTAGAGGTCAAATTGAATTTGCGGAAATTCATTGTACAAAGTTTATAGCAAATAATGTACGTTTGAATGTACTCACAGCTTGCGGGTGGCTAAAGTTGTGTGTTTAGACAGACTCAAAACCTCGGAAAATGCTAGATACCGAGCTTTCATGTAAATTTCAAACAACTACCAAATAGCAGGAAATATTTAGACGGAAGTAATAAAATCTCTCTGGAAGTCTTAATTAAATACTTGCTGTAATAACGCGCGGAAATTCCATTTAAACCGATGAATTGCGAACATATTCGACAATTACGGCGATTTACCGAAGTAGTCATTCATTGTAAATGTAAATCTCGTATTTCTGAAACCTCAATTTGCAAAACCTTTAATTTTGAATCTCGTGGAAAAATATAACATGAAATTGATGCGAAATTACTTGCTTGACTTGTATTTCCCCAAAATGTTACCAACGAATTCTCCATTGACCGACGGTAAACACAGTTGCACGTACCTGCACACTTTGTACTTCGTGGACATAAAAAGAACGTAAGCTTATTTCCCTAAGCTTTGCCAAGATAGCACACGATGCAATAGAAATTGAGGCTGACTTTTCCATTAATTTGATCGAATTTCACGACTGTGTAAAAAGAATCAACTTACTCTACCATAATAAAACTTAGAAAATCCTTAAATCGAGTCCGATCGTAACTTGCGAAAATCAACTTTGCTGATTCAGATTGCAGCTCCATTTTAGTTTTCGATTTTCCTTCTACTTTTTTTATTGAAATTTTTGATTCTCAATATGTTACGCAGTCAAATTATGTAGTCAACTAAAGAACGGTTTATACAATGACAATTATAGAATTAGGTAAACTAAGTTACAATTCAAGTGCTTGAGTGAGATATGAAATGAATATAAAATTACAAATCTATTAGATCCAAAATAAAATTATAAAAGTGCTACTTTGTGAAATTAAAGTTTTATTTAGGTATATTATTTTAAGATTACATGCTTACATATTTTTCATAAATCAATAAAAATGCAAACCAATGTAAATTGTAGAATTGAAATATAGCTAGAATGGCACATGCGACAAGCTAAAGGAAGTAACAAAAACTTACCTCTACAGGGAATGGCACGCAGTGGCGTAAGAGCCGCGCGTATTTGCCTAGTGTCGGCGTCCGTTGGTAACACGGCGTGATGCCGAGGTATGACCCCGATGGTACGTAGTCCGGCGATTACTGATCTGTCCACCATCGACCACGGTGAGGTATCTACGATTGGGGCATATTTATTCGAACCAGCATGCGTTAAACAGACACAAAAGTTTATTAACAAAAAACGTTTCAAAATTGCACGAGATCAATACACTCGATGCTTCGAAAACAAATCTCCGTGCCAGCACGAAATAGCAACAGCTTTCTTGGGAACGGACGTAAAAAAAAAACAAATTTTACCGGAAGGAGCGAATTTTATTGCACCCGTGAATATAAAAACCCCGTAGGCACTTGCGATTTGGATTTTTTCCCACGAATCAGAGGAGCACAATAAAAACCCAAGTTATATTCGCAAACGTGGAGATACTAAAATGCCAAGCTAATGTTTGCAGATCGTAAAATCAATGACACTGAGTCTTAGTGTATATAAATAGGGTTCAGAAAATCCGTGCCTAGTTGTAATCTACAGTGTCGTATCGTCGAGCTTTAAAAGCCTCCCTCCCTCAAAAAGGCATAAAGTGAAATCCCTCTTCGAAGTTGGATTCTGTAGTAAAGCGAGATGAGGTTGGGCAAATATCTTTCGACAATGTCGCCGCGCCGCGTCAGTGTTCAAGCTGAGTAATGTCCGAAATGGAAGACTCGTTAAGGAAAATGCTGCAGGCAGTTTCACAGTCCTTTTCACTAATTATGCTTCGTGGAATCGTGTGCACCAAACTCTAAATTTCTTCCAACGCGCTTGTTTACAAAGAACTATTACTTCGTCATTGATTTCGTGCGCTCAATACTTATCGATTATGTACATGAAGAAGATGAAGAATCCAAGTTTCACTCTTGGAAAACGAGACAAATAAAAGCATTTGGAGTATAGTGAAACAACATATTTTCCTTTTCTACACGCAACAGCTATTTCTTTTAAAAAAGAAATAGTTGGATATTTCCACGTGGGTGACGTATTGCTCTAGAAATATCTAATGTAACACGACGTTTATTTTATGGCTTGGAAAAATTACGTGGGTGGGTCGATAAGTACCCGTGTTTTAAGATAGGTGGTAGTGGTAAGATTAGTAGGCATTACAATCATGCGCTGTTATCTTTCAAACGACGCCGTATAGAATTTCAAAGTGATTTATGAGTTAGTTTTGATTTGACAGCCGCTTGTATTAAACGTGCTTGGTATTTTGTGGTACAAGGAAAAAAGAGCAATATAGATCCGCACTTGGCTTTTTATTTTCGAATGGTAAAACGTGCGTAGAAATAAAAGCAAAGTTGAAACTCGACTATCTCTATGACAACAGTGAGATATTGGTTCAACGAATTCAAATCTAACCGCACATCTGTTTTCGATGAGGAGCACCTGGGCCACCCGACAGACGTGCTTACTGAGAAAATCATTGAAAAGATTCATGACATAATTTTTGCTGTAATAACGAAAGTGTACAATGTAGTAGAAGCTGTAAGTGCATCGTGCGGAACGATCCTCAACATTTTGCATCATATATATATAAATTAGGAATGAAAGCTGTTGGCCCGATGTGTGTTGCGATTACTTCTGTTGGACAATAAGCATATATACGACTATCAACTTCGAAGCAGTGTTTGAACCTTTTTAAGCGAAATTCGTTTTTGCGTCGCATAATGACCGTTGTTGAAACCAGGCTCAATTACTATATACTGGAAACCAAGAGACAATAAAAGCACTGGATTTTTCCAGGCGAATCTGCTCCGAAGAAGGCCATGGCAGTCCCATCTTCCGGAAAGGTCGTGGCTGTAATTTTTCGGGATTCAAAGGGGATAATCCTAATAAACTTTTTGGAGAACTGTAGCACGATCGTGGAAAAATAATGATTTATCGAGCCAATTTCATGGAAAATTGAAAGAGATACGAACTTATTGGACAAAGAAAAATTATGCTTTTTCATCACGAAAATGCACCAGATCACTCATCCGGAGCTGTCCTAACCAAATTGTACATATTGCGTTACGAATTATTGTTACATATATCCTATGCGCCTGATATGGCTCTTTGCAACTTTTATCTTATTCTGCACATGTGAAAATGTGGCTGCGGGAAAAAAGTTCAGCTCTAACGAGGATGTCATCGTCGAGATGAAGTTTATTTTGAAGAGTTTGATAAATCATATTTTAGGAGGTTTAAAAAAATGGCTAGAACATTAGGAAAAGTGTATCCTTCTAAAGGAAGGTTACGTTGAAAAATAAAATTTGAAGAATAAACTTACCTTCATTGAAAACATGGGAACTTATTGATTCATCTCTCATAGTCAAGAGATCGCTTTATTTATCTTGAATATTTTCATATTGTTACGCGCTATAATACTTCTCGTGACTATTTCCAAGACAAATACGAGCAGAGAGCTGTATGAATTTTTCGATTATATTCAATCATGATCTTTTAAATAAAACTCCACAGCTCTATACTTTATAGTCTTTAATTGAATATGTCGGTGTAATAAGTAGAGATACTTTTTTTACCCGGATCCTTCTGAGCAGAAATACTTTATTTCAGAACAAGAAATTTTGCTGATGTTTCGGGAATATAATTAACTCCTCTTATTAAGTCTGGAATAATATGTAACAATATGTAACAAATGAGAAAAAAATTGCTTAATTGTTACGATGAATAAAAGAACCAAATCACAAAAGTGAAAAACACTGTCAATTAATTTAAATTCCATTTTTCTCGGTTACTTTGCACTCTCATCAGAAGCCCCAAGCCTTTTTGCCACAAGCCACTCATTGTCGAAATTTAGAAGAGAGTGAAAAGTAATTGGGGAAAAATGGAATTTTAATTAATTGACAATGTTTTTCACCTTTGTGACTTGATTCTTTTATTTATCGTAATAATTAAGCAATTTTTCAATTATGTAACTTTACCGATGACAATTTTTTAATTTTATATTTTACTGCATGGAGGTGTATCCACGTATTAGTTATTTAAGTATTGCTTTTGTGTTGGTGTTTAAATTGTAGTTATGCATAGTTACATATTATTCCAGCCTTGATAAGGGGAGTTGATCATACTCCTGAAACGTCGGCGAAATTTCTTAATTTGAAATAAAGTATTTCTGTACAGGATCCGAGATAAAAAGTATCTACTTGATTACAGCTCAAAACGGATACATCACATTACTTTATAATCTACAGCATGTATGTTTCCTCAATAAAAGCAAATATTCACGTAGTTAATTCATTATTTATTCAAGAAAACGAGGAAGTTTCTTGTGAATATCCAAGATATCGAGATAAATTACATAAGACAAGTTAATGCACGAAGAAAACAAAGGGTCATAAAAATGACCGCAAAGCAAATAAAAGAACAAGGCATGTCATAGCTGTTAAGGAATTTTATTGCCAGAAGAAATGCTGAGCTATAGGATTGCCTGAGGGAGCATCCGTCATTTTGTGGGCTTTTCTTAGATGATGTTGATTACTCTCTCTCTCTCTCTCTCTCTCTCTCTCTGTTTCTATCTCGAAAATTACAACAGAGAGTTCAAAGGAATAAACAAGGAAATCGCAGACGTTCAATTTAATCAAAGAATATATGTTCAATCTTACAAAGAAACACATTAATTCGACATGAGGTTTGCCAAATTTTCAAATTGGACTAATTTTATAGAACCTAAAAATATTTGTGCATCATCGCACATGCTTGTGAAACTAGTTTTTTGCTCTTAGATATCCTAAAATAGGTCGGAAAATGTACATAAATTTTCATTATCTATTTTTTATTGGAATTTAATAAAACATGAGAAAATACGTCCGAAACAATATTTGGTTCATTTTTTGCTTAAAATATTAATCTTTATAAAGCTTTGAAAACTGTAGCAGTGCATTGTAACTCATTGCTAATCAATCAGCAAGATTGACACGTTTACAGGGAATCTGTGTTACGAAAGCTCTTCAAGTGTCAACATTTTGCTTGAAAAGTAAACCGAGATATGATTTTCGATATATCTTGACCTGTACACTTCAAATTAGAACTCAAATTAATGCTCTTTTTATTTTCAATTAAATTTAAAAAAAATCTGAAATATCACGTTTTTGTTTTTATGGAGTACAATGACAGTATTATAAGCATGCGTGATGAACAGCCAAATTGTTTTCAGATGAGAAATGTTATTATTCAATAATAACAGAAAAAAGAAAGTATATCCTTCAATTTTGACGAGTGCTATTTTACATTTGAAAGAAACGGTTTCATTAATTAATGAAATTTTTTCTGTAGTATCTTCCGTAATACTTGTCTTTGCTGAGATTATAATTAGTTTACAATCTTCACGGTCGAAATGACATTGAACTTATCAATTCTCATGACGGTAATATATCCACGAGTTTATAATTTAAAAAAACACATTGTCAATATATGATATGATGTCGATAAAAAAACAATCTTCTGGCCAACTCGGCAGAATTTAATGACATCCAACCTTGGAAAAATACAGTGAAAATAAAATTTCTCACTTGTGGTACATAACGTCAATGGGGTGAATGAAGGGCGCTTATCCGTTCAATCATATTACATAAAGCGACATCGTGAAGGAGGAGGTTTACGCAAGGAGCTGACGAGTTAAGAGCATCCGAAAAGTTGGCGTGAATTCGCTGTAGTGAATATATAGAAGCATTTCGCGGAGGACAAATTGTAAAAACGAAATAGCACAACAAGGCTAACAACGACTTACCGACGCCAATTACGGACACGGACTTCCATCGAAAGTGCAGGAATATTTCGGCAAGCGATCTGCCAAGAACTACTGGCGATGGTGAAAGTCTCACTACCGACGATAATTTCCTATCCTCCTCTGTTCTCTAAAAACAGAAATTCATTGTTCACATTAAAATTATGTAATATTTCATTGTTGCAGTGTATATACCATAGTTATAACTGATATAAGCTTGAAAATTTTGTTTTTTATGTTTGTAGGATCAAATCGTGAAAATTAAATTTACAAAACACAAGAAGTCATTGTATTATATACAATATGTAATGTATCGACTATTAAAAAAAATTACTTCTATAATGAAATTTTATAAATACAAACGATAGACGTATGGAAAAATGTACAAGCATTTGCAATTCAAGTACGCATTCAATGAAAAAATCATCATTTTGTGCCAACCTCGATAGGAATAATCCATTAAATTACCAACGAAAATCTAATAACGAGACACACATCCATGTGATATTTGATATTTATCCCCTGAATATCTGTGAAATCTATGAGTATCGCTGATCGGCTTTGAGTAACAAAAAAAAATGTTTACGATGCTAGAGAATGACCGTAAAAGAGAGTAAGCGAAAATTAAAAAGCTTAATTTATAAATGCAAGCAGTAAAGAGAGAGAGAGAGAGAGTAAGAGAGAGAGAGAGAGAGAGACAGAGAGAAGAGAGTTTAGCGGGGCGAAGGTTTGCATTAATCAGCCTGGTATTCTCGAGATTGGTTATACGCAAAGCTTACTCGCAAATTGCTCGAGGTAGAGGGAAAAAAACATCGAGACTAGCTTCTCTCTACCTCGTAAATTACACGGATTTTTTGGCGCAGCCTATATCTGCCTGGGGTATTTCGTTATACAACGTTACGCAGCATTTATCGCGTTCATAATGGTTTTACCGAGAAGAACAGCCTCCTTTTATCATATTTTTTCTGCCGTGCTTTCAATTAGTGTCGCTCACTGCTTTTATAATTAGAGGCGAAATAGTTGTTCGATACCACGAGCTTTAATATACGCTTGTAATTTTTGCAATACTATCCGCAAGAGTTGACCAATTTTCCGGTAATCCGTTGGGCTGTGACGATTTTTGCGAGTGGGAAATTGGCTTGGTAATTGATTTTGATTGGTGTTCTCGCGATGGGAAATCATTCTCTATTTCTTCGACAGTTTGTTGCAAGGCCATTTGAAATTCAATAAACTGCCAAATTAAACGATCATTATTCTAAAAGAAAGTTCTTTTACAATGCTATACTCGTTCAAGAAAATGTCCACCAATCACCCATTTTAATTGCTTGCATGCCGTTAACTTTGTGTCAAAAAGAAATTTAATAAAAATTTTCCTTTCGTTCTATTTGCCACATGCCGCGTCTCATTTATTTGGACTTAAGATGTTTCTTTTAACATCAGGAACAGGTCTGTTAAAAACTTTCCTTCTGGGTAGTATCGTTATAGACAGACACGCGCGCGCGGGGCAAAAGTTTTGTGCGCGTTTTTCGAAAAACAATTTTGCTAGTTTCAGAAAAAGAAAGGGAGGAACGTAACGCCTTGTTTGATCACGGTTCAGTCGTTTCTTTTTCAAACGAATAAAAAAAGTGGATCAAAGCTTTCGGTTTTTTTACACTTTATTTTTACGAGTTCCGAACACGATCTACAAAAAGTACCCTTTTTTTACTACGCAACAACAGGAACGATCCCCCGTAAAGTGCAACCGAAGAGAATAATTTGTCGAATGATAAAAGAATTATCGTATAAAGAAACGTCTTGCCTTCGCGGAGGACTTACGACAAAGCGTATTACAAAAAAACATTATCTCGACAAAAAGTTTACAGTTGAAGCGTAGCAAGTAATTCAACGGAGAACTTATATCGAGGGCTTATTAATCATCTAACAGGAAGATACTGGCCATTGTTGCTGGACACGGAGAGGTGAACAGCATCCTTTCATTCCATTCTACGAGTAGGAAGAAAAATAACCGTCCCTCCCTGATGCGATTGTTAGTCGCCCGGAGGCAAACAAGAAAGAAAGAAAGAAGAAAAACACGCCGCAGCAATGGGGAGGCGTAATCGCATTACACATTGGCGAATGGCTTTCTTATGGCTTTCTTGTCACGCAGATGGGAAGCAGCGAGAGTGAGGCAGGAAAAAAACGAGCGACCTCATCCACTCCTCGTCAGCTACGACATTCGTCACCGTGAGGATAAAATCGTTTTATCCGCCGGCCACCCGCTGCCCATCGAGGAAGCAATTCGAAGTTCGTCTAATCACTTGTTCGCTGCACTTTCTTCATTTTCTCCTTTTTTCGATTCCTCGACTTACTTCTTCGATGATACTTATCGACATTTGCAATGTTCCTCGGATCAGCGATTAAAAAGTTTTTATGATATCGAGTTTTCTTGACATTGATACTCGACGCGTTCTCGCGCGTTAAAAGTAGATGAGAGCTTACTGAATTGAGATTCGATGTCATCATAATGAGATCACACACAATGGACTTACGATCCATTTCAGGTTATACTATTGCTCTGATTAAATTATTATTTTATTTATAATCTAAGGACATACACCAACTCAATTCTCATTCAAAGGAAATGCAGTCAGTGAAAATGGAAATTATTTGTCAACACAGCGAAGCACGCGTATGTGACGATAATAGTTGAGATGAATTTAATTGGAGGAGCAATTGTTGGTAACAAAGCACGCGCGAGAAGCCAGAACAACGATCACAAAAGCTCGGAACAACTCGTTCACTTGATGAAAAAAAGAGCGTCCGGTTTGGACAGACGCAGTGTTACGTCAGAAATTAAATGCAATTGCTGGCTAAAGTCCGAACGACAGTAACAGTTGGATGAATTTTCGCGCAGTAAAATACGAATTGTACGAGTTTGAGTGTACAATAGCGATCAATCTGAAAAACAAGATAAATAAAAATATGTCATTTCAAACTTTGTGTCATGAAAGCTACTTTGACGCATAGTAAGCAAAAAAAAATAGAATGAAATCGTCGTTAACATATAACATGAGATACCGTAGACTTGTCTATGAGTATACTAAACGCCTAATGATATATACGACGAAGCTGTGGAAGTTGAGCTTAATAAGCAGAGTCACGTATGATCCGCGCGTATATCTCTCACGACGACGATGAGAACGTTCTCAAGCTAATCTGCAAACGAGATCTTGAGTCTCTCTCACGCGGTCCATCGGTCTTGGAATAATTTTCGAGTTGTCGTGCTCACGGGAACAGAGGGAGTTGCGCACGTGGGAAAATGAGATAGCCACACGGGAAATTTCCTAGCTCGAGAGAGAGAAAGAGAGAGACACAAAGAGAGAGAGAGAGAGAGAACGAGAGCTCGTTTAAATGATAATTTTGTGACAAACGCAGAAACACGCAGCACGCTTCGATCATATTTCGTTTTTACTTGTTCCGCTGCACCGGCTGTGCAATGCATTTTCGCATGGGTTTTATTTTTGAACATGCCAAATCGATTGACGAGCGATATAATGGGAAACTCGCACAATGCGAGATGCTTATTTTCTAATACTATCTTTGTTATTTGAATATGAAATACTTCAATATGCGATTTATCGAGGGTAGTTCGTTTTATTAAGACGAAATTGCTAAATTAAATGGTATAGGTAGTAATCAACATAATTCTAAACTCTGGATATTATTAAGGACAATTTATTTCATTTAATAAAAGAGAAATGTTCATGAGAATTTTTAAAAAACATTTTTATCTACAGACAAATATAAATTTTTAATTGCGTTTAAAGCTATGAAAATTTTTAGTGAAAAATATAGATTTCTCTTCATTGCAAAAGTTTTTTTTATCGTCATGACCTAGATACTGATGCAAATATGCGTGATGCCTCGAGAGAAATAGAATTATCGCCGGACGAATAGAATTATTCCAATTCGAAGTTCTCCGGTGTATAACTCAAGTAATAAGTAAAAAAATAAGTTAAAAATTCATACAGAAAAATTTTACTGCTCAATAGTGAGAGTTCGCGCCTCAGCTGTAGTAGTAAGTAGAATAGCACTATATTTGGTCAGACGTTTGAAAGAAAATCAAGTTGCGCTAATACATAGAAAACTAGAAAGTAATATTTTATATCAACCAATTACTTTATATATAAAAATCAATTATATATAAAAATCAATATATCAATCAAGCATTTTATATTATATGAAGTTTATAACGTTATTTATTGGATTTTTTTCAATTTTGTACAACAAGTACCGATTTCATCGGTCAATGAAGACGAGGCACAAAAAAAGAAAAAATTACAAGACAAAGTGTTAGTCTACGGTTCCTGAATCTGATAGTTTCTTATAAACCACAATCTCCTCAACGATACGAGTACCACTTACTTCTTTGCTTTTTTATCTCTGTATCCCGCTTGCTTAAGCAGAGCCGAGGAAAGCAGTATAAATCTTCGAGGCTTTTCGTGATATTTGGTTATATAACAAAAAAATAGTAGGTTGCTTTAACCAGTGTCAATTCGATACTAGAAGTGATAAACGAGCTTTGTGTTAGGACGTATTCTTTCTCTTAGACTTCATTCCTTTCTTGTGTGTGTGGCTGTTTGTGTGGCTGTTTGTGTGTATGTGTGTGTTTACGCACGTGTACGTATATTGTAAAATTGAAAATGTGCTTGTGATGAAAATGAGACTATTGAACGTGATGGCTTTATCGAGCTGCATAGCTTTTGCTTCTTTTTAATATTTCGGTAGATGTTTTTCTGAGTTTAGCGGTATAATATGAAGAAAATTGAATACATAGTGAAAGTTTCTTTTATCTGATTAATGTGTTATTTATTTATTGCCATAAATAAATTATTACGTACTCGGGTAAAAATTAAATAAACAATTCTTTTTGTGAGAATAAGCCTCGTTTACTAATTTAAATATAGTTCTTGTAGGATAATAAATTTGTATGTAAAAACATTCATTCAAAATATTAAGGTAGTCTATTAATAAAAAAAAATAGAAAAAGAACGAAGTTTCTGGGAAAGCAAGAAAAAAATTCAGTCGTAAATTTTTTACAATCTTTTTTGATACTTTTTTCGTTGCTTTTAGCGTGGAAGCTAAACATAAAACTCCTCTCAAACCAAGCCTGCTAAAAAGGAATTCTTCTTCTATCAATTTTTCCTTTTAACTTTTCTAACCACTTTATTGATCGTGTGATTTTCATATTTGAGCGCAAGCCCCTTCTTCGAAATCTCAAACATATCCAGTTGAAAGAATCTCAAGTCAACGCCACTTCCGAGAAACGTTTTTATTTCCCTCCCTTTTACTCGCGCACAATCGAGTACATCGCTCGAGTGTGTATATACATCGGAGGAAAGAAGTCAGAGCGAGGGACATTATAGCTTAATCGGAAGTAGGGGAAAGCCTACTGCAATCGAAGATCAACTAGGCATATTCCCGGGGTGGCAACCTCTCTCACTTTCGCGAGTGGGAAATGTAAGTAGGTCAGACCGAATGGTGGGTTTGAAGCGCGTAACTGTTCTATTTATATAGCGATGTGTTCTCTCTCTCTCTCTCTCTCTCTCTCTCTCTCTCTCTCTCTCTCTCTCTCTCTTTCTCTCTCTCTCTGTTTCGAACCGTTACGTCAGTCATTTCAGTTCCCCTCTTTATTATGCCTGCTCACCAAGCTGCTAAATAAATTGCCAAATAAGTGTTTTCGCTTTATTACTAACAAGTAGTTTGTTGTTGCACTGCCTTTTTCATTGGGTTCTCGTGATTTGCTTAGTAGTTTGTAAAACAATCTAGCGTTTTTAAAGTATTGAACATCCCGTACTTGTGTAACGTACCTTTTTTTATTTTTTAATGCAATATTACTTTGCTCTTCTGAATGAATATTAAATAAAAATCCAGTATAGTCAGACGAGAACTTGATCAAATTTGAAATCATATTTGATCAATTGATCTGCGTTACCCAGCTTTTAAAATTTTTCCCTCTTTGATAAATACAGAAAAGCCTACGATTTTTCATATTTTTACCAAGATATTATCAATTGAATTCCAGCAGAACAATGTTTAAAAGGTATACTTGGTAATCAATCATATTTCTCCCTCGTTTTCAAAAATACAGCAATGTGCACCCTCATCGAGCATGTGAACAAGAACAAAAAAAATACAGTAACTGATCATCCAAGTATTATCAGAACTAATAGCAAGAAAAAGCAATAAACCAACAGAATGAAAAAAAAAATCTTCACATAGTCCAGGCACATACGCATACACACGCATGACACGCAATGTCATTTAGTGGCTTTTAATTGCTGACTGCGCGCATTGTACTATTTTTCCTCTCTCTCTCTCTCTCTCTCTCGCTCTCTCAGCGAAGGCTTTTCTATCTATATATACGTAGACTGTTTATTTTATTGGCTCTTACTCTGGCATACGCGTACGGTGTATTTCGATACTGTATGTTTTGTAGGCATTTTTTTATATTTAGCTAAATCGGGTTGCGGCGTGTTTTTATAGCTTTCACCCTCTACGTTGACGATGACAGAATGCCTAAGCACCTAGTGAGTTCGAGCTTGAGTAATCAAATCCAAATTGTAGTTGACATGTTTTTACGTTATTGCTTTATCAGCACTTTTTCATTCGTTATCGCGTGTTGATTTATCGTATAGTAGAAGAAAAATTACCTTATAATTCGCACACGAATGAGGAAAAATTAAACCTGGATTGAATATCCGCTGTGTTTCGATAGAAAACTTCAAGTATGTATGAAAATAACCAACGAATTGTTGAATTGTAATCAAGCGTGTACTCGACGTGACGAACAGTGCTTATCAACAGATGCAAGTGAGCATGAAAAATCAACAAATCACATCCCAGCGAAAAACTATTGTAAAAGTGTAGTGCATTTATAACCTATTTTATGAAAAAAAGGCCTGAACTACTCACCATTTCTGTAAATTTTCGCTTGTTCCATTTGTTACGCTTGTGAATGTACGACATTATTATTTTACGTGACATCAGAAACCTAAATAAACCTGAATACTTTACTGTACAGATTTGTGACATTCATTATTATGCCCACAAAAGTGTTAAAAGTAAACAATAAAAAGTCATAGTTTTTCACAGATTTTACGTTTCATGAAAAATGAAAAGCGATAGCTTTCATTATAGCTCGAATCCAGATTTTACATTAAAAATACGTTATAAACTGTATTACGATTTATTATCTAATAATTTCGTCAGGTGCGCTTCGTGTATTTATTTCTTGTTTATGTAATTCGTATGCAATATTCGATGAATGTAAACATTGCGAACAGCAAATAAACAAAAATATGATTTTAGATGTATTTTTTTACGGAAAATCCGAATTCGAGCTCAGAATACCTTTCATTTTTTATTGAATTTATAAATAACAAATATAAATAAAATATGACGTTTTTATTTTTATGGATGTCAGTTTTTCTGGGTGATCTTATCACCTTTACGGCGAAAGAAAACGATGTCACAAGAAAGCAGAGGTGAACGCGAGTTCTACGAATCTTTTGAAACCCCATGCTACCTCATACAGTGCCGAATTAACGCACGCTTCGTGAGATTAATCATACACGACTTTTGCCGCAGCAGCACAATGGAAATTGAAAGCCTTCTCGCAAGCAACTGAAAAAAAGTGAAATTTTTTAATCAAAAACTTCCCTTAAAATCGTATTGTGGGTTTATACGAGCGCGTCAACGAAGCAAAACTTTTTTTCTACTCTCTAACAAAAGTTCGTGGAGAAAAAAAATATAGCTCCATTTCTGTTCTATGTGCGTGGCTTATAAAGCAGCGAAGCACTACAATTACGTGAAATTGGATATGAGATATACGCGTAAACTCCCATTTTGACGCTCGTCGGCATTATGTGCGGAAAAGAGCTCTGGGTGCACACGTAACTCATCCGCGGGTGCGCGTTCGTCTCGAGCGTAAATCCGCAAACAGTCAGAAACAAAACACGATCGTGGGAGTAAAGTATTTCCGCTTCTAGAGTTTCTACGCGTAGTTGAATGAAATATCGATAGAGGGAGAGAGAGAGAGAGAGAGAGAGAAAAGACCACAACATGCACACATATCATGATTGCAATTTTCCACGAGTTCGCTGTTTTATCATCTTTGGGGTCGATTCGCCAAAAATATTTTTAATTAATCACTATTCAGTCACGCCTCTTCTATGTAATTCGGACTCGGCGCATTTCGGAAAACGTATATCAACTCTAAGCGAGTGGGTGTGAGAGCAAAAGGAAAAAATATCTCTCGTCGATATCTGTCGGAAAATCAATGGCGTACTTTTTGAGAAAGAGAGAGAGAGAAAGGAAAAATCAGCACATAATTCAGACTCGTGTTAGCGTGTAAGTAGCTCTCTAACGCCGTTCGTTGGGCCATGCGTGAGAGCTTGAAGAAAAGAAAGAGATAAAAAACTCGAGCCAGATGAAGAGCTTTCACTCGCTGATTCCTGTACTTTTCGGACCCCCATGCGTTCTTTTTATGCCCTATCTTTTTCATGAAATCGATGGGTTAGTAAAGACTCGCTGAGCGCTGCTGCACTTTTAAGATTACTGATAATTTTTTCTATCACTTCTACGTCTCAGAAATAAATTTGTTGGAATCAGTTTAAACTGAAAATGATTTTATGATTATTATCATGAAGACGTTTTTTGAAACTTATTGTTAATTGAAAAAAGAAACGTAATTGAGAAATGTGAAAATCTTAGAGGAAACAATAACGTGTTTTTTTTTTAAATTATAATTCGAATACTATGACTTAAAGCGACGAATTATTTACAATACACTATAACATGAAATTAATTAAGAAATCACAGTTCGTAGTAGTGTCCATTGAGTTAATAAATACAACTTTGAAGACAAAGTGAAAACATTCTAATGTGCCCCATAATTCCGCGCGAAGGCCAAACCATGAGTCGCGCTCATTTTTAACTCTGCTTGCCTGTCTATCTGTTTCTCTCTCCTCCCTCTCTCTCTTTCTGTTTCTCTAACTTCTCGTCTTTAGCTTTGAGAATTTCACATCTCAATTAAAACAATTAAAATAGAAAATAATCTAAAAGAAAACGGCAACTGCAACAGAGATCTAAGTACAGGTGTACTTATACGAGAAAATACGTTTCACAAGGAAGAAATTGGATTTGACGTGGGTGCGGTTAAGAAACGCAATGGGGCTATTCCAAGTGATATACCGGGAATTCACACATGTTTAGAAAAGAAAGTTAGTAAACACCGGACGAGTATCTCGTTTAATGGAAAATGTTCAAAATTGGCTTGGTGATTTTTTAATCTTAGAAAGATTACTTCTTATATTGGAATTGTATTGGTCTATTTGTAAAGATGTTACTAACTCTTCAAAGTTATAGTTTCGATAATTATATCGATAATTTTGATTAAAATAGCTGATAAGACTATTAAAATATAATTTATTTGATGTTTGAATAACAAAAAAATGTTATTCTTATCTAGAAAACTACGCTAATAAATTAACTTGGTATCAATACAAGCTTCATAAAAAAACATGAACTGAAAATGAAATCCCTTAGAAAAACTTAATTTAATTTCATTTTATAATGATTTCATAGTAATCGTTAATTTCATAGTATAATCGTTGTTACTAATTAAATAAGCACACGTGTAATGCACAAGAACGATTTCTCTATTTCGCGAAGAGTACACAATATGAACGTGCCTTGAGGAGAACGCAGTTTGCTCGAGACACCTCAGGCGGACTTCCTTTAGCGGTACACCGCGGAATCGTGTTTCAACACAAATGAAATGGATTACTTCACATTTGTGGCTAGTTGGTAAGGTGTTTTAAAAAAGTCAAACGAAGAAAGGGTAAATTTAATGAGGTTATTTTATATTGTTCATATTTAAATAAAAGTAAAAAATTATCATGGCATTTCAAGTTTTGTCTGATTAAAATGATACTTTTTTACCATGACAAAAAATGTAACGACTGAAACATTGTGTGACTTTTGATCTTATAAATGATAAAGAATGCTAGATTGAACGACATACAAGAGAGACGCTTACCTGTGGGCAGGTCCAGGTGACAAGTGGTTTGTTCCATAAGTGAGCAAGCTTGGCGACAACCTCACAAGTGTTGTAGTCTAGCTGAGCGAGCATCGCTCTGGTGGTTTTGCGGCTCAAGGCCTGAACAAGGCCTTCCAGGCCCCACGAGCGTTCCTCGCAGCTCTCTGAAAGCGGAAATTAGTAGTGCATAAAACAGACGATTCATCAAACAACTTTGGCTTCTTTGATAAATTGCTTCGACATTAATTATACTCTCGCTTTCGAGTCACGACACATTTCATTTTTTTTTAAATGTCTCGAGTAGTTCATTCGAAGACGCTGATAAAGTATTTATTACTATGAAGAATTGTTTTGCGCTTGCATTGTATACCGTACTATTGAGAAAAGTATTGAATGAGTTTTTGACGGCTTTCCTTCTTTGTTCTGCAAAAGTAAAAAGGCGATAAAAAGTTTGATTGCTCTGTTTTTTAATAGCAAAGAAGATTGTGCAGAGTAAAAGAGAAAGATATTCAAGAGAGAATCCTCTCTTTTTTCGTACTTTTCTATTACTTATCTCTTCTGAGTGCTTTATTTCACTTTTGCTTTATTCTCTGTTTGAGCTTGGAAATTTAAATGTCAATTATTCATTATTAAATATTTATCATAAGGACTAAACAAATTAACTAAATAAATAAAATTGTTTAGTTTTCATTTACACGGATCAAACAATTATATATCTTATAATTCCAATCGAGCTGAGATAAGTGCCATTGTCTTAAAACTGAAATGTCCTACATTGTAAATAATAAAATTCTTAAAAAATCAATCGCTAAATAACTTATATCTACAATGGTATATAATGGAAAGTCCACTCCACTGTTCTGAATAGAAGAAGTGGTTCATTATTTCAAATTGTAATTCTTACTTAATAAGAAAATGTCTTAACGACCTTAGAGAAAAAATTTGCCTGTAGTAAATAGCCAGTTAATATAAACTTTTATATCTCCATAAACTATTCAGTCGTATTTCAATTACTATAGCGTAACGAAGAATAAGTTATGGATATACATTTGAGTGAATTTGTACTTAATTAGCAGTGTAATAATAAGATTTTCAAGGTAACGCTTTTATTTTCAAAACAATCTTAACTCTGTAAAACCCTCCGCAGGTAATTAACGCTACTAAATCTTTAAATCCCCTCGGATGGAAACTCGTTCACCGGCGAACTCACTTCATCTTCTCAAGCAAATGGTTGTAGTTACGTCACAGTTAGAACTACTTTTTTGGGCTAGATTAACATTGAACTGAATCAGCGCATCTGAAATGCTCGCGTCTCAACCATTCGACGTGTACGTGACGAGAAAAAAGCATGCATTTAAGAACACGTCCTTTGAATTTTCTCAGATTTTTTTTTCTATCTTTACATTGCTGATTCGGTTTTTTCCAGTTTCGCTACTTCTGAATGTGACGTTCCCAACAATATTTTTTATAACGACCTTTTAATCAATTAATGAAATAAGTAGTTAAGAACATAATAAATAGGTGCGGTATTAATAAACTACAATATTTATCGACCATTACCATGCGGTGTCCGTTGTAACATTTTTCCCCAGTCGATGTGGTGAAAAAAAATCTCAAACGGGACTTTATTTTCCGACGGAGCACTAGCCCATCGACTGTGCGATGCTGGAGAGTGCAAATTTACGATCGGCGTCAGGCGCAGCTGCATGAAATTGCCCACACGGGCTTGCGGGATAGATCAGAGAGAAGAAAATACCCAAGTACACACACTAGGGAGAGAGAAAATCGTGCTCCTTGCTGTGATTTTATGAAGAACGGAAAATTTTCTGTCGCTCGTATATTCTTCCTTCGCTCCGCTTGCCTGTTTCCTTTGTTTTCTTGTAACGTCGCATATCTCTTTGTGTTAATTTCTTCGGGCGACAATTTCGTGCAATAACGAAAATTCTCGCGTACCGAATACGAATATCAGAGAAACTTCTTGCAGGGGTTGTTTTTTTCTGTCTACTGGAACAAACAATCATCCGCTGTGCGCTTAATATTTCACACTGCTTTATCTTCCTTTTTATTTATTTCTACTTGTCAAACATCCTGATGATCGAGTGGACTAATATTTTATTCGTATTTATTTACTTGATTTTCGTTTTTTTGGAAACTGTATACAGTAACTTGAAAATTGATTTTGATTACTATTTAGCAGACGGTGGTGAATAATAAAGCAAACAAAAAATAACCTTAACAGCTAAAATAAGTCCATGATAAGTACGTATAAGTTTGCGATAACATTAAAAAGCTGTGAATCATTGATCGAGTAAATTGACAAATACGTACGTTCATAACTTCCAAACGAACAATTTCGATCAATCAATCAGGCTTTCTCTCATTCTCTCGAAAAGTTCGCTTCCTATATTCGAGTCCAGCCCCTATTTCCCCTATTTCCCCTATTTCCTCGACTATTTTTCCACGACGTTTCCCGCGCTCGCGTTCTATTCGCTGCGTTAGCCGCGCTCTTCGCCCATCAATTTCAAGCTCTATCAATTTCGCCTCCTTTTGCTTCGTCGATCGAATTCAAACGCGAGTTCACTCGCGATGAAGAGACTGAACCTGAATGAATTTGACTGCTGTTGTGGAGCTGCCCGTTGCATTCTCTTTTGCAAGGCTTACCCTTTGTTGCTGGATTTTTGTTTTACTTTGTCTGCCAGTTGCATTCGATAAATGCTTCGTATACGTTACTTATGTTTCAAGAGATAAAAAAATTAAAAAAATAAATTAAGACAAATATGTCGAAGTAATGTATGTCCTAAATGGTACTGCTCATACAGTCTTCTGCTAGCGTACTACATCGGAGAATAAATAGAAGGAAACGGTTGTTTTAGTCATTATTGACTTGCTATCGACTGTATTTACTTTATATATTAACTAGTCCTGGTCTTTTTCTCCTATATTTAAGAACCAAGACAGCGCTGTAAAAGACGATATATCATTAACTTAATGATCTTTGCAAAACGAATAAATGATGTGACTACGGTCGATTTTAAACTGGCCACACATTATAGTAGTCTAAAGATGTTTGTAAAACAGATAATTGACATGGTGTTCATCAGGGATACTTTAATCAGTCATTTATCCACCATCGCAGCTACAACATTCATATTTGTAAGCTCAATATGAGTTTTTACATACCAGCAAAAACTAGTTACAAGATCTTGAAATATTGGAACACAAAAGTTCTACTTTTTCCTGTAGTACCGAAAACCAAAAGACATTTTTTAATGCAAGAGTTGTTCTTTTGGTTTAGTTTGTTGAATTTAATTTTCATGTGGTTAATCACAGTATACACTGTTTTCGTTAACAGAAAAGATATTTTTGCAGCAACTTCCTCGTGGATAGAAGTGGCAGGTTTTACAGAGTGTATAGTAATTTTGGTTTATAGCAAATTGAAGAAGCTACAATTGAAAGTTCGAATCATGACCTAAGTTGAACAAATTTGTATAAATTTAGTTTCTGATAAGTTTATTAATTTTTTGTTATCAGGAGTTTTTCCACTTGGTAGAACGAACACTGGAGATCGAAAGTACGGAGAAAGTGAAAAGATATGCAACTTCATACGCAGTCATATTCATTATCGACATAATGTTTTACGTCGTTACCATAAGTATGTTTGTTTTCACAAAACAACCAACTAAATACAAATCATTTATTTCTACTGCTGCATATCCATTTGAAATAGATTCTATTTTATGCAAGTCATTTGTTATTTTTAATCAAATTTTTTCGATATTCTACGCCAATATTATACCTAATTTCGATGGGATTATTGCAATTTTTATTTTCACTTGTACTCATCAGTTTGAAGTACTGAGAGATAAACTAAGAAATGTAAAAGATTTGACTCAATTATTACAGTTGATGGAGAAACACGATAATATTTTAAGGTGATCTTTTTTCATACAAACTTTGAAATACCTTATAGATACCGAAGCAAGGAATATTGAAAGATGACATTTTTTTCAGAACTGTAGACATTTTGAATGATGTAATACGATTTATGCTCCTAAAAACTGTATTTTCTTTCGTAACCAATGCCATATCTTGTGGCTTATTAATTACAAATGTGAGTATAAGTAATCAACTGGTTAGTATAATTTTGATAATGTTATTTTTGATATTTAGAAAACAGAAGTATCACAGCTCATTTTTATGTTCTCTATATTGAGTGTACTTTACGGAAGATTATACCTTTGTGCAGAAAGTGCAGAAAACATGTCACAGGCAGTAAGTAGAAAACGTGCTGGAAGCTCGTTTTTCAGCATATATTTTTGACAGAGAGTATGAAAAATATACCTTTTGTAAAATGCACTCAAAATGATATATTTCAATGATTTTCTATGAAAAGTAAAGAATGATTTTGTTTTCAAGGGTGCTGATATTGGAGATGTTATATATTCAACTGATTGGTATAACGAAGAATCCAAAATTATATCTGCTAAAATTTTTATAATTCAAGTGTGTCAAAAACCACCTGTGCTATCAGTAAAGCTATTGATGAAAAAAATAGATAGAAAATATATGGCACAGGTACTTTTGGTGTTTTTACAAAATTTAAAACTTTCTGGTGACAATTGAAAATTTTGCTGTTATATTATCGCTATAGATTCTTTATATAACATACTCATACATAATGACGCTACGGGGTGTAACTAAAGAAAAGAATTAGTGTCAACGAAAAGAATACTTTTGGTAAGTTTAAATTCACTGAAACGTGTTTTTTTTATTCACTAGTGTCGTCCAGCGACCTTCGCGATGAAATGAAAAAAAATCTAACCAATAATTTTATTGGTCAACTCAATTTACTCAATCAATTTGCGAGACTGACTAAAAAGAATAACAACATGTTACTAAGCGTTGTGCTTGGTAACTAACAAAACAATGTTGAGAAGAACGACGATATCTATATTCTACAATACAATATACGTACATCAAATGCATGCTGTGAAACGTTTACCATACGTTGATATTAATTGATAAATAAAAATCTAAAATTTCATTGGTATTCGTCAACATTACATTGGTATTTAACAATAATTTCAAATATAATATAACGTATCTGATTTTCAGACGTTTAGCTAAATTGGTCATGGGTAGCATACCAAGTTAATTTATTGTGTTTTCATATAAATGGAACCGTGAGTTACGCCTACCAATTTATTTTTTTTTTATTTTTTACATATTGGTCTATGATTTCAAACTTTTTGTAAGATATTTCCATATTAACAGATATCTTATTTTAACTTCTTTTCAACTATTTATCTGTGACGATTCGGAGATTTAGTTTACACTTATAAATTAAATTTCAAAAAAATTTTTAAATAAACTATTAAACTGTATTGTGCTTTATTACCTTCATATTAGAAATAGTAGAATTATTTATATTTCACGAAAACCATATCTCAACTTTACAATAATACTACTCCTAGTTAATGTAGCCATTTTTTCACAACTTACTTCTCTGTTAAACGCAACCTCTTATTTCACTTAATCAAAACCAAAAGGACTGTAAATGAAATCATAGTAACCATCATTAAAGGCTTCACAACATCCGACCATTGGTTTTTTTAAAAGGGGATAAATAATGATTAATTTGCTATATATTCAATAATTTTCAGATTATATTTCTAATATTATTCTCAGAATTAAATATTATTTGTTTGTTTAATACCGTCAGCAGTCCTATTGGTATTGAAAATATTGGTATTGAAATTAAAACATCAAAGACTACTATAATTATTTCAGAAGCTTATTCCATTTATGGAAGTCAGCAGAAAGCATTGGAATCATGACGGGGCTGTCAGAACGTGATCTTCGACGCTAACGACTGAACTACTTAACTCTATGATTATGCTTAGGGTTAATGGAAAAAATTTCAACATTAATATACTATCTTATTTAATTGTTTACTCACAAGGACATCGCCATGCCTGCGGAAGATCGCTTTTATTGAAACTTTAACAAAACATTTCTCATAAAAAAAATAAAAAGACGCGCGTCTTTGAATATTGAAAAATCAAATAACTCTTTGACTTTTGCGATTCTCGAAAGAATAAGCTTTATCATAACCGCGCTCTTGTTTTTACCGCAATTCAAAGGTCATCAATGGAAAACTGAGATCAAATCCTTTCGAAAAAAATTGTTTAAAAAGGTTGAGTAGTTCAAAAGATGCACTGAAACAAAATTTCATTAATGCTTCATCGGAAGGATTAAATTTCAGTCTTCTATTGGTGATATTTCTCCAAGAGTGATTTGATGTTTCAATATATTATGTGATCTCGTAAATCCCAAAACAAACAAATATTTTTCGAAAGTTTCAACACAATCGGTCCCGCAGTTCTATTCTTCTTCTCAATATAGCTCGTTATTAACGCCAAATCGTCTTGAACTTATTCAATCAATACAATTTCAATAGAGGACTGCTTTTGATAATATCTGTGACTCGCAACTAACATATGAAGAACTAAGAATTAGCCACGTAAATGACAATTTAGAGAGCTTACATCTTATAAATAAGAAGTCAATCCATTGTTAAATCTTGTAAATGACATCAAAATTTATTGATGTTTTGAATTTACACATTTATCCAACATTTTTTGCAGAAATTGCATATTTTTCATGCGGAAGGCAGCACGTTTAATGCTTATACCAATGTGGATCGATCCAATTTCATATTAATAATTTATAATAATGATTTGTATTAAAGTAGCATTAAGACATCATTACCGCAAGCTCATTAATGACCATTAGACATGACATGTTGAAAGAAATAAAATTCTGTTAACATACTATTGTTTGTAATGTAAGTAATTGGCATGATGTTAAGCTACTTTATTTCTACATGCTTGATACTTGCAACTCAAGATGAAACTTATACGTATCGGTAAAAAGAAGATTTTCCAATTTTGGAGCATAGTATTATAAATGAAAAAAATTTTCTGTAATGACAAAGTTCATCTCTAGTTTTCATTAGTCAAAGTATATTCTCACGCAGTTTGCTTGCGTGTATATAATTTTTGAAAGAAATCTCAATGTAAAAAATGCTTTTTTCTTTAACTACAGGGAATTAGCAGTTTAGATTATAGTCCAGAATTATCAAAAAGACCAGGACAATGAGAATTTGAAATAAATGCCAATCAGTAATTCTTTAGCACTCGACTCACCGTCTTTTGGCACCATGTCAATTAGTGGTGGCAAGGTATATCCGTGAGCAAGTTGCCGTAGCAGCTCCGTAGTGTTTTGGTCTCCGTCGCACTGCTCGCGCAGGAAAACGACGACTCTTTGCTGCCGTGGAACTGTGGTAGTCGTCGACGAGACTGGATATTGGCCGCAGGCGAGCCTGGATATTAGCACAAGCAGGAGCCACCACCAGCGCTGGTGCCACCAGCACCGGGCCATGGGCCCTGCCACCCCCTCGCACAACCGTTTTTCTCCTGCAAATCCATAATTTTGTATTCTTTCTTTATTCTCTCTCGGTTTAGAACAATAATCGTGATAATCGTCCACTTATTTAATCAAGCTCGCATAATTTCATCAAGTATATTTATTCTGGAATGAGCTATCCTCGAAGAAAATCATGAAAGACAATAATGAAAATTAGAGCGAGTGCATATTAGCGACCACTTACTTTCGAATTCTCCGCAAACGACGAATGCTGATCAGCCGCTGATCCACGGCTGCGTTCTCCGTCGCCTCATCTCTCTTCTCCAGTTCGCAGTTATCTCCACTTTAAAGAGGAAGGATCGCGGGCCACTACGCCACACGAACTTACTCTTGACGACAGAGATTTATTCTCTTTAAAGTTGAGCGTAGAGAATCACTGACAATTTGTGCTTTGAGAGGACTGGAACAATCTCGGTAATGCTTCGCACGATTTCCATTATACGACTTTGTATTATGATCACTTTTCGGATTTATCAGTACTCTTCTCTCGCAGGAATATGATGATTCTTAGAAGAGCTCAAACTCCGATACAATAGAAATCTAGAACAAAAAGTAAGTTTGATTATATTATGGAACGACATGTGTTTACATATTTTTGAAGTTTTTTATTTGATAAAAACTTTATAAGATTGTAAATTATGCCATTTTTCTAAAGTGTTCAATACTTAAAAAGAAGTTTCTGCATGAGAAATATTAATCAGATCGTATATTTATAAAAAACACCACTTGTCTCAAAATTTGAATTTTCTCACTATGTCAATTTTCACTTTACCAACACAGTTTATGAGCGAAAATTGATTAAGCCTGTTAATGCAATTTCGATCACAATGCCGTGTATGATACGTCAAAAAAGAGGGAAAAAGCCAAAACTTGGTTAAAATAAACGCGAAAAATGTAAACGATGGAATCGAAAACCACAGTTTAATCAGTAAACTGTTGGTATTTTTGAAAATTTCGTAAGGTCACTTCGGGTAAAATCAATTTGTAGGCATATAGAGCGAAGCGAACGTAAACGTTTGCCGCTTAATCGCATTTTCGCTACAGCATCGATGAAGCGCGTATATATACATAGGTCTACATAGGTCAGGCAAAAGCCGTCCGATATCTCATCGCTACTGTGTGCGAGCGAGCGAGAGAAAGGACAAAGCTCGGCAAAACTCGATATACAGCGCTGCTCGAAGCTTCCAGCGATAAAGAATATTGTCTCCTAAAGCATTGCTCACCTCTAATTCGATCTCCAACGTACCTAGCGACGCTTTAACGGCGCTTAAATACATGGCACAAGCAGGCTTCAAAATATATGAGGCTTGACTATACATATAAATGCGTGGAAATGAGGCTTATCACTGTGTGCGTCGGCATGAACGAGAGACTATCCCACAAACCACGCTAACTCTCGCTCTTCATATATGTCTATTTTCCTATTTGAATTCCTTTAACTACTTATTAGCCTTCTATACTGCAATCTCGTTGCCACGGTGCTCAGAAAGGCTAAAAAAGTCCGTCTAAACTTATGACAAATTCTGCTTAGGTAACTTTATTTATTATCATTAAATGAGTCTACATTCATCAACCCGAAAATCCAAGCCGTCTCTCTTTTTAAAATATCTCAATTTGAAAAACCACTCTTAAATTTGACGTAAACATTGAGGATATTATAATAAAAATTACTCTTGCATCCTATTTATAATACAGAGTATTATTAAATAATTATGCCTAAGCTATAGTAGATAAATTTCAAATCATAGATGGTTATATCAAATTAAAGTAATGACAGATAGTAGTCAATCGTTTATCAGAATTTGTTTATTGATTATTCCTGAAAGATATTTAGAAACCAAAAACGATAGTGATGGTGAACAAAGTAGATTATGAAAGAACAGAAAAGGTTAAATAAGAAGAGTATTATAAATATAATTTATGTGTTGAGTACCGATTTTTGTGTTGGGTACCTAAAAATATGTGGAGGGGAGTAGATATTTTTGTCAACTGGTATATCAGAATTTTTAAAAGTGCATAATTTATTGCACACATTGAAAAGTGTTTAGAATTCTTAGGTTATCACAGCTTACCTTTTTGACAGTCAGTCTGCGTAGTTATTAAAAAAATGGTTTAAAATGATTAAATTTAAAAATAAATTATCGTGAAAAATATTTCAAAATATTTATAAAAATATAGGCCTAGTCAATTATCACGTGTCCATTGTTGGCCTGGGTTAAATACTAAGAATAGTTTTCCTTAAATTGAAATATTTTAAAAAGAGAATCAGCGTGGATTTTCCGGTGAATGAATTAGGACGCAGTAAGTGATAAGAAATAAAGTTATCCAAGTAGAATTTGTCATAGGTTTGTACATATTTTTTTGGCCTTTCCTAGCATCATGCCTTTCTAATGTTGGCTAACTCTTTGGTTTAGTAAAGGAATTTGAAATACTAATGCTTACTTTTAAGATGATTTTAATTGATTCTTTTTTTGGCAAATTTTCGTTTGTACCGTTTAACTTTGATTTTTACTCGAATAATGTACTCCACGAAAAGATCATCGCTAAGCGTCAATTCTCTTGACCTAGATTTTTTTTCATCTGAAGAGAAGTTCTTTTTCTAAAAGAATTTTTCCAATCTGCGGTAAAATCTCAAAAGATATTTCAAAAAAACAAACTCTAGTTTGACCATTTTCGATAGACAATTTTCACTGAAAATTTTATTACCATATTGCGTGAAATGAATTCAAGCCTATGACCATCTCCCGTTCAAATTGAAAATTTAATTTCCCAAGACAAATATCACTCGAGCTATGTATTGTCATACGCATTAAAGCAAAAGAAAATGACAGGAGGGAAATGAAAAAATTCGCGAGTGAGTATCTTCCTTTCATTCGGAAATTCGTGAAAGGTCACGGCAACTGAAAATTGTATAAAGCTTGTCGTGGATCGTGCATCGCAAGCTTATTAGTGTGGGCGCGTACAATGCGACTCTATTTCTCTGCGAGCCTTGAACGCGTGACTGACATTTACAGCAGAACGAGTCGACACGTTTGATTACACTCCCTTTCTCCTCGATTGCAAGCGCAAACGCAACAAAGAGAGAGAGAGAGAGAGAGAGAGAGAGAGAGAGAGAGAGAGAGAGAGAGAGAGAGAGAGAGAGAGAGAGAGAGAGAGAGAGAGTATTGGAATTCTTACGAGCGCTTATTCGAGGTGGGCTTGTTCAATTTATGGCGGAATCGTTGCGCGGTTCTGTTTGGAAATTGCCCAGTAGTGACTGAAAACTTTGTTTCAAAGATTTTCGAAATACGTTAACGTTTTTTAAGAATATTTGTATGCTAATATTTTAATATTCTATATTGTTACAGATGGCATATTCATGTTTGCAAAAGCAATAGTAAACACATATCGTTGATTCTATATTCGTACGGCTTAACAAATATTGATTATTTCCATGGGCTCATATCGTATGCAATAATGAATTACGTCGAGACGACTGTTGGTTAATACGTTTACCAGGCAAACATTATATTTCACCATGAATTCGTAGAAGCGTAAGCTAATAAATTACCTTTGTTATTGGATTGTAGTTCAATACAACATTAATGCAATAATCTGTGCATAACACTCATCTTCACATAACATTCATCTTCGCGAACATTAGAGCTATTATTCGTAGCTGTAATACGATTAACAAATGCCAAAATAGTTGACAAAGCCTGGGAAAATTTTATCCATAAAAATTGAGAACGTTTTTCATCGAGTCACTAATCTGTACTAAACAAAAAACTTTTCATCACGGTATTATAAACTACGCAACAGTGCAGTGCACATTAAGCGCGAATTTATCGGTCATCACAAATATACAAGAAAATTATTCAAGTGCAATAGGTTAGCATTTTTTTGCTATATAACTAATTAAAAGGTCAAGAGAAAGAAAAAGGAAGTTCAAGTCAGGCAAGCTAAACGATCACCTCTCCGGTATATAAACGCCGTAGCCGCTTAGACGATTTATTAGACACGGGAGTCCGTTAAGTGACAAGCACGGCTGGGTAAATAATGAAGCCGTCGAGGACTAGTGCGTTGGGAATCTTCTGGTTGCTTGTCTTCCCTTTTTTTCGTTTTTTTTTTCTTTTCTTATGTGCTCTTTGGTAACGGATGAGTTTTATATGCCGGAAGCTCCAGGGGATTTGTACTTTAATTAGTTGAAGGATCAAAATGATGGGTATGCATTGGATAAAACTTCCAAGAGCTACACTTAAAAAACGTAAAAACTTTCTTCATCTTTGTGTTTCAATGTCATGAATTGAATTTCGTACTTTCTAATTCCCTAGAGAAGATGAGTTTTATTCTAAGAGAAGTGTTTTAATTTTTTTTTTTTTTTTTGCAATCAAACAGCAAAAAGCAGCAAGAGTAATGGATAGTCGAAACGAAGAGATAATCCAAGATATTTTCAGCATTATTTCTCGAATTAGGGCAATTAGGGCAATTCGATTTTCCGCGGCAAGGTGTGGACACGGAGTGGCCAACTTTACGTATTATATAGGTAATATATGAAGCAGCCTGCAGGCTTGCCCGCCTATTGTACATTCATCCCCAACTCCCGTAATTGTTTGCCGTTGCTCGAGTCCGCCCGCGCATTTATGGGCAATTCATGATACTGATGCGCGCTCCGTTCGCTATTAACCTTTTGCCAAACTTGTTTTTATCAACAATGCCTCGCAGGCCTTTAAATAAACGTACACGCGTGCAGATTTCAAGAGTGATTGGGTGACTTGTTTGCTTGATAACAATAATATGATGACGCAAGTTAATGAAAATAAGGCTGTAATTATAATGAATTTATTTTAATTACGAGAATGCAAGACAACTTCTATGTTTCATAACAACTATTGGAGTTGAATATTGCTGGCAACACTAGTGCTCGAATTCCATCATGATAATCGAGATAAGAGCTCATTATTCACTTTTAGCAAGAAACCTAAGCTGTAGCGGGTTACTAAAAGGATTCAACTTCAACGTCAATGTAATTAAATGTTCCATGAGACAAGCCCCGAACAGTAGATTTACGTCGTCGACCGAAAAAGAGAAAAAGGGAGAATAGTATTATATACGCTTGGTCCAACAGCTATTCGCGCTCGCGTGTCTTTTTGGGGAAAATAATTTTTTACTCGAATGATCTTGAATTTTGCTGGCAAGTCAGCGACACTCACTCCCGCTATTTCCTCGAGCAATTTGAGAGAACAAGACCAAAGCGCGTTCGTTGAAATTTTCTGACGCGTATCTTTGATTCGACTTCGATGGATAGGTGAAATAAAACGGGAATGAAGCAGGATACGTGTTCATAGCATTCGTGTTTTATTTGTTATGTGATTCTTTGAACGCGGATTTCATTGGTTTTTCTGTTCTTGCAGACTTCAGCTTGGAACAAAGTTTTTACTGCACCAGTGAGATTCTAAATGCTCAAATAGACGATTAAAGACAAGGATAAATAATTTCATTTCTATTCAGTTGCTGTCGCTAATGAGCAAATTAACCCTTCCACGACTTTTGTTCAGGAC